GAGGGGAGCACAAGGAGATGTCGTGCATGGAGTGTGCTATAAGAAGTTCACCACCACGTACGGCCACTAGTCCAGCACAGCCCGCTTGAGCTTAGAGTCCGTGATATAAAACCCCAGAGGCTGGAACACAAGGAGATGTCGTGCATAGTGTGTGCTATAAGGAGGTCACCACCACGCGCGGCCAGTAGTCCAGCCCCGCTCTCTTGAGCTTTGAATCCGTGATGTCAAATCCCAGGGGCTGGAGGACAGGAAGGAGAGGGGGAGCAGGGAGGGGAGCACAAGGAGATGTTGTGCATAGTGTGTGCTATAAGGAGTTCACCCAGCCAGTAGTCCAGCCCTGCCCTCTTGAGCTTGAGTCCGTGATGTCGAATCCCAGGGGTTACATGGTTACGGCATGCACTGACTGCAGCAGAGGCAATACGGCAGTAGGAGCAGTGCAGCATGGTGCCAGAAGAGCCAAGACAGCATGCTTTTCCCTTTCCCCAACCCACGCCTCCTCCCATTGCCCAATCCCACACCCTTTTTTCCCTTCTCCCATTTTCCCCAGCATGCACCCACCTTGACCAGGTGCAATGAAACGACTTTTCAGCTGATTCAAGAGAGCTCTCTTGAGTCTGCACCCACACCTCCTCCAACACCCTCATCCATCCCATCCCATCCCATCCCATCCCATCCCATCCCATCCCATCCCATCCCATCCCATCCCATCCCATCCCACCCCACCCCACCCCATCCCATCCCATCCCATCCCATCCCATCCCATCCCATCCCATCCCATCCCATCCCATCCCATCCCATCCCATCCCATTCCATCCCATCCCATTCCATCCCATCCCATCCCATCCCACACTCCCACCTTGACCAGGTGCAGGGGAACGGCCGTGGCAGCACATGTGCGTGCAATAGACCCTGTGTTGCCGGGGATCTGAGTGTTTGTATGGGGGAGGGGAGGAGGAAGGAGGAAGGGTGGGGTTATTGATGGCGTGTTGCCATGCGCGCACACAGCCACAGGCGGGCAGCACATGTGCGTGCAATAGACCCTGTGTTGCCGGGGATCTGTGAGTGGGGGAGGGGGAGAGAGGGGGGAGAGGAAGGGGAGGAGATTTAAGGGGATCTAACAATAGTGAGCTGTTTTGCATGCACACAGTCGTCACGCCATATGTGCACCCTGTATTGTTCAGGGATCTAAGCGAGCGTGTGGACTGGTGGGCCGCGGAGGCCTTATTTCCATCAACTCTTGTTGTTCTTAGGAAAACGAGACAAACCCCATGGGTTAGATGGGCGGAAGGAAAAAACCTGGTCCAATGCGAGCTAGAGCGTTTCTTGAAAAGCCAGTTTGAACAAATGCACCCGGTATTGTTCAGGGACCTAAGCGAGCGTGTGGGGGAGGGGGGAAGTGCGAAAGAGGAGTGGGAAGTGGGGAGTGAGTAGTGGGGAGGGGGGAGGGGGGGATTGGAAAGTTAGGAAATGTAATCACAGGTGGCAGCACATGAGCCAATCACCTGAGGGCACACGAGCACCACGTGAAGTGGCTTCTTCACTTGACCCTGCCCCACCTCCTCTCCCTCTCCAACCACCTCCCCTCCTTCCGCCTTCACTCCTTCTCCTCTCTCCTCCTCTCCGCTTCCCTCACTCTCCAACCCGGCCCCCTTAGAGTCACCCCTGGCATTGACGTCATTCGAGTCATTTTCGTTAGTATCACTTTTATCCAGCCCGCTTCCCGCTCGTTTCAGACTCCACCGCTCCTCCCCGGAATTCGCTCCTGCATAAACCCTGAACCCCCGCCGCGCCTCCTTGCCCCCTCTGCTACCCTGAACCCCTCGCCTCTCGTCCTGCTGCCGCCGCTGATACTGCTGCCACGTCAGCGGCCTCAGCCCCCATGAGAAACACGATCTAATCGAATCTGAGTCAGAATCCCGCCTGTCTGCGCGCGGAAACCGAGCGCCTGAATCCGCGCAAGGGAAATCCGCGCGGCTACTGGCGCGGGGTAGTATTGCGCGGGAGTTGCGCCCTACAGCAGGACAGGCGGGCGCGGGAAAATGCCGCGTGCTGTACGATGGCACGGCGCGGGGAGTTATTAGCGCAACGGAGCGCGGCTGCGCGGCGCACGAGACCCTGGCTCTAAACCAAGGGATTGCCGGCGATCGCTGCGCGCCTGCGCTGCACGGGAGGTCTATGGGAAGTTCGGCAAGAGAAAGAAAGGCGGGGGAGATTTCCCCGCCGTGACTCCCCCGCGGGACCTTAGGGTGCGGGAATTCCCGCGGGAGAACGGCTCGAGCGCGAAGCATGGCGGCACTTGATTGAGTGGCGCGCGGTTTCTCTTGACGTCGGGATTCAGCTTCAAGCCCCTCCGCGGAGGGGCGCGAATCTGGCCAACAAGGTCACTTGGCGCAGGCACACGTGAATCCTCTCCATACGAATAACCGCGGTAACAGTACAGGTACAGAAATAAAATGTTGCACTGTTAGCTGCCTTCAACAGATAAATCTGCATGCCAAACTATCACTAATGTTTTAATAATAATCCATGTGAATGTCAACAATAACCCCTCAATCCTCATAATCATCACCATCTTTGTCATCATCATTGTTGCCAGCTTTATCATCGTCATAGTCGTCAGATTCCAGGTCGTAACTGAGTGCAGCGATGACGTGGCGAGTGGTGGGCAATGCCTCGCTGACACGTGGCAAGTGCCAGGGCGCGGGGGCAACCTTGCCGTAAAACCAGGGCGATACCGAGTCGTTGAACTGCTTAAAACGCGGATTCAATATCGCCTCCCAGTCCACCTGGGTGACGATAGGAAGAAGGGAGAAAGTCCAACGGGGGCATGAGGAGAGCGAAGGAAGGAGTGAGGGCATATGGTAAGAAAGGGGAGATGGAAGAGGTGAGAGGGAAGAGGGGAGAGGGGAGAGGGGAGAGGGGAGAGGGGAGAGGGGAGAGGGGAGAGGGGAGAGGTGAGAGGGGAGAGGGGAGAGGGGAGAGGGGAGAGGGGGAGAGGGGAGAGGGGAGAGGGGAGAGGGAAATGCGGAGGCATGACTAAGCCTCTCCCTAGCTGACACCTCACTTGAGCTCAACTCAGCGCCAACTGAACTTGTGAGGATTTTCAACCACAGCTCAGGACACACCTGAACGTCCTTGGGGATGAGTGAAAGCATCTCTATGTCAGCAGCCAAAAAGAGGGGAGGGAGTGGGGACAGCAGAGCATGGGTAAACACTCACTGCCAGCACTCCCACTCCAGCCAAGGCACAGCGCACCTGAACGTCCTTGGGGATGAGTGAAAGCGTCTCCATGTCAGCAGCAAGCGAGAGGCCGAGGATGGAGATAATGCCGACCATCGCCGACCCGCGGGTGAGCGGCATGAACTGGTACCAGTAGTACCCCATTCTCAGCACGCCCTCCCTCACTCGCCGCCGGTACAGGTGCACGTCGGTGGCCCGCATGTCTGTGTCCATAGCTGCTAGGGTAAGTTCTCCCTGCTCACACCCCATGTCAGCCCAACTTGGCGCGCACCTGAACATCCTTGGGGATGAGTGAGAGCGTCTCCATGTCAGCAGCCAGAGAGAGGCCGAGAATAGAAATAATGCCGACCATTGCCGACCCGCGGGTGAGCGGCATGAACTGGTACCAGTAGTACCCCATCCTCAGCACACCCTCCCTCACTCGCCGCCGGTACAGGTGAAAGTCAGTGGCCCGCAAGTGCGTGTCAGTGGCTGCTTCACTGAGCTCCTCCCATGTCCTCTGCAGCTCCTGGAAGAACTCTGCACTGCGCTCGGGTGTGACGGCTGTACGAATGGTGAAGTCATATGAGCCTGGGGCAGGGGGTGGGAGTGGGAAAAAGGGGCAGTGCCACATGTGCGTGTCTGTGGCGGCCTCACTGAGCTCCTCCCATGTCCTCTGCAGCTCCTGAAAGAACTCTGCACTGCGCTCGGGCGTGACTGCCGTGCGAATGGTGAAGTCGTACGAGCCTGGTTGGGTAGAAGGAAGGTTGGATGAGTGATGAAGCCATTGGAAGAATAGGGCTTTAAGTGGTTGCTGAAAAAGTAGAGTCAATATATGACAAAGGGAGAATCTGGTCTGTTCCGTGCTAGAATTGTTGGAACAATTCTAGCTAGTGGAAAACCAGCAGCAACCCACTAGCAGAGGGGGATTCTGGGAACAATCGCACAGGCAGGGGGCAGCGTTAAAAGAGAAGATCACTTTCAAAGAGCCTCAACACACCTGAGGCCTCCACGAGAGTGAGCTGGGTGCCGTTCATCACTCGCCCGGGAAACGCCTCGCTGTAACACTGAGTGGTAACATAGAAGTTCTCCCCAACCACGCGGTGTAAATCCCCAAAGTCCCCCGCCGCCTCTATCGCCTTCCCGTGCACCCGCCGCGGCACCGGCAGCGGCCAGTTGGTTGCATTCGAAGCCATTTCAGTCTCCAGCAGAACGGATCTCATAACTTCAAACGCCCAGTCTTGAAACGGGTAGTATTTCAGGTTATGCATCTGCCCCACCCGCATGGCTGTGATTGTACCGAAGCCCTTGGGGTACTCGTTTTTGAGCTGGTCGATCCATGTGATTGTATCGCAGGGCTCAGCGTGCTGCCTCCACCGTATGATCCCATCGAACATGTCTCTCCACCCGGAGATCAGCTGTGCACCGTTGGATCGGCCGGATGAGCCGGCGGGGTTATCTCGGCCGTTGGATCTCTTCCCTGCTGCAGAGGATTTGAGGGACACGCGAGGTGTTTTCCGTCGGGACCCTCTTTGGGTGCCCCTCCCACCCGCCCTGCTGCCCGTGCTGCTCCTTCCTCTACTGCTCCCTTCGCCATTGTCACTATCACCATCCTCTGAATCCCTATCATCACCATCATCACCATTACGACCGTCGACCCTACTGCCATCAGCCCTCCTCCTCTGCGCTGCTTCATCATCCCCTAGTCCTTCACCATCCCCCTCCCCGTTCCCATCCCTCGCCTTCCGTTCCTCAATCATATGCTGCCACGTGGCATTCACCCTCTGCATCAGATCCAGGGCGGCAAGCCCCGCCATGCGGTGTTGTCTTTTGTGCGGCATGAAGCCATCCACAAAGTACTGCGTGCGCCGCCCGATTTCGTCCGCCTTGGCAATGAGAGCGCGCACTTGGGGGGAGAAGCGGATGCGAGGGGGGTTGCGAACAAGGCGGATGGGGAGGGGGCGGTAGGCGGGAAGGATGGAGAGGGGCGACTGCTTTCGCACCCATGCTTCCTGGCAGAGGGAAGGGGGGGTACAGGGGAAAAGAAAGCAGGAGGGGACTCAAAATGTGTTCGCAAGACAATCAGCGTGCACACTGGGGGTGCAAAAGGGAGATGCGAGGGGGGTTGCGGTGGAGGCGGATGGGGAGGTGTTGGTAGACGGGGAGGATGAAAACGGTAAACTGCACTGCAATGCACTGCACTGCACTGCACTGCGCTGCGCTGCACTGCACTGCGCTGCACTGCACTGCACTGCACTGCACTGCAGGAGGGGCACACCTTGAGTTCATTGTTGAGCTCGTAGTCGAGGCGGAACTGAGAAAATGGTAGGTCCAGCTTGGATACCGTGTACGCTGCGATCTCCCTCTGATGGTGGACGCGATGGGACGGGGAGGGGGAGACAATGAGAGAAGAATAGGTGGGCCATCAAGGTCCAGCTTGGATACTGTGTACGCTGCTATCTCCCTCTGATGGTGGAAGACATAGGAGGGGGCCGGACCGGGGGAAACGAGGAGAGGAGAGAAGGATAGGTGGGCCAACAAGGTCCATTTTTGAGTCGACTCAAAAAGAGACGAGAGGAGAAGGATAGGTGGGCCAACAAGGTCTAATCCAACTTGGCTGTAAACTACTCTGGAATGACCCTTGGAGGGACTATGGCAGCAATGTTTTAAGTCGACTCACTCACTCCGCCCACCCTCCACCCACCCGCTCAGCGAAGGAAGAGCCGTTGTGAGTGACAGCATGAGTGGAACGGGCAGGTCCAGCTTTGTGCTGGCGGGCTGATTACCAGCATCACACAGCACTGCACAGCACCACTGTCAAAAGCACAGCACCGCTCAACACAACATGGAACCGCACATCACCTGGTAGAACGCCATGCCCTGGAGAGTGCCGGTGTTGCTGTCTGTGGGTGAGAGACCGAGGATGCGCGTATACTGATGCAGCTGTGGATGGGTAGATAAGGAGGGGGACAGAGAAGGGTGGGTGGAGGGTGGGCGGAGTGAGTGAGTGATTGACACAGCAGCAAACCACCAGCGAGGGACAGAGACCGAGGAGAAGAGGGAAGCAACTGAGAGGGCAGGCAGATTGGAGCTTACTGCTGCCTCAAAGTCACCCAGTGCATGGTGCGCGGAAGCTTCCAGGTAGTTGAGCTCTATGTCGTCGGGGTTCAGCTTCAAACCCCTCCTTGCCGTGGTTATCACCTCCCTGCGTCAACGGCGGTCAACGGGCGTCAACGGGAGTCAACGGGAGTCAAACGGAGTGAAGGAGAGTCAAGTGGAGTGAAGGGGAGCCAAGGGGAGTGAAGGGGAGCCAAGGGGAGTACGAATAGCCATAGGAAATCAACAGGCGCCATATTAGCAAAAGAGTAAAGAAGAGTCCAAAAAAGTCAACAGTGGTCAACGGGAGTCAATGAGAGTCAGCAGGAGTTGATAGAGGGAATTCATGAAGAGCAGGTGAGGAAAATAAAGGCCTGCAGAATGGAACCCTGTAATCCTGAGCCAGATGAGTTGGTCCCACCAAGGGGCCCCTTAGAGTCACCAAGAGCTCCATAAGTCTCACCTGTGGCGGCCCACGAGCTGCATGAGGGATGTGAGGCGGATGTACGCCTGCAGAGCAGTAGAGGCTGATGAACGGCCCGCAACTACCGAATTCAAGTCATTTGAGCCAGATGAAACTTACCGAGAGCTCAAGTCACAATCACTAAAGACTCCCTCAGCCTCACCTGTGGCGGCCCACGAGCTGCATGAGGGACGTGAGGCGTATGTACGCCTCCAGCGTGCTGGGGGGAGGATGGGGGGAGGATGGGGGGAGGATGGGGGGAGGATGGGGGGAGGATGGGGGGAGGATGGGGGGAGGATGGGGGGAGGATGGGGGGAGGATGGGGGGAGGATGGGGGGAGGGGAGCATGGGTGGAACATGGGGGGCGCATGCGGGGAGCATGCGGGGCACATTGGGGGAGCATGGGGAAGAACGGGGAAGGCGTGGGTGGAGGAGGTGGCGAACCCAGGCGGCACAGGCAGGATGTCATGTGAGCATGAAAAGGGTAAGTCACTGAGTTCAGTTTCGTCACAACAGAACAACCCCCCTTTCTAACTTCATCCACTGCTCTCCCACTCCCCCACTCACTCTTCCAGCGCCAGTGCCTTATGAAGGGCAGCTAAAGCCAAATCAACCTCCCCCAGCTCCTTGTGCACGCGGCCCTTCTCCGACCACAGGTGCGCCGACATAGGGTGGCGCCTCCCTCCCATCCCAAGCCCATTCACTCTCCCACATGCTACTGACGTCAAACCGGATCTCAAACTTGACATCAAACCTGATCTCAAACTTGACGTCAAACCTCATCTCAAACTTGACGTCAAACCTGACCTCAAACTTGACGTCAAGCCTGATCTCAAACTTGACGTCAAACCTGACCTCAAACTTGACGTCAAACCGGATCTCAAACTTGACGTCAAACCTGACCTCAAACTTGACGTCAAACCGTATCTCAAACTTGACGTCAAACCGGATCTCAAACTTGACGTCAAATCGTATCTCAAACTTGACGTCAAACCGCATCTCAAACTTGACGTCAAACCTGACCTCAAACTTGACGTCAACCCTGATCTCAAACTTGACGTCAAACCTGATCTCAAACTTGACGTCAAACCTGACCTCAAACTTGACGTCAAACCTGACCTCAAACTTGACGTCAAACCGGATCTCAAACTTGACGTCAAACCTGACCTCAAACTTGACGTCAAACCTGATCTCAAACTTGACGTCAAACCTGACCTCAAACTTGACGTCAAACCTGACCTCAAACTTGACGTCAAACCTCATCTCAAACTTGACGTCAAACCTGACCTCAAACTTGACGTCAAACCTGATCTCAAACTTGACGTCAAACCTGATCTCAAACTTGACGTCAAACCTGATCTCAAACTTGACGTCAAACCTGATCTCAAACTTGACGTCAAACCTGACCTCAAACTGGACGTCAAGCCTGACCTCAAACTTGACGTCAAACCTGACCTCTCAAACTTGACGTCAAACCTAACCTCAAACTTGACGTCAAACCGGATCTCAAACTTGACGTCAAACCTGACCTCAAACTTGACGTCAAACCGGATCTCAAACTTGACGTCAAACCTGACCTCAAACTTGACGTCAAACCGGATCTCAAACTTGACGTCAAACCTGACCTCAAACTTGACGTCAAACTTGACCTCAAACTTGACGTCAAACCGAATCTCAAACTTGACGTCAAACCGGACCTCAAACAAGACGTCAAACCTGATCTCAAACTTGACGTCAAACCTGACCTCAAACTTGACGTCAAACCTGACCTCAAACTTGACGTCAAACCTGACCTCAAACTTGACGTCAAACCGGATCTCAAACTTGACGTTAAACCTGATCTCAAACTTGACGTCAAACCGGATCTCAAACTAGACGTCAAACCTGACCTCAAACTTGACGTCAAACCGGATCTCAAACTTGACGTCAAACCTGACCTCAAACTTGACGTCAAACCGGATCTAAAACTTGACGTCAAACCTGACCTCAAACTTGACGTCAAACCGGATCTCAAACTTGACGTCAAACCGGATCTCAAACTTGACGTCAAACCTGACCTCAAACTTGACGTCAAACCTGATCTCAAACTTGACGTCAAACCTGATCTCAAACTTGACGTCAAACCTGATCTCAAACTTGACGTCAAACCTGACCTCAAACTTGACGTCAAGCCTGACCTCAAACTTGACGTCAAACCTGACCTCAAACTTGACGTCAAACCTGATCTCAAACTTGACGTCAAACCTGATCTCAAACTTGACGTCAAACCTGACCTCAAACTTGACGTCAAACCTGACCTCAAACTTGACGTCAAACCTGACCTCAAACTTGACGTCAAACCTGATCTCAAACTTGACGTCAAACCTGATCTCAAACTTGACGTCAAACCTGACCTCAAACTTGACGTCAAACCTGATCTCAAACTTGACGTCAAACCGGATCTCAAACTTGACGTCAAACCTGATCTCAAACTTGACGTCAAACCTGATCTCAAACTTGAAGTCAAACCTGACCTCAAACTTGACGTCAAACCTGACCTCAAACTTGACGTCAAACCTGATCTCAAACTTGACGTCAAACCTGATCTCAAACTTGACGTCAAACCTGACCTCAAACTTGACGTCAAACCTGATCTCAAACTTGACGTCAAACCTGACCTCAAACTTGACGTCAAACCGGATCTCAAACTTGACGTCAAACCGAATCTCAAACTTGACGTCAAACCTGACCTCAAACTTGACGTCAAACCGGATCTCAAACTTGACGTAAAACCGGATCTCAAACTTGACGTCAAACCTGACCTCAAACTTGACGTCAAACCTGACCTCAAACTTGACGTCAAACCGGATCTCAAACTAGACGTCAAACCGGATCTCAAACTTGACGTCAAACCGGATCTCAAACTTGACATCAAACCTGACCTCAAACTTGACGTCAAACCGGATCTCAAACTTGACGTCAAACCGGATCTCAAACTTGACGTCAAACCGGATCTCAAACTAGACGTCAAACCGGATCTCAAACTTGACGTAAAACCGGATCTCAAACTTGACGTCAAACCTGACCTCAAACTTGACGTCAAACCGGATCTCAAACTAGACGTCAAACCGGATCTCAAACTTGACGTCAAACCGGATCTCAAACTTGACGTCAAACCTGACCTCAAACTTGACGTCAAACCTGACCTCAAACTTGACGTCAAACCTGACCTCAAACTTGACGTCAAACCTGACCTCAAACTTGACGTCAAACCGGATCTCAAACTTGACGTCAAACCTGACCTCAAACGTGACGTCAAACCGGATCTCAAACTTGACGTCAAACCGAATCTCAAACTTGACGTCAAACCTGACCTCAAACTTGACGTCAAACCTGATCTCAAACTTGATGTCAAACCGGATCTCAAACTTGACGTAAAACCGGATCTCAAACTTGACGTCAAACCTGACCTCAAACTTGACGTCAAACCTGATCTCAAACTTGACGTCAAACCGGATCTCAAACTAGACGTCAAACCGGATCTCAAACTTGACGTCAAACCTGACCTCAAACTTGACGTCAAACCGGATCTCAAACTTGACGTCAAACCTGATCTCAAACTTGACGTCAAACCGGATCTCAAACTTGACGTCAAACCTGATCTCAAACTTGACGTCAAACCGGATCTCAAACTTGACGTCAAACCTGACCTCAAACTTGACGTCAAACCGGATCTCAAACTTGACGTCAAACCTGACCTCAAACTTGACGTCAAGCCTGACCTCAAACTTGACGTCAAACCTGACCTCAAACTTGACGTCAAACCTGATCTCAAACTTGACGTCAAACCTGATCTCAAACTTGACGTCAAACCTGACCTCAAACTTGACGTCAAACCTGACCTCAAACTTGACGTCAAACCTGATCTCAAACTTGACGTCAAACCTGACCTCAAACTTGACGTCAAACCTGACCTCAAACTTGACGTCAAACCTGATCTCAAACTTGACGTCAAACCTGATCTCAAACTTGACGTCAAACCTGATCTCAAACTTGACGTCAAACCGGATCTCAAACTTGACGTCAAACCTGACCTCAAACTTGACGTCAAACCGGATCTCAAACTTGACGTCAAACCTGACCTCAAACTTGACGTCAAACCGGATCTCAAACTTGACGTCAAACCTGACCTCAAACTTGACGTCAAACCGGATCTCAAACTTGACGTCAAACCTGACCTCAAACTTGACGTCAAACCTGATCTCAAACTTGACGTCAAACCGGATCTCAAACTAGACGTCAAACCGGATCTCAAACTTGACGTCAAACCGGATCTCAAACTTGACGTCAAACCTGACCTCAAACTTGACGTCAAACCTGACCTCAAACTTGACGTCAAACCTGACCTCAAACTTGACGTCAAACCTGACCTCAAACTTGACGTCAAACCGGATCTCAAACTTGACGTCAAACCTGACCTCAAACGTGACGTCAAACCGGATCTCAAACGTGACGTCAAACCGAATCTCAAACTTGACGTCAAACCTGACCTCAAACTTGACGTCAAACCTGACCTCAAACTTGACGTCAAACCTGATCTCAAACTTGACGTCAAACCGGATCTCAAACTTGACGTAAAACCGGATCTCAAACTTGACGTCAAACCTGACCTCAAACTTGACGTCAAACCTGATCTCAAACTTGACGTCAAACCGGATCTCAAACTTGACGTCAAACCTGATCTCAAACTTGACGTCAAACCGGATCTCAAACTTGACGTCAAACCTGACCTCAAACTTGACGTCAAACCGGATCTCAAACTTGACGTCAAACCTGACCTCAAACTTGACGTCAAACCGGATCTCAAACTTGACGTCAAACCTGACCTCAAACTTGACGTCAAACCGGATCTCAAACTTGACGTCAAACCGGATCTCAAACTTGACGTCAAACCTGACCTCAAACTTGACGTCAAACCTGATCTCAAACTTGACGTCAAACCTGATCTCAAACTTGACGTCAAACCTGATCTCAAACTTGACGTCAAACCTGACCTCAAACTTGACGTCAAACCTGACCTCAAACTTGACGTCAAACCTGACCTCAAACCTGACGTCAAACCTGATCTCAAACTTGACGTCAAACCTGATCTCAAACTTGACATCAAACCTGACCTCAAACTTGACGTCAAACCTGATCTCAAACTTGACGTCAAACCGGATCTCAAACTTGACGTCAAACCTGATCTCAAACTTGACGTCAAACCTGATCTCAAACTTGACGTCAAACCTGACCTCAAACTTGACGTCAAACCTGACCTCAAACTTGACGTCAAACCTGATCTCAAACTTGACGTCAAACCTGATCTCAAACTTGACGTCAAACCTGACCTCAAACTTGACGTCAAACCTGATCTCAAACTTGACGTCAAACCTGACCTCAAACTTGACGTCAAACCGGATCTCAAACTTGACGTCAAACCTGACCTCAAACTTGACGTCAAACCTGACCTCAAACTTGACGTCAAACCGGATCTCAAACTTGACGTCAAACCGGATCTCAAACTTGACGTCAAACCTGACCTCAAACTTGACGTCAAACCTGATCTCAAACTTGACGTCAAACCTGATCTCAAACTTGACGTCAAACCTGATCTCAAACTTGACGTCAAACCTGACCTCAAACTTGACGTCAAACCTGACCTCAAACTTGACGTCAAACCTGACCTCAAACCTGACGTCAAACCTGATCTCAAACTTGACGTCAAACCTGATCTCAAACTTGACATCAAACCTGACCTCAAACTTGACGTCAAACCTGATCTCAAACTTGACGTCAAACCGGATCTCAAACTTGACGTCAAACCTGATCTCAAACTTGACGTCAAACCTGATCTCAAACTTGACGTCAAACCTGACCTCAAACTTGACGTCAAACCTGACCTCAAACTTGACGTCAAACCGGATCTCAAACTTGACGTCAAACCGGATCTCAAACTTGACGTCAAACCTGACCTCAAACTTGACGTCAAACCTGATCTCAAACTTGACGTCAAACCTGATCTCAAACTTGACGTCAAACCTGATCTCAAACTTGACGTCAAACCTGACCTCAAACTTGACGTCAAACCTGACCTCAAACTTGACGTCAAACCTGACCTCAAACCTGACGTCAAACCTGATCTCAAACTTGACGTCAAACCTGATCTCAAACTTGACATCAAACCTGACCTCAAACTTGACGTCAAACCTGATCTCAAACTTGACGTCAAACCGGATCTCAAACTTGACGTCAAACCTGATCTCAAACTTGACGTCAAACCTGATCTCAAACTTGACGTCAAACCTGACCTCAAACTTGACGTCAAACCTGACCTCAAACTTGACGTCAAACCTGATCTCAAACTTGACGTCAAACCTGATCTCAAACTTGACGTCAAACCTGACCTCAAACTTGACGTCAAACCTGATCTCAAACTTGACGTCAAACCTGACCTCAAACTTGACGTCAAACCGGATCTCAAACTTGACGTCAAACCTGACCTCAAACTTGACGTCAAACCTGACCTCAAACTTGACGTCAAACCGGATCTCAAACTTGACGTCAAACCGGATCTCAAACTTGACGTCAAACCGGATCTCAAACTTGACGTCAAACCTGACCTCAAACTTGACGTCAAACCTGATCTCAAACTTGACGTCAAACCTGATCTCAAACTTGACGTCAAACCTGATCTCAAACTTGACGTCAAACCTGACCTCAAACTTGACGTCAAACCTGACCTCAAACTTGACGTCAAACCTGACCTCAAACCTGACGTCAAACCTGATCTCAAACTTGACGTCAAACCTGATCTCAAACTTGACATCAAACCTGACCTCAAACTTGACGTCAAACCTGATCTCAAACTTGACGTCAAACCGGATCTCAAACTTGACGTCAAACCTGATCTCAAACTTGACGTCAAACCTGATCTCAAACTTGACGTCAAACCTGACCTCAAACTTGACGTCAAACCTGACCTCAAACTTGACGTCAAACCTGATCTCAAACTTGACGTCAAACCTGATCTCAAACTTGACGTCAAACCTGACCTCAAACTTGACGTCAAACCTGATCTCAAACTTGACGTCAAACCTGACCTCAAACTTGACGTCAAACCGGATCTCAAACTTGACGTCAAACCTGACCTCAAACTTGACGTCAAACCTGACCTCAAACTTGACGTCAAACCGGATCTCAAACTTGACGTCAAACCGGATCTCAAACTTGACGTCAAACCGGATCTCAAACTTGACGTCAAACCTGACCTCAAACTTGACGTCAAACCTGACCTCAAACTTGACGTCAAACCTGACCTCAAACTTGACGTCAAACCTGACCTCAAACTTGACGTCAAACCTGACCTCAAACTTGACGTCAAACCTGACCTCAAACCTGACGTCAAACCTGATCTCAAACTTGACGTCAAACCTGATCTCAAACTTGACATCAAACCTGACCTCAAACTTGACGTCAAACCTGATCTCAAACTTGACGTCAAACCGGATCTCAAACTTGACGTCAAACCTGATCTCAAACTTGACGTCAAACCTGATCTCAAACTTGACGTCAAACCTGACCTCAAACTTGACGTCAAACCTGACCTCAAACTTGACGTCAAACCTGATCTCAAACTTGACGTCAAACCTGATCTCAAACTTGACGTCAAACCTGACCTCAAACTTGACGTCAAACCTGATCTCAAACTTGACGTCAAACCTGACCTCAAACTTGACGTCAAACCGGATCTCAAACTTGACGTCAAACCTGACCTCAAACTTGACGTCAAACCTGACCTCAAACTTGACGTCAAACCGGATCTCAAACTTGACGTCAAACCGGATCTCAAACTTGACGTCAAACCGGATCTCAAACTTGACGTCAAACCTGACCTCAAACTTGACGTCAAACCTGATCTCAAACTTGACGTCAAACCTGATCTCAAACTTGACGTCAAACCTGATCTCAAACTTGACGTCAAACCTGACCTCAAACTTGACGTCAAACCTGACCTCAAACTTGACGTCAAACCTGACCTCAAACCTGACGTCAAACCTGATCTCAAACTTGACGTCAAACCTGATCTCAAACTTGACATCAAACCTGACCTCAAACTTGACGTCAAACCTGATCTCAAACTTGACGTCAAACCGGATCTCAAACTTGACGTCAAACCTGATCTCAAACTTGACGTCAAACCTGATCTCAAACTTGACGTCAAACCTGACCTCAAACTTGACGTCAAACCTGACCTCAAACTTGACGTCAAACCTGATCTCAAACTTGACGTCAAACCTGATCTCAAACTTGACGTCAAACCTGACCTCAAACTTGACGTCAAACCTGATCTCAAACTTGACGTCAAACCTGACCTCAAACTTGACGTCAAACCGGATCTCAAACTTGACGTCAAACCTGACCTCAAACTTGACGTCAAACCTGACCTCAAACTTGACGTCAAACCGGATCTCAAACTTGACGTCAAACCTGACCTCAAACTTGACGTCAAACCGGATCTCAAACTTGACGTCAAACCTGATCTCAAACTTGACGTCAAACCTGACCTGAAACTTGACGTCAAACCTGACCTCAAACTTGACATCGAACCTGACCTCAAACTTGACGTCAAACCGGATCTCAAACTTGACGTCAAACCGGATCTCAAACTAGACGTCAAACCGGATCTCAAACTTGACGTAAAACCGGATCTCAAACTTGACGTCAAACCTGACCTCAAACTTGACGTCAAACCGGATCTCAAACTTGACGTCAAACCTGACCTCAAACTTGACGTCAAACCGGATCTCAAACTTGACGTCAAACCTGACCTCAAACTTGACGTCAAACCGGATCTCAAACTTGACGTCAAACCGGATCTCAAACTTGACGTCAAACCTGACCTCAAACTTGACGTCAAACCTGATCTCAAACTTGACGTCAAACCTGATCTCAAACTTGACGTCAAACCTGATCTCAAACTTGACGTCAAACCTGACCTCAAACTTGACGTCAAGCCTGACCTCAAACTTGACGTCAAACCTGACCTCAAACTTGACGTCAAACCTGATCTCAAACTTGACGTCAAACCTGATCTCAAACTTGACGTCAAACCTGACCTCAAACTTGACGTCAAACCTGACCTCAAACTTGACGTCAAACCTGACCTCAAACCTGACGTCAAACCTGATCTCAAACTTGACGTCAAACCTGATCTCAAACTTGACATCAAACCTGACCTCAAACTTAACGTCAAACCTGATCTCAAACTTGACGTCAAACCGGATCTCAAACTTGACGTCAAACCTGATCTCAAACTTGACGTCAAACCTGATCTCAAACTTGACGTCAAACCTGACCTCAAACTTGACGTCAAACCTGACCTCAAACTTGACGTCAAACCTGATCTCAAACTTGACGTCAAACCTGATCTCAAACTTGACGTCAAACCTGACCTCAAACTTGACGTCAAACCTGATCTCAAACTTGACGTCAAACCTGACCTCAAACTTGACGTCAAACCGGATCTCAAACTTGACGTCAAACCTGACCTCAAACTTGACGTCAAACCTGATCTCAAACTTGACGTCAAACCTGATCTCAAACTTGACGTCAAACCTGACCTCAAACTTGACGTCAAACCTGATCTCAAACTTGACGTCAAACCTGACCTCAAACTTGACGTCAAACCTGATCTCAAACTTGACGTCAAACCTGATCTCAAACTTGACGTCAAACCTGACCTCAAACTTGACGTCAAACCTGATCTCAAACTTGACGTCAAACCTGACCTCAAACTTGACGTCAAACCTGACCTCAAACTTGACGTCAAACCTGACCTCAAACTTGACGTCAAACCGGATCTCAAACTTGACGTCAAACCTGACCTCAAACGTGACGTCAAACCGGATCTCAAACTTGACGTCAAACCGAATCTCAAACTTGACGTCAAACCTGACCTCAAACTTGACGTCAAACCTGATCTCAAACTTGACGTCAAACCGGATCTCAAACTTGACGTAAAACCGGATCTCAAACTTGACGTCAAACCTGACCTCAAACTTGACGTCAAACCTGATCTCAAACTTGACGTCAAACCGGATCTCAAACTAGACGTCAAACCGGATCTCAAACTTGACGTCAAACCTGACCTCAAACTTGACGTCAAACCGGATCTCAAACTTGACGTCAAACCTGATCTCAAACTTGACGTCAAACCGGATCTCAAACTTGACGTCAAACCTGATCTCAAACTTGACGTCAAACCGGATCTCAAACTTGACGTCAAACCTGACCTCAAACTTGACGTCAAACCGGATCTCAAACTTGACGTCAAACCTGACCTCAAACTTGACGTCAAGCCTGACCTCAAACTTGACGTCAAACCTGACCTCAAACTTGACGTCAAACCTGATCTCAAACTTGACGTCAAACCTGATCTCAAACTTGACGTCAAACCTGACCTCAAACTTGACGTCAAACCTGACCTCAAACTTGACGTCAAACCTGATCTCAAACTTGACGTCAAACCTGACCTCAAACTTGACGTCAAACCTGACCTCAAACTTGACGTCAAACCTGATCTCAAACTTGACGTCAAACCTGATCTCAAACTTGACGTCAAACCTGACCTCAAACTTGACGTCAAACCTGATCTCAAACTTGACGTCAAACCTGATCTCAAACTTGACGTCAAACCGGATCTCAAACTTGACGTCAAACCTGACCTCAAACTTGACGTCAAACCGGATCTCAAACTTGACGTCAAACCTGACCTCAAACTTGACGTCAAACCGGATCTCAAACTTGACGTCAAACCTGATCTCAAACTTGACGTCAAACCGGATCTCAAACTTGACGTCAAACCTGATCTCAAACTTGACGTCAAACCGGATCTCAAACTTGACGTCAAACCTGACCTCAAACTTAACGTCAAACCGGATCTCAAACTTGACGTCAAACCTGACCTCAAACTTGACGTCAAGCCTGACCTCAAACTTGACGTCAAACCTGACCTCAAACTTGACGTCAAACCTGATCTCAAACTTGACGTCAAACCTGATCTCAAACTTGACGTCAAACCTGACCTCAAACTTGACGTCAAACCTGACCTCAAACTTGACGTCAAACCTGATCTCAAACTTGACGTCAAACCTGACCTCAAACTTGACGTCTAACCTGACCTCAAACTTGACGTCAAACCGGATCTCAAACTTGACGTCAAACCTGACCTCAAACGTGACGTCAAACCGGATCTCAAACTTGACGTCAAACCGAATCTCAAACTTGACGTCAAACCTGACCTCAAACTTGACGTCAAACCTGACCTCAAACTTGACGTCAAACCTGATCTCAAACTTGACGTCAAACCGGATCTCAAACTTGACGTAAAACCGGATCTCAAACTTGACGTCAAACCTGACCTCAAACTTGACGTCAAACCTGATCTCAAACTTGACGTCAAACCGGATCTCAAACTAGACGTCAAACCGGATCTCAAACTTGACGTCAAACCTGACCTCAAACTTGACGTCAAACCGGATCTCAAACTTGACGTCAAACCTGATCTCAAACTTGACGTCAAACCGGATCTCAAACTTGACGTCAAACCTGACCTCAAACTTGACGTCAAACCGGATCTCAAACTTGACGTCAAACCTGACCTCAAACTTGACGTCAAGCCTGACCTCAAACTTGACGTCAAACCTGACCTCAAACTTGACGTCAAACCTGATCTCAAACTTGACGTCAAACCTGATCTCAAACTTGACGTCAAACCTGACCTCAAACTTGACGTCAAACCTGACCTCAAACTTGACGTCAAACCTGATCTCAAACTTGACGTCAAACCTGACCTCAAACTTGACGTCAAACCTGACCTCAAACTTGACGTCAAACCTGATCTCAAACTTGACGTCAAACCTGATCTCAAACTTGACGTCAAACCTGACCTCAAACTTGACGTCAAACCTGATCTCAAACTTGACGTCAAACCTGATCTCAAACTTGACGTCAAACCGGATCTCAAACTTGACGTCAAACCTGACCTCAAACTTGACGTCAAACCGGATCTCAAACTTGACGTCAAACCTGACCTCAAACTTGACGTCAAACCGGATCTCAAACTTGACGTCAAACCTGATCTCAAACTTGACGTCAAACCGGATCTCAAACTTGACGTCAAACCTGATCTCAAACTTGACGTCAAACCGGATCTCAAACTTGACGTCAAACCTGACCTCAAACTTGACGTCAAACCGGATCTCAAACTTGACGTCAAACCTGACCTCAAACTTGACGTCAAGCCTGACCTCAAACTTGACGTCAAACCTGACCTCAAACTTGACGTCAAACCTGATCTCAAACTTGACGTCAAACCTGATCTCAAACTTGACGTCAAACCTGACCTCAAACTTGACGTCAAACCTGACCTCAAACTTGACGTCAAACCTGATCTCAAACTTGACGTCAAACCTGACCTCAAACTTGACGTCAAACCTGACCTCAAACTTGACGTCAAACCTGATCTCAAACTTGACGTCAAACCTGATCTCAAACTTGACGTCAAACCTGACCTCAAACTTGACGTCAAACCTGATCTCAAACTTGACGTCAAACCTGATCTCAAACTTGACGTCAAACCGGATCTCAAACTTGACGTCAAACCTGACCTCAAACTTGACGTCAAACCGGATCTCAAACTTGACGTCAAACCTGACCTCAAACTTGACGTCAAACCGGATCTCAAACTTGACGTCAAACCTGACCTCAAACTTGACGTCAAACCGGATCTCAAACTTGACGTCAAACCTGACCTCAAACTTGACGTCAAACCTGATCTCAAACTTGACGTCAAACCGGATCTCAAACTAGACGTCAAAACCGGATCTCAAACTTGACGTCAAACCGGATCTCAAACTTGACGTCAAACCTGACCTCAAACTTGACGTCAAACCTGACCTCAAACTTGACGTCAAACCTGACCTCAAACTTGACGTCAAACCTGACCTCAAACTTGACGTCAAACCGGATCTCAAACTTGACGTCAAACCTGATCTCAAACTCGACGTCACACCTGACCTCAAACTTGACGTCAAACCTGACCTCAAACTTGACGTCAAACCGGATCTCAAACTTGACGTCAAACCTGACCTCAAACTTGACGTCAAGCCTGACCTCAAACTTGACGTCAAACCTGACCTCAAACTTGACGTCAAACCTGATCTCAAACTTGACGTCAAACCTGATCTCAAACTTGACGTCAAACCTGACCTCAAACTTGACGTCAAACCTGACCTCAAACTTGACGTCAAACCTGATCTCAAACTTGACGTCAAACCTGACCTCAAACTTGACGTCTAACCTGACCTCAAACTTGACGTCAAACCGGATCTCAAACTTGACGTCAAACCTGACCTCAAACGTGACGTCAAACCGGATCTCAAACTTGACGTCAAACCGAATCTCAAACTTGACGTCAAACCTGACCTCAAACTTGACGTCAAACCTGACCTCAAACTTGACGTCAAACCTGATCTCAAACTTGACGTCAAACCGGATCTCAAACTTGACGTAAAACCGGATCTCAAACTTGACGTCAAACCTGACCTCAAACTTGACGTCAAACCTGATCTCAAACTTGACGTCAAACCGGATCTCAAACTAGACGTCAAACCGGATCTCAAACTTGACGTCAAACCTGACCTCAAACTTGACGTCAAACCGGATCTCAAACTTGACGTCAAACCTGACCTCAAACTTGACGTCAAACCGGATCTCAAACTTGACGTCAAACCTGACCTCAAACTTGACGTCAAACCGGATCTCAAACTTGACGTCAAACCTGACCTCAAACTTGACGTCAAACCTGATCTCAAACTTGACGTCAAACCGGATCTCAAACTAGACGTCAAACCGGATCTCAAACTTGACGTCAAACCGGATCTCAAACTTGACGTCAAACCTGACCTCAAACTTGACGTCAAACCTGACCTCAAACTTGACGTCAAACCTGACCTCAAACTTGACGTCAAACCTGATCTCAAACTTGACGTCAAACCGGATCTCAAACTTGACGTCAAACCGGATCTCAAACTTGACGTCAAACCGGATCTCAAACTTGACGTCAAACCTGACCTCAAACTTGACGTCAAACCTGATCTCAAACTTGACGTCAAACCTGATCTCAAACTTGACGTCAAACCTGACCTCAAACTTGACGTCAAACCTGACCTCAAACTTGACGTCAAACCTGATCTCAAACTTGACGTCAAACCTGACCTCAAACTTGACGTCTAACCTGACCTCAAACTTGACGTCAAACCGGATCTCAAACTTGACGTCAAACCTGACCTCAAACGTGACGTCAAACCGGATCTCAAACTTGACGTCAAACCGAATCTCAAACTTGACGTCAAACCTGACCTCAAACTTGACGTCAAACCTGACCTCAAACTTGACGTCAAACCTGATCTCAAACTTGACGTCAAACCGGATCTCAAACTTGACGTCAAACCGGATCTCAAACTTGACGTCAAACCGGATCTCAAACTTGACGTCAAACCTGACCTCAAACTTGACGTCAAACCTGATCTCAAACTTGACGTCAAACCTGATCTCAAACTTGACGTCAAACCTGACCTCAAACTTGACGTCAAACCTGACCTCAAACTTGACGTCAAACCTGATCTCAAACTTGACGTCAAACCTGACCTCAAACTTGACGTCTAACCTGACCTCAAACTTGACGTCAAACCGGATCTCAAACTTGACGTCAAACCTGACCTCAAACGTGACGTCAAACCGGATCTCAAACTTGACGTCAAACCGAATCTCAAACTTGACGTCAAACCTGACCTCAAACTTGACGTCAAACCTGACCTCAAACTTGACGTCAAACCTGACCTCAAACTTGACGTCAAACCTGACCTCAAACTTGACGTCAAACCTGATCTCAAACTTGACGTCAAACCGGATCTCAAACTAGACGTCAAACCGGATCTCAAACTTGACGTCAAACCTGACCTCAAACTTGACGTCAAACCGGATCTCAAACTTGACGTCAAACCTGATCTCAAACTTGACGTCAAACCGGATCTCAAACTTGACGTCAAACCTGACCTCAAACTTGACGTCAAGCCTGACCTCAAACTTGACGTCAAACCTGACCTCAAACTTGACGTCAAACCTGATCTCAAACTTGACGTCAAACCTGATCTCAAACTTGACGTCAAACCTGACCTCAAACTTGACGTCAAACCTGACCTCAAACTTGACGTCAAACCTGATCTCAAACTTGACGTCAAACCTGACCTCAAACTTGACGTCAAACCTGACCTCAAACTTGACGTCAAACCTGATCTCAAACTTGACGTCAAACCTGATCTCAAACTTGACGTCAAACCTGACCTCAAACTTGACGTCAAACCTGATCTCAAACTTGACGTCAAACCTGATCTCAAACTTGACGTCAAACCGGATCTCAAACTTGACGTCAAACCTGACCTCAAACTTGACGTCAAACCGGATCTCAAACTTGACGTCAAACCTGACCTCAAACTTGACGTCAAACCGGATCTCAAACTTGACGTCAAACCTGATCTCAAACTTGACGTCAAACCGGATCTCAAACTTGACGTCAAACCTGATCTCAAACTTGACGTCAAACCGGATCTCAAACTTGACGTCAAACCTGACCTCAAACTTGACGTCAAACCGGATCTCAAACTTGACGTCAAACCTGACCTCAAACTTGACGTCAAGCCTGACCTCAAACTTGACGTCAAACCTGACCTCAAACTTGACGTCAAACCTGATCTCAAACTTGACGTCAAACCTGATCTCAAACTTGACGTCAAACCTGACCTCAAACTTGACGTCAAACCTGACCTCAAACTTGACGTCAAACCTGATCTCAAACTTGACGTCAAACCTGACCTCAAACTTGACGTCAAACCTGACCTCAAACTTGACGTCAAACCTGATCTCAAACTTGACGTCAAACCTGATCTCAAACTTGACGTCAAACCTGACCTCAAACTTGACGTCAAACCTGATCTCAAACTTGACGTCAAACCTGATCTCAAACTTGACGTCAAACCGGATCTCAAACTTGACGTCAAACCTGACCTCAAACTTGACGTCAAACCGGATCTCAAACTTGACGTCAAACCTGACCTCAAACTTGACGTCAAACCGGATCTCAAACTTGACGTCAAACCTGACCTCAAACTTGACGTCAAACCGGATCTCAAACTTGACGTCAAACCTGACCTCAAACTTGACGTCAAACCTGATCTCAAACTTGACGTCAAACCGGATCTCAAACTAGACGTCAAACCGGATCTCAAACTTGACGTCAAACCGGATCTCAAACTTGACGTCAAACCTGACCTCAAACTTGACGTCAAACCTGACCTCAAACTTGACGTCAAACCTGACCTCAAACTTGACGTCAAACCTGACCTCAAACTTGACGTCAAACCGGATCTCAAACTTGACGTCAAACCTGACCTCAAACGTGACGTCAAACCGGATCTCAAACTTGACGTCAAACCGAATCTCAAACTTGACGTCAAACCTGACCTCAAACTTGACGTCAAACCTGACCTCAAACTTGACGTCAAACCTGATCTCAAACTTGACGTCAAACCGGATCTCAAACTGACGTAAAACCGGATCTCAAACTTGACGTCAAACGTGACCTCAAACTTGACGTCAAACCTGACCTCAAACTTGACGTCAAACCGGATCTCAAACTAGACGTCAAACCGGATCTCAAACTTGACGTCAAACCGGATCTCAAACTTGACGTCAAACCTGACCTCAAACTTGACGTCAAACCGGATCTCAAACTTGACGTCAAACCGGATCTCAAACTTGACGTCAAACCGGATCTCAAACTAGACGTCAAACCGGATCTCAAACTTGACGTAAAACCGGATCTCAAACTTGACGTCAAACCTGACCTCAAACTTGACGTCAAACCTGACCTCAAACTTGACGTCAAACCTGACCTCAAACTTGACGTCAAACCTGACCTCAAACTTGACGTCAAACCGGATCTCAAACTTGACGTCAAACCTGACCTCAAACGTGACGTCAAACCGGATCTCAAACTTGACGTCAAACCGAATCTCAAACTTGACGTCAAACCTGACCTCAAACTTGACGTCAAACCTGACCTCAAACTTGACGTCAAACCTGATCTCAAACTTGACGTCAAACCGGATCTCAAACTTGACGTAAAACCGGATCTCAAACTTGACGTCAAACCTGACCTCAAACTTGACGTCAAACCGGATCTCAAACTTGACGTCAAACCGGATCTCAAACTTGACGTCAAACCTGACCTCAAACTTGACGTCAAACCTGACCTCAAACTTGACGTCAAACCTGACCTCAAACTTGACGTCAAACCTGACCTCAAACTTGACGTCAAACCGGATCTCAAACTTGACGTCAAACCTGACCTCAAACGTGACGTCAAACCGGATCTCAAACTTGACGTCAAACCGAATCTCAAACTTGACGTCAAACCTGACCTCAAACTTGACGTCAAACCGGATCTCAAACTTGACGTAAAACCGGATCTCAAACTTGACGTCAAACCTGACCTCAAACTTGACGTCAAACCTGATCTCAAACTTGACGTCAAACCGGATCTCAAACTAGACGTCAAACCGGATCTCAAACTTGACGTCAAACCGGATCTCAAACTTGACGTCAAACCTGACCTCAAACTTGACGTCAAACCGGATCTCAAACTTGACGTCAAACCTGATCTCAAACTTGACGTCAAACCGGATCTCAAACTTGACGTCAAACCTGATCTCAAACTTGACGTCAAACCGGATCTCAAACTTGACGTCAAACCTGACCTCAAACTTGACGTCAAACCGGATCTCAAACTTGACGTCAAACCGGATCTCAAACTTGACGTCAAACCTGACCTCAAACTTGACGTCAAACCGGATCTCAAACTTGACGTCAAACCTGACCTCAAACTTGACGTCAAGCCTGACCTCAAACTTGACGTCAAACCTGACCTCAAACTTGACGTCAAACCTGATCTCAAACTTGACGTCAAACCTGATCTCAAACTTGACGTCAAACCTGACCTCAAACTTGACGTCAAACCTGACCTCAAACTTGACGTCAAACCTGATCTCAAACTTGACGTCAAACCTGACCTCAAACTTGACGTCAAACCTGACCTCAAACTTGACGTCAAACCTGATCTCAAACTTGACGTCAAACCTGATCTCAAACTTGACGTCAAACCTGACCTCAAACTTGACGTCAAACCTGATCTCAAACTTGACGTCAAACCTGATCTCAAACTTGACGTCAAACCGGATCTCAAACTTGACGTCAAACCTGACCTCAAACTTGACGTCAAACCGGATCTCAAACTTGACGTCAAACCTGACCTCAAACTTGACGTCAAACCGGATCTCAAACTTGACGTCAAACCTGACCTCAAACTTGATGTCAAACCGGATCTCAAACTTGACGTCAAACCTGACCTCAAACTTGACGTCAAACCTGATCTCAAACTTGACGTCAAACCGGATCTCAAACTAGACGTCAAACCGGATCTCAAACTTGACGTCAAACCGGATCTCAAACTTGACGTCAAACCTGACCTCAAACTTGACGTCAAACCTGACCTCAAACTTGACGTCAAACCTGACCTCAAACTTGACGTCAAACCTGACCTCAAACTTGACGTCAAACCGGATCTCAAACTTGACGTCAAACCGGATCTCAAACTTGACGTCAAACCTGACCTCAAACTTGACGTCAAACCGGATCTCAAACTTGACGTCAAACCTGACCTCAAACTTGACGTCAAGCCTGACCTCAAACTTGACGTCAAACCTGACCTCAAACTTGACGTCAAACCTGATCTCAAACTTGACGTCAAACCTGATCTCAAACTTGACGTCAAACCTGACCTCAAACTTGACGTCAAACCTGACCTCAAACTTGACGTCAAACCTGATCTCAAACTTGACGTCAAACCTGACCTCAAACTTGACGTCAAACCTGACCTCAAACTTGACGTCAAACCTGATCTCAAACTTGACGTCAAACCTGATCTCAAACTTGACGTCAAACCTGACCTCAAACTTGACGTCAAACCTGATCTCAAACTTGACGTCAAACCTGATCTCAAACTTGACGTCAAACCGGATCTCAAACTTGACGTCAAACCTGACCTCAAACTTGACGTCAAACCGGATCTCAAACTTGACGTCAAACCTGACCTCAAACTTGACGTCAAACCGGATCTCAAACTTGACGTCAAACCTGACCTCAAACTTGATGTCAAACCGGATCTCAAACTTGACGTCAAACCTGACCTCAAACTTGACGTCAAACCTGATCTCAAACTTGACGTCAAACCGGATCTCAAACTAGACGTCAAACCGGATCTCAAACTTGACGTCAAACCGGATCTCAAACTTGACGTCAAACCTGACCTCAAACTTGACGTCAAACCTGACCTCAAACTTGACGTCAAACCTGACCTCAAACTTGACGTCAAACCTGACCTCAAACTTGACGTCAAACCGGATCTCAAACTTGACGTCAAACCTGACCTCAAACGTGACGTCAAACCGGATCTCAAACTTGACGTCAAACCGAATCTCAAACTTGACGTCAAACCTGACCTCAAACTTGACGTCAAACCTGACCTCAAACTTGACGTCAAACCTGATCTCAAACTTGACGTCAAACCGGATCTCAAACTTGACGTAAAACCGGATCTCAAACTTGACGTCAAACCTGACCTCAAACTTGACGTCAAACCTGATCTCAAACTTGACGTCAAACCGGATCTCAAACTAGACGTCAAACCGGATCTCAAACTTGACGTCAAACCGGATCTCAAACTTGACGTCAAACCTGACCTCAAACTTGACGTCAAACCGGATCTCAAACTTGACGTCAAACCTGATCTCAAACTTGACGTCAAACCGGATCTCAAACTTGACGTCAAACCTGATCTCAAACTTGACGTCAAACCGGATCTCAAACTTGACGTCAAACCTGACCTCAAACTTGACGTCAAACCGGATCTCAAACTTGACGTCAAACCGGATCTCAAACTTGACGTCAAACCTGACCTCAAACTTGACGTCAAACCGGATCTCAAACTTGACGTCAAACCTGACCTCAAACTTGACGTCAAGCCTGACCTCAAACTTGACGTCAAACCTGACCTCAAACTTGACGTCAAACCTGATCTCAAACTTGACGTCAAACCTGATCTCAAACTTGACGTCAAACCTGACCTCAAACTTGACGTCAAACCTGACCTCAAACTTGACGTCAAACCTGATCTCAAACTTGACGTCAAACCTGACCTCAAACTTGACGTCAAACCTGACCTCAAACTTGACGTCAAACCTGATCTCAAACTTGACGTCAAACCTGACCTCAAACTTGACGTCAAACCTGATCTCAAACTTGACGTCAAACCTGACCTCAAACTTGACGTCAAACCTGACCTCAAACTTGACGTCAAACCTGACCTCAAACTTGACGTCAAACCTGACCTCAAACTTGACGTCAAACCTGATCTCAAACTTGACGTCAAACCTGATCTCAAACTTGACGTCAAACCTGACCTCAAACTTGACGTCAAACCTGATCTCAACTTGACGTCAAACCGGATCTCAAACTTGACGTCAAACCGGATCTCAAACTTGACGTCAAACCTGACCTCAAACTTGACGTCAAACCTGATCTCAAACTTGACGTCAAACCTGATCTCAAACTTGACGTCAAACCTGACCTCAAACTTGACGTCAAACCTGACCTCAAACTTGACGTCAAACCTGATCTCAAACTTGACGTCAAACCTGACCTCAAACTTGACGTCTAACCTGACCTCAAACTTGACGTCAAACCGGATCTCAAACTTGACGTCAAACCTGACCTCAAACGTGACGTCAAACCGGATCTCAAACTTGACGTCAAACCGAATCTCAAACTTGACGTCAAACCTGACCTCAAACTTGACGTCAAACCTGACCTCAAACTTGACGTCAAACCTGACCTCAAACTTGACGTCAAACCTGACCTCAAACTTGACGTCAAACCTGATCTCAAACTTGACGTCAAACCGGATCTCAAACTAGACGTCAAACCGGATCTCAAACTTGACGTCAAACCTGACCTCAAACTTGACGTCAAACCGGATCTCAAACTTGACGTCAAACCTGATCTCAAACTTGACGTCAAACCGGATCTCAAACTTGACGTCAAACCTGACCTCAAACTTGACGTCAAGCCTGACCTCAAACTTGACGTCAAACCTGACCTCAAACTTGACGTCAAACCTGATCTCAAACTTGACGTCAAACCTGATCTCAAACTTGACGTCAAACCTGACCTCAAACTTGACGTCAAACCTGACCTCAAACTTGACGTCAAACCTGATCTCAAACTTGACGTCAAACCTGACCTCAAACTTGACGTCAAACCTGACCTCAAACTTGACGTCAAACCTGATCTCAAACTTGACGTCAAACCTGATCTCAAACTTGACGTCAAACCTGACCTCAAACTTGACGTCAAACCTGATCTCAAACTTGACGTCAAACCTGATCTCAAACTTGACGTCAAACCGGATCTCAAACTTGACGTCAAACCTGACCTCAAACTTGACGTCAAACCGGATCTCAAACTTGACGTCAAACCTGACCTCAAACTTGACGTCAAACCGGATCTCAAACTTGACGTCAAACCTGATCTCAAACTTGACGTCAAACCGGATCTCAAACTTGACGTCAAACCTGATCTCAAACTTGACGTCAAACCGGATCTCAAACTTGACGTCAAACCTGACCTCAAACTTGACGTCAAACCGGATCTCAAACTTGACGTCAAACCTGACCTCAAACGTGACGTAAAACCGGATCTCAAACTTGACGTCAAACCTGACCTCAAACTTGACGTCAAACCTGATCTCAAACTTGACGTCAAACCTGATCTCAAACTTGACGTCAAACCTGACCTCAAACTTGACGTCTAACCTGACCTCAAACTTGACGTCAAACCGGATCTCAAACTTGACGTCAAACCTGACCTCAAACGTGACGTCAAACCGGATCTCAAACTTGACGTCAAACCTGATCTCAAACTTGACGTCAAACCTTGACGTCAAACCGGATCTCAAACTTGACGTCAAACCTGATCTCAAACTTGACGTCAAACCTGATCTCAAACTTGACGTCAAACCTGACCTCAAACTTGACGTCAAACCTGACCTCAAACTTGACGTCAAACCTGATCTCAAACTTGACGTCAAACCTGATCTCAAACTTGACGTCAAACCTGACCTCAAACTTGACGTCAAACCTGATCTCAAACTTGACGTCAAACCTGACCTCAAACTTGACGTCAAACCTGATCTCAAACTTGACGTCAAACCGGATCTCAAACTTGACGTCAAACCGGATCTCAAACTTGACGTCAAACCTGACCTCAAACTTGACGTCAAACCTGATCTCAAACTTGACGTCAAACCTGATCTCAAACTTGACGTCAAACCTGACCTCAAACTTGACGTCAAACCTGACCTCAAACTTGACGTCAAACCTGATCTCAAACTTGACGTCAAACCTGACCTCAAACTTGACGTCTAACCTGACCTCAAACTTGACGTCAAACCGGATCTCAAACTTGACGTCAAACCTGACCTCAAACGTGACGTAAAACCGGATCTCAAACTTGACGTCAAACCTGACCTCAAACTTGACGTCAAACCTGATCTCAAACTTGACGTCAAACCTGATCTCAAACTTGACGTCAAACCTGACCTCAAACTTGACGTCTAACCTGACCTCAAACTTGACGTCAAACCGGATCTCAAACTTGACGTCAAACCTGACCTCAAACGTGACGTCAAACCGGATCTCAAACTTGACGTCAAACCGAATCTCAAACTTGACGTCAAACCTGACCTCAAACTTGACGTCAAACCTGACCTCAAACTTGACGTCAAACCTGACCTCAAACTTGACGTCAAACCTGACCTCAAACTTGACGTCAAACCGGATCTCAAACTTGACGTCAAACCTGACCTCAAACGTGACGTCAAACCGGATCTCAAACTTGACGTCAAACCGAATCTCAAACTTGACGTCAAACCTGACCTCAAACTTGACGTCAAACCTGACCTCAAACTTGACGTCAAACCTGATCTCAAACTTGACGTCAAACCGGATCTCAAACTTGACGTAAAACCGGATCTCAAACTTGACGTCAAACCTGACCTCAAACTTGACGTCAAACCTGATCTCAAACTTGACGTCAAACCGGATCTCAAACTAGACGTCAAACCGGATCTCAAACTTGACGTCAAACCTGACCTCAAACTTGACGTCAAACCGGATCTCAAACTTGACGTCAAACCTGACCTCAAACTTGACGTCAAACCGGATCTCAAACTTGACGTCAAACCTGACCTCAAACTTGACGTCAAACCGGATCTCAAACTTGACGTCAAACCTGACCTCAAACTTGACGTCAAACCTGATCTCAAACTTGACGTCAAACCGGATCTCAAACTAGACGTCAAACCGGATCTCAAACTTGACGTCAAACCGGATCTCAAACTTGACGTCAAACCTGACCTCAAACTTGACGTCAAACCTGACCTCAAACTTGACGTCAAACCTGATCTCAAACTTGACGTCAAACCTGACCTCAAACTTGACGTCAAACCTGACCTCAAACTTGACGTCAAACCTGATCTCAAACTTGACGTCAAACCTGACCTCAAACTTGACGTCAAACCTGATCTCAAACTTGACGTCAAACCTGACCTCAAACTTGACGTCAAACCTGACCTCAAACTTGACGTCAAACCTGACCTCAAACTTGACGTCAAACCTGACCTCAAACTTGACGTCAAACCTGATCTCAAACTTGACGTCAAACCTGATCTCAAACTTGACGTCAAACCTGACCTCAAACTTGACGTCAAACCTGATCTCAAACTTGACGTCAAACCGGATCTCAAACTTGACGTCAAACCGGATCTCAAACTTGACGTCAAACCTGACCTCAAACTTGACGTCAAACCTGATCTCAAACTTGACGTCAAACCTGATCTCAAACTTGACGTCAAACCTGACCTCAAACTTGACGTCAAACCTGACCTCAAACTTGACGTCAAACCTGATCTCAAACTTGACGTCAAACCTGACCTCAAACTTGACGTCTAACCTGACCTCAAACTTGACGTCAAACCGGATCTCAAACTTGACGTCAAACCTGACCTCAAACGTGACGTCAAACCGGATCTCAAACTTGACGTCAAACCTGACCTCAAACTTGACGTCAAGCCTGACCTCAAACTTGACGTCAAACCTGACCTCAAACTTGACGTCAAACCTGATCTCAAACTTGACGTCAAACCTGATCTCAAACTTGACGTCAAACCTGACCTCAAACTTGACGTCAAACCTGACCTCAAACTTGACGTCAAACCTGATCTCAAACTTGACGTCAAACCTGACCTCAAACTTGACGTCAAACCTGACCTCAAACTTGACGTCAAACCTGATCTCAAACTTGACGTCAAACCTGATCTCAAACTTGACGTCAAACCTGACCTCAAACTTGACGTCAAACCTGATCTCAAACTTGACGTCAAACCTGATCTCAAACTTGACGTCAAACCGGATCTCAAACTTGACGTCAAACCTGACCTCAAACTTGACGTCAAACCGGATCTCAAACTTGACGTCAAACCTGACCTCAAACTTGACGTCAAACCGGATCTCAAACTTGACGTCAAACCTGACCTCAAACTTGACGTCAAACCGGATCTCAAACTTGACGTCAAACCTGACCTCAAACTTGACGTCAAACCTGATCTCAAACTTGACGTCAAACCGGATCTCAAACTAGACGTCAAACCGGATCTCAAACTTGACGTCAAACCGGATCTCAAACTTGACGTCAAACCTGACCTCAAACTTGACGTCAAACCTGACCTCAAACTTGACGTCAAACCTGACCTCAAACTTGACGTCAAACCTGACCTCAAACTTGACGTCAAACCGGATCTCAAACTTGACGTCAAACCTGACCTCAAACGTGACGTCAAACCGGATCTCAAACTTGACGTCAAACCGAATCTCAAACTTGACGTCAAACCTGACCTCAAACTTGACGTCAAACCTGACCTCAAACTTGACGTCAAACCTGATCTCAAACTTGACGTCAAACCGGATCTCAAACTTGACGTAAAACCGGATCTCAAACTTGACGTCAACGTGACCTCAAACTTGACGTCAAACCTGACCTCAAACTTGACGTCAAACCGGATCTCAAACTAGACGTCAAACCGGATCTCAAACTTGACGTCAAACCGGATCTCAAACTTGACGTCAAACCTGACCTCAAACTTGACGTCAAACCGGATCTCAAACTTGACGTCAAACCGGATCTCAAACTTGACGTCAAACCGGATCTCAAACTAGACGTCAAACCGGATCTCAAACTTGACGTAAAACCGGATCTCAAACTTGACGTCAAACCTGACCTCAAACTTGACGTCAAACCTGACCTCAAACTTGACGTCAAACCTGACCTCAAACTTGACGTCAAACCTGACCTCAAACTTGACGTCAAACCGGATCTCAAACTTGACGTCAAACCTGACCTCAAACGTGACGTCAAACCGGATCTCAAACTTGACGTCAAACCGAATCTCAAACTTGACGTCAAACCTGACCTCAAACTTGACGTCAAACCTGACCTCAAACTTGACGTCAAACCTGATCTCAAACTTGACGTCAAACCTGACCTCAAACTTGACGTCTAACCTGACCTCAAACTTGACGTCAAACCGGATCTCAAACTTGACGTCAAACCTGACCTCAAACGTGACGTCAAACCGGATCTCAAACTTGACGTCAAACCGAATCTCAAACTTGACGTCAAACCTGACCTCAAACTTGACGTCAAACCTGACCTCAAACTTGACGTCAAACCTGATCTCAAACTTGACGTCAAACCGGATCTCAAACTTGACGTAAAACCGGATCTCAAACTTGACGTCAAACCTGACCTCAAACTTGACGTCAAACCTGACCTCAAACTTGACGTCAAACCTGATCTCAAACTTGACGTCAAACCTGACCTCAAACTTGACGTCTAACCTGACCTCAAACTTGACGTCAAACCGGATCTCAAACTTGACGTCAAACCTGACCTCAAACGTGACGTCAAACCGGATCTCAAACTTGACGTCAAACCGAATCTCAAACTTGACGTCAAACCTGACCTCAAACTTGACGTCAAACCTGACCTCAAACTTGACGTCAAACCTGACCTCAAACTTGACGTCAAACCGGATCTCAAACTTGACGTCAAACCTGACCTCAAACGTGACGTCAAACCGGATCTCAAACTTGACGTCAAACCGAATCTCAAACTTGACGTCAAACCTGACCTCAAACTTGACGTCAAACCTGACCTCAAACTTGACGTCAAACCTGATCCTCAAACTTGACGTCAAACCGGATCTCAAACTTGACGTCAAACCGGATCTCAAACTTGACGTCAAACCTGACCTCAAACTTGACGTCAAACCTGATCTCAAACTTGACGTCAAACCGGATCTCAAACTAGACGTCAAACCGGATCTCAAACTAGACGTCAAACCGGATCTCAAACTTGACGTCAAAACCGGATCTCAAACTTGACGTCAAACCTGACCTCAAACTTGACGTCAAAACCGGATCTCAAACTTGACGTCAAACCTGATCTCAAACTTGACGTCAAACCGGATCTCAAACTTGACGTCAAACCTGATCTCAAACTTGACGTCAAACCGGATCTCAAACTTGACGTCAAACCTGACCTCAAACTTGACGTCAAACCGGATCTCAAACTTGACGTCAAACCGGATCTCAAACTTGACGTCAAACCTGACCTCAAACTTGACGTCAAACCGGATCTCAAACTTGACGTCAAACCTGACCTCAAACTTGACGTCAAGCCTGACCTCAAACTTGACGTCAAACCTGACCTCAAACTTGACGTCAAAACCTGATCTCAACTTGACGTCAAACCTGATCTCAAACTTGACGTCAAACCTGACCTCAAACTTGACGTCACAACCTGACCTCAAACTTGACGTCAAACCTGATCTCAAACTTGACGTCAAACCTGACCTCAAACTTGACGTCAAACCTGACCTCAAACTTGACGTCAAACCTGATCTCAAACTTGACGTCAAACCTGACCTCAAACTTGACGTCAAACCTGATCTCAAACTTGACGTCAAACCTGACCTCAAACTTGACGTCAAACCTGACCTCAAACTTGACGTCAAACCTGACCTCAAACTTGACGTCAAACCTGACCTCAAACTTGACGTCAAACCTGATCTCAAACTTGACGTCAAACCTGATCTCAAACTTGACGTCAAACCTGACCTCAAAACTTGACGTCAAACCTGATCTCAAACTTGACGTCAAAACCGGATCTCAAACTTGACGTCAAACCGGATCTCAAACTTGACGTCAAACCTGACCTCAAACTTGACGTCAAACCTGATCTCAAACTTGACGTCAAACCTGATCTCAAACTTGACGTCAAACCTGACCTCAAACTTGACGTCAAACCTGACCTCAAACTTGACGTCAAACCTGATCTCAAACTTGACGTCAAACCTGACCTCAAACTTGACGTCTAACCTGACCTCAAACTTGACGTCAAACCGGATCTCAAACTTGACGTCAAACCTGACCTCAAACGTGACGTCAAACCGGATCTCAAACTTGACGTCAAACCTGACCTCAAACTTGACGTCAAGCCTGACCTCAAACTTGACGTCAAACCTGACCTCAAACTTGACGTCAAACCTGATCTCAAACTTGACGTCAAACCTGATCTCAAACTTGACGTCAAACCTGACCTCAAACTTGACGTCAAACCTGACCTCAAACTTGACGTCAAACCTGATCTCAAACTTGACGTCAAACCTGACCTCAAACTTGACGTCAAACCTGACCTCAACTTGACGTCAAACCTGATCTCAAACTTGACGTCAAACCTGATCTCAAACTTGACGTCAAACCTGACCTCAAACTTGACGTCAAACCTGATCTCAAACTTGACGTCAAACCTGATCTCAAACTTGACGTCAAACCGGATCTCAAACTTGACGTCAAACCTGACCTCAAACTTGACGTCAAACCGGATCTCAAACTTGACGTCAAACCTGACCTCAAACTTGACGTCAAACCGGATCTCAAACTTGACGTCAAACCTGACCTCAAACTTGACGTCAAACCGGATCTCAAACTTGACGTCAAACCTGACCTCAAACTTGACGTCAAACCTGATCTCAAACTTGACGTCAAACCGGATCTCAAACTAGACGTCAAACCGGATCTCAAACTTGACGTCAAACCGGATCTCAAACTTGACGTCAAACCTGACCTCAAACTTGACGTCAAACCTGACCTCAAACTTGACGTCAAACCTGACCTCAAACTTGACGTCAAACCTGACCTCAAACTTGACGTCAAACCGGATCTCAAACTTGACGTCAAACCTGACCTCAAACGTGACGTCAAACCGGATCTCAAACTTGACGTCAAACCGAATCTCAAACTTGACGTCAAACCTGACCTCAAACTTGACGTCAAACCTGACCTCAAACTTGACGTCAAACCTGATCTCAAACTTGACGTCAAACCGGATCTCAAACTTGACGTAAAACCGGATCTCAAACTTGACGTCAAACGTGACCTCAAACTTGACGTCAAACCTGACCTCAAACTTGACGTCAAACCGGATCTCAAACTAGACGTCAAACCGGATCTCAAACTTGACGTCAAACCGGATCTCAAACTTGACGTCAAACCTGACCTCAAACTTGACGTCAAACCGGATCTCAAACTTGACGTCAAACCGGATCTCAAACTTGACGTCAAACCGGATCTCAAACTAGACGTCAAACCGGATCTCAAACTTGACGTAAAACCGGATCTCAAACTTGACGTCAAACCTGACCTCAAACTTGACGTCAAACCTGACCTCAAACTTGACGTCAAACCTGACCTCAAACTTGACGTCAAACCTGACCTCAAACTTGACGTCAAACCGGATCTCAAACTTGACGTCAAACCTGACCTCAAACGTGACGTCAAACCGGATCTCAAACTTGACGTCAAACCGAATCTCAAACTTGACGTCAAACCTGACCTCAAACTTGACGTCAAACCTGACCTCAAACTTGACGTCAAACCTGATCTCAAACTTGACGTCAAACCTGACCTCAAACTTGACGTCTAACCTGACCTCAAACTTGACGTCAAACCGGATCTCAAACTTGACGTCAAACCTGACCTCAAACGTGACGTCAAACCGGATCTCAAACTTGACGTCAAACCGAATCTCAAACTTGACGTCAAACCTGACCTCAAACTTGACGTCAAACCTGACCTCAAACTTGACGTCAACCTGATCTCAAACTTGACGTCAAACCGGATCTCAAACTTGACGTAAAACCGGATCTCAAACTTGACGTCAAACCTGACCTCAAACTTGACGTCAAACCTGATCTCAAACTTGACGTCAAACCGGATCTCAAACTAGACGTCAAACCGGATCTCAAACTTGACGTCAAACCTGACCTCAAACTTGACGTCAAACCGGATCTCAAACTTGACGTCAAACCTGACCTCAAACTTGACGTCAAACCGGATCTCAAACTTGACGTCAAACCTGACCTCAAACTTGACGTCAAACCGGATCTCAAACTTGACGTCAAACCTGACCTCAAACTTGACGTCAAACCTGATCTCAAACTTGACGTCAAACCGGATCTCAAACTAGACGTCAAACCGGATCTCAAACTTGACGTCAAACCGGATCTCAAACTTGACGTCAACCTGACCTCAAACTTGACGTCAAACCTGACCTCAAACTTGACGTCAAACCTGACCTCAAACTTGACGTCAAACCTGATCTCAAACTTGACGTCAAACCGGATCTCAAACTTGACGTCAAAACCGGATCTCAAACTTGACGTCAAACCGGATCTCAAACTTGACGTCAAACCTGACCTCAAACTTGACGTCAAACCTGATCTCAAACTTGACGTCAAACCTGATCTCAAACTTGACGTCAAACCTGACCTCAAACTTGACGTCAAACCTGACCTCAAACTTGACGTCAAACCTGATCTCAAACTTGACGTCAAACCTGACCTCAAACTTGACGTCTAACCTGACCTCAAACTTGACGTCAAACCGGATCTCAAACTTGACGTCAAACCTGACCTCAAACGTGACGTCAAACCGGATCTCAAACTTGACGTCAAACCGAATCTCAAACTTGACGTCAAACCTGACCTCAAACTTGACGTCAAACCTGACCTCAAACTTGACGTCAAACCTGATCTCAAACTTGACGTCAAACCGGATCTCAAACTTGACGTCAAAACCGGATCTCAAACTTGACGTCAAACCGGATCTCAAACTTGACGTCAAACCTGACCTCAAACTTGACGTCAAACCTGATCTCAAACTTGACGTCAAACCTGATCTCAAACTTGACGTCAAACCTGACCTCAAACTTGACGTCAAACCTGACCTCAAACTTGACGTCAAACCTGATCTCAAACTTGACGTCAAACCTGACCTCAAACTTGACGTCTAACCTGACCTCAAACTTGACGTCAAAACCGGATCTCAAACTTGACGTCAAACCTGACCTCAAACGTGACGTCAAACCGGATCTCAAACTTGACGTCAAACCGGATCTCAAACTTGACGTCAAACCTGACCTCAAACTTGACGTCAAACCGGATCTCAAACTTGACGTCAAACCTGACCTCAAACTTGATGTCAAACCGGATCTCAAACTTGACGTCAAACCTGACCTCAAACTTGACGTCAAACCTGATCTCAAACTTGACGTCAAACCGGATCTCAAACTAGACGTCAAACCGGATCTCAAACTTGACGTCAAACCGGATCTCAAACTTGACGTCAAACCTGACCTCAAACTTGACGTCAAACCTGACCTCAAACTTGACGTCAAACCTGACCTCAAACTTGACGTCAAACCTGACCTCAAACTTGACGTCAAACCGGATCTCAAACTTGACGTCAAACCGGATCTCAAACTTGACGTCAAACCTGACCTCAAACTTGACGTCAAACCGGATCTCAAACTTGACGTCAAACCTGACCTCAAACTTGACGTCAAGCCTGACCTCAAACTTGACGTCAAACCTGACCTCAAACTTGACGTCAAACCTGATCTCAAACTTGACGTCAAACCTGATCTCAAACTTGACGTCAAACCTGACCTCAAACTTGACGTCAAACCTGACCTCAAACTTGACGTCAAACCTGATCTCAAACTTGACGTCAAACCTGACCTCAAACTTGACGTCAAACCTGACCTCAAACTTGACGTCAAACCTGATCTCAAACTTGACGTCAAACCTGATCTCAAACTTGACGTCAAACCTGACCTCAAACTTGACGTCAAACCTGATCTCAAACTTGACGTCAAACCTGATCTCAAACTTGACGTCAAACCGGATCTCAAACTTGACGTCAAACCTGACCTCAAACTTGACGTCAAACCGGATCTCAAACTTGACGTCAAACCTGACCTCAAACTTGACGTCAAACCGGATCTCAAACTTGACGTCAAACCTGACCTCAAACTTGATGTCAAACCGGATCTCAAACTTGACGTCAAACCTGACCTCAAACTTGACGTCAAACCTGATCTCAAACTTGACGTCAAACCGGATCTCAAACTAGACGTCAAACCGGATCTCAAACTTGACGTCAAACCGGATCTCAAACTTGACGTCAAACCTGACCTCAAACTTGACGTCAAACCTGACCTCAAACTTGACGTCAAACCTGACCTCAAACTTGACGTCAAACCTGACCTCAAACTTGACGTCAAACCGGATCTCAAACTTGACGTCAAACCTGACCTCAAACGTGACGTCAAACCGGATCTCAAACTTGACGTCAAACCGAATCTCAAACTTGACGTCAAACCTGACCTCAAACTTGACGTCAAACCTGACCTCAAACTTGACGTCAAACCTGATCTCAAACTTGACGTCAAACCGGATCTCAAACTTGACGTAAAACCGGATCTCAAACTTGACGTCAAACCTGACCTCAAACTTGACGTCAAACCTGATCTCAAACTTGACGTCAAACCGGATCTCAAACTAGACGTCAAACCGGATCTCAAACTTGACGTCAAACCGGATCTCAAACTTGACGTCAAACCTGACCTCAAACTTGACGTCAAACCGGATCTCAAACTTGACGTCAAACCTGATCTCAAACTTGACGTCAAACCGGATCTCAAACTTGACGTCAAACCTGATCTCAAACTTGACGTCAAACCGGATCTCAAACTTGACGTCAAACCTGACCTCAAACTTGACGTCAAACCGGATCTCAAACTTGACGTCAAACCGGATCTCAAACTTGACGTCAAACCTGACCTCAAACTTGACGTCAAACCGGATCTCAAACTTGACGTCAAACCTGACCTCAAACTTGACGTCAAGCCTGACCTCAAACTTGACGTCAAACCTGACCTCAAACTTGACGTCAAACCTGATCTCAAACTTGACGTCAAACCTGATCTCAAACTTGACGTCAAACCTGACCTCAAACTTGACGTCAAACCTGACCTCAAACTTGACGTCAAACCTGATCTCAAACTTGACGTCAAACCTGACCTAAACTTGACGTCAAACCTGACCTCAAACTTGACGTCAAACCTGATCTCAAACTTGACGTCAAACCTGACCTCAAACTTGACGTCAAACCTGATCTCAAACTTGACGTCAAACCTGACCTCAAACTTGACGTCAAACCTGACCTCAAACTTGACGTCAAACCTGACCTCAAACTTGACGTCAAACCTGACCTCAAACTTGACGTCAAACCTGATCTCAAACTTGACGTCAAACCTGATCTCAAACTTGACGTCAAACCTGACCTCAAACTTGACGTCAAACCTGATCTCAAACTTGACGTCAAACCGGATCTCAAACTTGACGTCAAACCGGATCTCAAACTTGACGTCAAACCTGACCTCAAACTTGACGTCAAACCTGATCTCAAACTTGACGTCAAACCTGATCTCAAACTTGACGTCAAACCTGACCTCAAACTTGACGTCAAACCTGACCTCAAACTTGACGTCAAACCTGATCTCAAACTTGACGTCAAACCTGACCTCAAACTTGACGTCTAACCTGACCTCAAACTTGACGTCAAACCGGATCTCAAACTTGACGTCAAACCTGACCTCAAACGTGACGTCAAACCGGATCTCAAACTTGACGTCAAACCGAATCTCAAACTTGACGTCAAACCTGACCTCAAACTTGACGTCAAACCTGACCTCAAACTTGACGTCAAACCTGACCTCAAACTTGACGTCAAACCTGACCTCAAACTTGACGTCAAACCTGATCTCAAACTTGACGTCAAACCGGATCTCAAACTAGACGTCAAACCGGATCTCAAACTTGACGTCAAACCTGACCTCAAACTTGACGTCAAACCGGATCTCAAACTTGACGTCAAACCTGATCTCAAACTTGACGTCAAACCGGATCTCAAACTTGACGTCAAACCTGACCTCAAACTTGACGTCAAGCCTGACCTCAAACTTGACGTCAACCTGACCTCAAACTTGACGTCAAACCTGATCTCAAACTTGACGTCAAACCTGATCTCAAACTTGACGTCAAACCTGACCTCAAACTTGACGTCAAACCTGACCTCAAACTTGACGTCAAACCTGATCTCAAACTTGACGTCAAACCTGACCTCAAACTTGACGTCAAACCTGACCTCAAACTTGACGTCAAACCTGATCTCAAACTTGACGTCAAACCTGATCTCAAACTTGACGTCAAACCTGACCTCAAACTTGACGTCAAACCTGATCTCAAACTTGACGTCAAACCTGATCTCAAACTTGACGTCAAACCGGATCTCAAACTTGACGTCAAACCTGACCTCAAACTTGACGTCAAACCGGATCTCAAACTTGACGTCAAACCTGACCTCAAACTTGACGTCAAACCGGATCTCAAACTTGACGTCAAACCTGATCTCAAACTTGACGTCAAACCGGATCTCAAACTTGACGTCAAACCTGATCTCAAACTTGACGTCAAACCGGATCTCAAACTTGACGTCAAACCTGACCTCAAACTTGACGTCAAACCGGATCTCAAACTTGACGTCAAACCTGACCTCAAACTTGACGTCAAGCCTGACCTCAAACTTGACGTCAAACCTGACCTCAAACTTGACGTCAAACCTGATCTCAAACTTGACGTCAAACCTGATCTCAAACTTGACGTCAAACCTGACCTCAAACTTGACGTCAAACCTGACCTCAAACTTGACGTCAAACCTGATCTCAAACTTGACGTCAAACCTGACCTCAAACTTGACGTCAAACCTGACCTCAAACTTGACGTCAAACCTGATCTCAAACTTGACGTCAAACCTGATCTCAAACTTGACGTCAAACCTGACCTCAAACTTGACGTCAAACCTGATCTCAAACTTGACGTCAAACCTGATCTCAAACTTGACGTCAAACCGGATCTCAAACTTGACGTCAAACCTGACCTCAAACTTGACGTCAAACCGGATCTCAAACTTGACGTCAAACCTGACCTCAAACTTGACGTCAAACCGGATCTCAAACTTGACGTCAAACCTGACCTCAAACTTGACGTCAAACCGGATCTCAAACTTGACGTCAAACCTGACCTCAAACTTGACGTCAAACCTGATCTCAAACTTGACGTCAAACCGGATCTCAAACTAGACGTCAAACCGGATCTCAAACTTGACGTCAAACCGGATCTCAAACTTGACGTCAAACCTGACCTCAAACTTGACGTCAAACCTGACCTCAAACTTGACGTCAAACCTGACCTCAAACTTGACGTCAAACCTGACCTCAAACTTGACGTCAAACCGGATCTCAAACTTGACGTCAACCTGACCTCAAACGTGACGTCAAACCGGATCTCAAACTTGACGTCAAACCGAATCTCAAACTTGACGTCAAACTTGATCGTCAACCTGACCTCAAACTTGACGTCAAACCTGACCTCAAACTTGACGTCAAACTTGACGTCAAACCTGATCTCAAACTTGACGTCAAACCGGATCTCAAACTTGACGTAAAACCGGATCTCAAACTTGACGTCAAACCTGATCTCAAACTTGACGTCAAACCTGATCTCAAACTTGACGTCAAACCTGACCTCAAACTTGACGTCAAACCTGACCTCAAACTTGACTTCAAACCTGATCTCAAACTTGACGTCAAACCTGATCTCAAACTTGACGTCAAACCTGACCTCAAACTTGACGTCAAACCTGATCTCAAACTTGACGTCAAACCTGACCTCAAACTTGACGTCAAAACGGATCTCAAACTTGACGTCAAACCGGATCTCAACTAGACGTCAAACCGGATCTCAAACTTGACGTCAAAACCGGATCTCAAACTTGACGTCAAACCTGACCTCAAACTTGACGTCAAACCGGATCCTCAAACTTGACGTCAAAACCGGATCTCAAACTTGACGTCAAAACCGGATCTCAAAACTTAGACGTCCAAAACTTGACGTAAAACCGGATCTCAAACTTGACGTCAAACCTGACCTCAAACTTGACGTCAAACCGGATCTCAAACTTGACGTCAACCGAATCTCAAACTTGACGTCAAACCTGACCTCAAACTTGACGTCAAACCGGATCTCCAAACTTGACGTAAAACCGGATCTCAAACTTGACGTCAAACGTGACCTCAAACTTGACGTCAAACCTGACACTCAAACTTGACGTCAAACCGGATTCTCAAACTAGACGTCAAAAACCGGATCTCAAACTTGACGTCAAACCGGATCTCAAACTTGACGTCAAACCTGACCTCAAACTTGACGTCAAACCGGATCTCAAACTTGACGTCAAAACCGGATCTCAACTTGACGTCAAACCGGATCTCAAACTAGACGTCAAACCGGATCTCAAACTTGACGTAAAAACCGGATCTCAAACTTGACGTCAAACCTGACCTCAAACTTGACGTCAAACCGGATCTCAAACTAGACGTCAAACCAAATCTCAAACTTGACGTCAAACCGGATCTCAAACTTGACGTCAAACCTGACCTCAACTTGACGTCAAACCTGACCTCAAAACTTGACGTCAAACCTGACCTCAAACTTGACGTCAAACCTGACCTCAAACTTGACGTCAAACCGGATCTCAAACTTGACGTCAAACCTGACCTCAAACGTGACGTCAAACCGGATCTCAAAACTTGACGTCAAACCGAATCTCAAACTTGACGTCAAACCTGACCTCAAACTTGACGTCAAACCTGACCTCAAACTTGACGTCAAACCTGATCTCAAACTTGACGTCAAACCGGATCTCAAACTTGACGTAAAACCGGATCTCAAACTTGACGTCAAACCTGACCTCAAACTTGACGTCAAAACCTGATCTCAAACTTGACGTCAAACCGGATCTCAAACTAGACGTCAACCGGATCTCAAACTTGACGTCAAACCGGATCTCAAACTTGACGTCAAACCTGACCTCAAACTTGACGTCAAACCGGATCTCAAACTTGACGTCAAACCTGATCTCAAACTTGACGTCAAACCGGATCTCAAACTTGACGTCAAACCTGATCTCAAACTTGACGTCAAACCGGATCTCAAACTTGACGTCAAACCTGACCTCAAACTTGACGTCAAACCGGATCTCAAACTTGACGTCAAACCTGACCTCAAACTTGACGTCAAGCCTGACCTCAAACTTGACGTCAAACCTGACCTCAAACTTGACGTCAAACCTGATCTCAAACTTGACGTCAAACCTGATCTCAAACTTGACGTCAAACCTGACCTCAAACTTGACGTCAAACCTGACCTCAAACTTGACGTCAAACCTGATCTCAAACTTGACGTCAAACCTGACCTCAAACTTGACGTCAAACCTGACCTCAAACTTGACGTCAAACCTGATCTCAAACTTGACGTCAAACCTGATCTCAAACTTGACGTCAAACCTGACCTCAAACTTGACGTCAAACCTGATCTCAAACTTGACGTCAAACCTGATCTCAAACTTGACGTCAAACCGGATCTCAAACTTGACGTCAAACCTGACCTCAAACTTGACGTCAAACCGGATCTCAAACTTGACGTCAAACCTGACCTCAAACTTGACGTCAAACCGGATCTCAAACTTGACGTCAAACCTGACCTCAAACTTGACGTCAAACCTGATCTCAAACTTGACGTCAAACCGGATCTCAACTAGACGTCAAACCGGATCTCAAACTTGACGTCAAACCGGATCTCAAACTTGACGTCAAAACCTGACCTCAAACTTGACGTCAAACCTGACCTCAAACTTGACGTCAAACCTGACCTCAAACTTGACGTCAAACCTGACCTCAAACTTGACGTCAAACCGGATCTCAAACTTGACGTCAAACCTGACCTCAAACGTGACGTCAAACCGGATCTCAAACTTGACGTCAAACCGAATCTCAAACTTGACGTCAAACCTGACCTCAAACTTGACGTCAAACCTGACCTCAAATGACTTCCAAACCTGATCTCAAACTTGACGTCAAACCGGATCTCAAACTTGACGTTAAAACCGGATCTCAAACTTGACGTCAAACCTGACCTCAAACTTGACGTCAAACCTGATCTCAAACTTGACGTCAAACGGATCTCAAACTAGACGTCAAACCGGATCTCAAACTTGACGTCAAACCGGATCTCAAACTTGACGTCAAACCTGACCTCAAACTTGACGTCAAACCGGATCTCAAACTTGACGTCAAACCTGATCTCAAACTTGACGTCAAACCGGATCTCAAACTTGACGTCAAACCTGATCTCAAACTTGACGTCAAACCGGATCTCAAACTTGACGTCCAAACCTGACCTCAAACTTGACGTCAAACCGGATCTCAAACTTGACGTCAAACCTGACCTCAAACTTGACGTCAAGCCTGACCTCAAACTTGACGTCAAACCTGACCTCAAACTTGACGTCAAACCTGATCTCAAACTTGACGTCAAACCTGATCTCAAACTTGACGTCAAACCTGACCTCAAACTTGACGTCAAACCTGACCTCAAACTTGACGTCAAACCTGATCTCCAAACTTGACGTCAAACCTGACCTCAAACTTGACGTCAAACCTGACCTCAAACTTGACGTCAAACCTGATCTCAAACTTGACGTCAAACCTGATCTCAAACTTGACGTCAAACCTGACCTCAAACTTGACGTCAAACCTGATCTCAAACTTGACGTCAAACCTGATCTCAAACTTGACGTCAAACCGGATCTCAAACTTGACGTCAAACCTGACCTCAAACTTGACGTCAAACCGGATCTCAAACTTGACGTCAAACCTGACCTCAAACTTGACGTCAAACCGGATCTCAAACTTGACGTCAAACCTGACCTCAAACTTGACGTCAAACCTGATCTCAAACTTGACGTCAAACCGGATCTCAAACTTGACGTCAAACCTGACCTCAAACTTGACGTCAAACCGGATCTCAAACTTGACGTCAAACCTGACCTCAAACTTGACGTCAAACCGGATCTCAAACTTGACGTCAAACCTGACCTCAAACTTGACGTCAAACCGGATCTCAAACTTGACGTCAAACCGGATCTCAAACTTGACGTCAAACCTGACCTCAAACTTGACGTCAAACCGGATCTCAAACTTGACGTCAAACCTTGATCTCAAACTTGACGTCAAAACCGGATCTCAAACTTGACGTCAAACCTGATCTCAAACTTGACGTCAAACCGGATCTCAAACTTGACGTCAAACCTGACCTCAAACGTGACGTCAAAACCGGATCTCAACTTGACGTCAAACCTGACCTCAAACTTGACGTCAAGCCTGACCTCAAACTTGACGTCAAACCTGACCTCAAACTTGACGTCAAACCTGATCTCAAACTTGACGTCAAACCTGATCCTCAAACTTGACGTCAAACCTGACCTCAAACTTGACGTCAAACCTGACCTCAAACTTGACGTCAAACCTGATCTCAAACTTGACGTCAAACCTGACCTCAAACTTGACGTCAAACCTGACCTCAAACTGACGTCAAACCTGATCTCAAACTTGACGTCAAAACCTGATCTCAAACTTGACGTCAAACCTGACCTCAAACTTGACGTCAAACCTGATCTCAAACTTGACGTCAAACCTGATTCTCAAACTTGACGTCCAAACCGGATCTCAAACTTGACGTCAACCTGACCTCAAACTTGACGTCAAACCGGATCTCAAACTTGACGTCAACCTGACCTCAAACTTGACGTCAAACCGGATCTCAAACTTGACGTCAAACCTGACCTCAAACTTGACGTCAAACCTGATCTCAAACTTGACGTCAAACCGGATCTCAAACTAGACGTCAAAACCGGATCTCAAACTTGACGTCAAACCGGATCTCAAACTTGACGTCAAACCTGACCTCAAACTTGACGTCAAACCTGACCTCAAACTTGACGTCAAACCTGATCCTCAAACGTGACGTCAAACCCTGACCGCAAACTTGACGTCAAACTGACCTCAACTGTGACGTCAAACCGGACCTCAAACGTGACTTCAAACCGGATCTCAAAATTGACGGTCAAACCTGACCTCAAACTTGACGTCAACCTGACCTCAAACTTGACGTCAAACCTGATCTCAAACTTGACGTCAAACCGGAATCTCAAACTTGACGTAAACCGGATCTCAACTTGACGTCAACCTGACCTCAAACTTGACGTCAAACCTGATCTCAAACTTGAAGTCAAACCGGATCTCAAACTTGACGTCAAACCGGATCTCAAACTTGACGTCAAACCGGATCTCAAACTTGACGTCAAACCTGACTCAAACTTGACGTCAAAACCGGATCTCAAACTTGACGTCAACCTGACCTCAAACTTGACGTCAAACCGGATCTCAAACGTGACGTCAAACCTGACCTCAAACTTGACGTCAAAACCGGATCTCAAACTTGACGTCAAACCGTGATCTCAAACTGACGTCAAACCTGACCTCAAACTTGACGTCAAACCTGATCTCAAACTTGACGTCAAACCTGATCTCAAACTTGACGTCAAACCTGATCTCAAACTTGACGTCAAACCTGACCTCAAACTTGACGTCAAACCTGACCTCAAACTTGACGTCAAACCTGACCTCAAACTTGACGTCAAACCTGATCTCAAACTTGACGTCAAACCTGATCTCAAACTTGACGTCAAACCTGACCTTGACGTCAAACCTGACCTCAAACTTGACGTCAAACCTGACCTCAAACTTGACGTCAAACCTGATCTCAAACTTGACGTCAAACCTGATCTCAAACTTGACGTCAAACCTGATCTCAAACTTGACGTCAAACCTGATCTCAAACTTGACGTCAAACCTGATCTCAAACTTGACGTCAAACCTGATCTCAAACTTGACGTCAAACCTGATCTCAAACTTGACGTCAAACCTGATCTCAAACTTGACGTCAAACCTGACCTCAAACTTGACGTCAAACCTGATCTCAAACTTGACGTCAAACCTGATCTCAAACTTGACGTCAAACCTGATCTCAAACTTGACGTCAAACCTGACCTCAAAACTTGACGTCAAACCTGATCTCACACTTGACGTCAAACCTGACCTCAAACTTGACGTCAACCGGATCTCAAACTTGACGTCAAACCTGACTCAACTTGACGTCAAGCCTGACCTCAAACTTGACGTCAAACCTGACCTCAAACTGACGTCAACCTGATCTCAAACTGACGTCAAACCTGATCTCAAACTTGACGTCAAACCTGATCTCAAACTTGACGTCAAACCTGACCTCAAACTGACGTCAAACCTGATCTCAAACTTGACGTCAACCTGACCTCAAACTTGACGTCAAACCTGATCTCAAACTTGACGTCAAACCTGACCTCAAACTTGACGTCAAACCTGATCCTCAAACTTGACGTCAAACCCTGATCTCAAACTTGACGTCAAACCGGACTCTCAAACTTGACGTCAAACCTGACCTCAAACTTGACGTCAAACCGGAATCTCAAACTTGACGTCAAACCTGACCTCAAACTTGACGTCAAACCTGACCTCAAACTTGACGTCAAACCTGACCTCAAACTTGACGTCAAACCTGACCTCAAACTTGACGTCAAACCGGATCTCAAACCTTGACGTCAAACCTGACCTCAAACGTGACGTCAAACCGGATCTCAAACTTGACGTCAAAACCGAATCTCAAACTTGACGTCAAACCTGACCTCAAACTTGACGTCAAACCTGACCTCAAACTTGACGTCAAACCTGATCTCAAACTTGACGTCAAACCGGATCTCAAACTTGACGTAAAACCAGATCTCAAACTTGACGTCAAACCTGACCTCAAACTTGACGTCAAACCTGATCTCAAACTTGACGTCAAACCGGATCTCAAACTAGACGTCAAACCGGATCTCAAACTTGACGTCAAAACCGGATCTCAAACTTGACGTCAAACCTGACCTCAAACTTGACGTCAAACCGGATCTCAAACTTGACGTCAAACCTGATCTCAAACTTGACGTCAAACCGGATCTCAAACTTGACGTCAAACCTGACCTCAAACTTGACGTCAAACCGGATCTCAAACTTGACGTCAAACCTGATCTCAAACTTGACGTAAAACCGGATCTCAAACTTGACGTCAAACCTGACCTCAAACTTGACGTCAAACCGGATCTCAAACTTAACGTCAAACCGGATCTCAAACTTGACGTCAAACCTGACCTCAAACTTGACGTCAAACCGGATCTCAAACTTGACGTCAAACCTGACCTCAAACTTGACGTCAAGCCTGACCTCAAACTTGACGTCAAACCTGACCTCAAACTTGACGTCAAACCTGATCTCAAACTTGACGTCAAACCTGACCTCAAACTTGACGTCAAACCGGATCTCAAACTTGACGTCAAACCTGATCTCAAACTTGACGTCAAACCGGATCTCAAACTTGACGTCAAACCTGATCTCAAACTTGACGTCAAACCTGATCTCAAACTTGACGTCAAACCTGACCTCAAAACTTGACGTCAAACCTGACTCTCACACTTGACGTCAAACCTGATCTCAAACTTGACGGTCAAACCTGATCTCAAACTTGACGTCAAACCTGACCTCAAACTTTGACGTCAAACCTGATCTCAAACTTGACGTTCAAACCTGACCTCAAACTTGACGTCAAACCGGATCTCAAAATTGACGTCAAACCTGACCTCAAACCTTGACGTCAAACCTGACCTCAAACTTGACGTCAAACCGGATCTCAAACTTGACGTCAAACGGATCTCAAACTTGACGTCAAACCGGATCTCAAACTTGACGTCAAACCTGGACCTCAAACTTGACGTCCAAACCTGACCTCAAACTTGACGTCAAAGCCTGACCTCAAACTTGACGTCAAAACCTGACCTCAAACTGAGCGTCAAACCGGGTTGGGTAACCTGACCTCAAACTTGACGTCAAACCGATCTCAAACTTGACGTCAAACCTCAAACTTGACGTCAAACCGGATCTCAAACTTGACGTCAAACCTGACCTCAAACTTGACGTCAAACCGATCTCAAACTTGACGTCAAACCGATCTCAAACTTGACGTCAAACCTGACCTCAAACTTGACGTCAAACCTGACCTCAAACTTGACGTCAAACCTGATCTCAAACTTGACGTCAAACCTGATCTCAAACTTGACGTCAAACCGGATCTCAAACTTGACGTCAAACCTGACCTCAAACTTGACGTCAAACCTGATCTCAAACTTGACGTCAAACCTGATCTCAAACTTGACGTCAAACCTGATCTCAAACTTGACGTCAAACCGGATCTCAAACTTGACGTCAAACCTGACCTCAAACTTGACGTCAAACCGGATCTCAAACTTGACGTCAAACCTGATCTCAAACTTGACGTCAAACCGGATCTCAAACTTGACGTCAAACCTGATCTCAAACTTGACGTCAAACCGGATCTCAAACTTGACGTCAAACCTGATCTCAAACTTGACGTCAAACCGGATCTCAAACTTGACGTCAAACCTGACCTCAAACTTGACGTCAAACCTGATCTCAAACTTGACGTCAAACCTGATCTCAAACTTGACGTCAAACCTGATCTCAAACTTGACGTCAAACCTGACCTCAAACTTGACGTCAAACCTGATCTCAAACTTGACGTCAAACCTGATCTCAAACTTGACGTCAAACCTGATCTCAAACTTGACGTCAAACCTGATCTCAAACTTGACGTCAAACCTGACCTCAAACTTGACGTCAAACCTGACCTCAAACTTGACGTCAAACCTGATCTCAAACTTGACGTCAAACCTGATCTCAAACTTGACGTCAAACCTGACCTCAAACTTGACGTCAAACCTGATCTCAAACTTGACGTCAAACCTGACCTCAAACTTGACGTCAAACCGGATCTCAAACTTGACGTCAAACCTGACCTCAAACTTGACGTCAAACCTGACCTCAAACTTGACGTCAAACCTGACCTCAAACTTGACGTCAAACCTGATCTCAAACTTGACGTCAAACCTGATCTCAAACTTGACGTCAAACCTGACCTCAAACTTGACGTCAAACCTGACCTCAAACTTGACGTCAAACCTGATCTCAAACTTGACGTCAAACCTGACCTCAAACTTGACGTCAAACCTGACCTCAAACTTGACGTCAAACCTGATCTCAAACTTGACGTCAAACCTGACCTCAAACTTGACGTCAAACCTGATCTCAAACTTGACGTCAAACCTGATCTCAAACTTGACGTCAAACCGGATCTCAAACTTGACGTCAAACCTGACCTCAAACTTGACGTCAAACCGGATCTCAAACTTGACGTCAAACCTGACCTCAAACTTGACGTCAAACCTGACCTCAAACTTGACGTCAAACCTGACCTCAAACTTGACGTCAAACCTGACCTCAAACTTGACGTCAAACCGGATCTCAAACTTGACGTCAAACCTGACCTCAAACTTGACGTCAAACCGGATCTCAAACTTGACGTCAAACCGAATCTCAAACTTGACGTCAAACCTGACCTCAAACTTGACGTCAAACCTGACCTCAAACTTGACGTCAAACCTGATCTCAAACTTGACGTCAAACCTGATCTCAAACTTGACGTCAAACCTGATCTCAAACTTGACGTCAAACCTGACCTCAAACTTGACGTCAAACCTGATCTCAAACTTGACGTCAAACCTGATCTCAAACTTGACGTCAAACCTGATCTCAAACTTGACGTCAAACCGGATCTCAAACTTGACGTCAAACCTGACCTCAAACTTGACGTCAAACCGGATCTCAAACTTGACGTCAAACCTGATCTCAAACTTGACGTCAAACCGGATCTCAAACTTGACGTCAAACCTGACCTCAAACTTGACGTCAAACCGGATCTCAAACTTGACGTCAAACCTGATCTCAAACTTGACGTCAAACCTGATCTCAAACTTGACGTCAAACCTGACCTCAAACTTGACGTCAAACCTGATCTCAAACTTGACGTCAAACCTGATCTCAAACTTGACGTCAAACCTGACCTCAAACTTGACGTCAAACCGGATCTCAAACTTGACGTCAAACCTGACCTCAAACTTGACGTCAAACCTGATCTCAAACTTGACGTCAAACCTGACCTCAAACTTGACGTCAAACCTGATCTCAAACTTGACGTCAAACCTGACCTCAAACTTGACGTCAAACCTGATCTCAAACTTGACGTCAAACCTGATCTCAAACTTGACGTCAAACCGGATCTCAAACTTGACGTCAAACCTGATCTCAAACTTGACGTCAAACCTGATCTCAAACTTGACGTCAAACCTGACCTCAAACTTGACGTCAAACCTGATCTCAAACTTGACGTCAAACCTGATCTCAAACTTGACGTCAAACCTGATCTCAAACTTGACGTCAAACCTGATCTCAAACTTGACGTCAAACCTGATCTCAAACTTGACGTCAAACCTGACCTCAAACTTGACGTCAAACCGGATCTCAAACTTGACGTCAAACCTGACCTCAAACTTGACGTCAAACCTGACCTCAAACTTGACGTCAAACCTGATCTCAAACTTGACGTCAAACCTGATCTCAAACTTGACGTCAAACCTGATCTCAAACTTGACGTCAAACCTGACCTCAAACTTGACGTCAAACCTGACCTCAAACTTGACGTCAAACCTGACCTCAAACTTGACGTCAAACCTGATCTCAAACTTGACGTCAAACCTGACCTCAAACTTGACGTCAAACCTGATCTCAAACTTGACGTCAAACCTGACCTCAAACTTGACGTCAAACCGAATCTCAAACTTGACGTGACCTCAAACTTGACGTCAAACCGGATCTCAAACTTGACGTCAAACCTGACCTCAAACTTGACGTCAAACCTGATCTCAAACTTGACGTCAAACCTGATCTCAAACTTGACGTCAAACCTGACCTCAAACTTGACGTCAAACCTGACCTCAAACTTGACGTCAAACCTGATCTCAAACTTGACGTCAAACCTGATCTCAAACTTGACGTCAAACCTGATCTCAAACTTGACGTCAAACCTGACCTCAAACTTGACGTCAAACCTGATCTCAAACTTGACGTCAAACCTGATCTCAAACTTGACGTCAAACCTGATCTCAAACTTGACGTCAAACCTGATCTCAAACTTGACGTCAAACCTGACCTCAAACTTGACGTCAAACCGGATCTCAAACTTGACGTCAAACCTGATCTCAAACTTGACGTCAAACCGGATCTCAAACTTGACGTCAAACCTGATCTCAAACTTGACGTCAAACCTGATCTCAAACTTGACGTCAAACCTGATCTCAAACTTGACGTCAAACCGGATCTCAAACTTGACGTCAAACCTGACCTCAAACTTGACGTCAAACCTGATCTCAAACTTGACGTCAAACCTGATCTCAAACTTGACGTCAAACCTGACCTCAAACTTGACGTCAAACCTGATCTCAAACTTGACGTCAAACCTGACCTCAAACTTGACGTCAAACCTGATCTCAAACTTGACGTCAAACCTGATCTCAAACTTGACGTCAAACCTGATCTCAAACTTGACGTCAAACCTGATCTCAAACTTGACGTCAAACCTGATCTCAAACTTGACGTCAAACCTGACCTCAAACTTGACGTCAAACCTGACCTCAAACTTGACGTCAAACCTGATCTCAAACTTGACGTCAAACCTGATCTCAAACTTGACGTCAAACCTGATCTCAAACTTGACGTCAAACCTGATCTCAAACTTGACGTCAAACCTGATCTCAAACTTGACGTCAAACCTGATCTCAAACTTGACGTCAAACCTGACCTCAAACTTGACGTCAAACCTGATCTCAAACTTGACGTCAAACCTGATCTCAAACTTGACGTCAAACCGGATCTCAAACTTGACGTCAAACCTGACCTCAAACTTGACGTCAAACCGGATCTCAAACTTGACGTCAAACCTGACCTCAAACTTGACGTCAAACCGGATCTCAAACTTGACGTCAAACCTGACCTCAAACTTGACGTCAAACCTGATCTCAAACTTGACGTCAAACCTGACCTCAAACTTGACGTCAAACCTGATCTCAAACTTGACGTCAAACCTGATCTCAAACTTGACGTCAAACCGGATCTCAAACTTGACGTCAAACCTGACCTCAAACTTGACGTCAAACCTGATCTCAAACTTGACGTCAAACCTGATCTCAAACTTGACGTCAAACCTGATCTCAAACTTGACGTCAAACCTGATCTCAAACTTGACGTCAAACCTGACCTCAAACTTGACGTCAAACCTGATCTCAAACTTGACGTCAAACCTGATCTCAAACTTGACGTCAAACCTGATCTCAAACTTGACGTCAAACCTGATCTCAAACTTGACGTCAAACCGGATCTCAAACTTGACGTCAAACCTGATCTCAAACTTGACGTCAAACCTGATCTCAAACTTGACGTCAAACCTGACCTCAAACTTGACGTCAAACCTGATCTCAAACTTGACGTCAAACCTGATCTCAAACTTGACGTCAAACCTGACCTCAAACTTGACGTCAAACCTGATCTCAAACTTGACGTCAAACCTGACCTCAAACTTGACGTCAAACCTGATCTCAAACTTGACGTCAAACCTGATCTCAAACTTGACGTCAAACCTGATCTCAAACTTGACGTCAAACCTGATCTCAAACTTGACGTCAAACCTGATCTCAAACTTGACGTCAAACCTGATCTCAAACTTGACGTCAAACCTGATCTCAAACTTGACGTCAAACCTGACCTCAAACTTGACGTCAAACCTGATCTCAAACTTGACGTCAAACCTGATCTCAAACTTGACGTCAAACCTGACCTCAAACTTGACGTCAAACCTGATCTCAAACTTGACGTCAAACCTGATCTCAAACTTGACGTCAAACCTGACCTCAAACTTGACGTCAAACCTGATCTCAAACTTGACGTCAAACCTGATCTCAAACTTGACGTCAAACCGGATCTCAAACTTGACGTCAAACCTGACCTCAAACTTGACGTCAAACCGGATCTCAAACTTGACGTCAAACCTGACCTCAAACTTGACGTCAAACCGGATCTCAAACTTGACGTCAAACCTGACCTCAAACTTGACGTCAAACCGGATCTCAAACTTGACGTCAAACCTGACCTCAAACTTGACGTCAAACCTGATCTCAAACTTGACGTCAAACCTGATCTCAAACTTGACGTCAAACCTGATCTCAAACTTGACGTCAAACCTGATCTCAAACTTGACGTCAAACCTGACCTCAAACTTGACGTCAAACCTGACCTCAAACTTGACGTCAAACCTGACCTCAAACTTGACGTCAAACCTGACCTCAAACTTGACGTCAAACCTGATCTCAAACTTGACGTCAAACCTGACCTCAAACTTGACGTCAAACCTGATCTCAAACTTGACGTCAAACCTGATCTCAAACTTGACGTCAAACCTGACCTCAAACTTGACGTCAAACCTGACCTCAAACTTGACGTCAAACCTGATCTCAAACTTGACGTCAAACCTGATCTCAAACTTGACGTCAAACCTGATCTCAAACTTGACGTCAAACCTGACCTCAAACTTGACGTCAAACCTGATCTCAAACTTGACGTCAAACCTGATCTCAAACTTGACGTCAAACCTGATCTCAAACTTGACGTCAAACCGGATCTCAAACTTGACGTCAAACCTGACCTCAAACTTGACGTCAAACCGGATCTCAAACTTGACGTCAAACCTGATCTCAAACTTGACGTCAAACCGGATCTCAAACTTGACGTCAAACCTGATCTCAAACTTGACGTCAAACCGGATCTCAAACTTGACGTCAAACCTGACCTCAAACTTGACGTCAAACCGGATCTCAAACTTGACGTCAAACCTGATCTCAAACTTGACGTCAAACCGGATCTCAAACTTGACGTCAAACCTGACCTCAAACTTGACGTCAAACCTGATCTCAAACTTGACGTCAAACCTGATCTCAAACTTGACGTCAAACCTGACCTCAAACTTGACGTCAAACCTGATCTCAAACTTGACGTCAAACCTGATCTCAAACTTGACGTCAAACCTGACCTCAAACTTGACGTCAAACCTGACCTCAAACTTGACGTCAAACCTGATCTCAAACTTGACGTCAAACCTGACCTCAAACTTGACGTCAAACCTGATCTCAAACTTGACGTCAAACCTGATCTCAAACTTGACGTCAAACCGGATCTCAAACTTGACGTCAAACCTGATCTCAAACTTGACGTCAAACCTGATCTCAAACTTGACGTCAAACCTGACCTCAAACTTGACGTCAAACCTGACCTCAAACTTGACGTCAAACCTGATCTCAAACTTGACGTCAAACCTGATCTCAAACTTGACGTCAAACCTGACCTCAAACTTGACGTCAAACCTGATCTCAAACTTGACGTCAAACCTGACCTCAAACTTGACGTCAAACCGGATCTCAAACTTGACGTCAAACCTGACCTCAAACTTGACGTCAAACCTGACCTCAAACTTGACGTCAAACCTGATCTCAAACTTGACGTCAAACCTGATCTCAAACTTGACGTCAAACCGGATCTCAAACTTGACGTCAAACCTGACCTCAAACTTGACGTCAAACCTGACCTCAAACTTGACGTCAAACCTGATCTCAAACTTGACGTCAAACCTGACCTCAAACTTGACGTCAAACCTGACCTCAAACTTGACGTCAAACCGGATCTCAAACTTGACGTCAAACCTGACCTCAAACTTGACGTCAAACCGATCTCAAACTTGACGTCAAACCGATCTCAAACTTGACGTCAAACCTGACCTCAAACTTGACGTCAAACCTGACCTCAAACTTGACGTCAAACCTGATCTCAAACTTGACGTCAAACCTGATCTCAAACTTGACGTCAAACCTGATCTCAAACTTGACGTCAAACCTGACCTCAAACTTGACGTCAAACCTGATCTCAAACTTGACGTCAAACCTGATCTCAAACTTGACGTCAAACCTGATCTCAAACTTGACGTCAAACCTGATCTCAAACTTGACGTCAAACCTGACCTCAAACTTGACGTCAAACCGGATCTCAAACTTGACGTCAAACCTGATCTCAAACTTGACGTCAAACCGGATCTCAAACTTGACGTCAAACCTGATCTCAAACTTGACGTCAAACCGGATCTCAAACTTGACGTCAAACCTGATCTCAAACTTGACGTCAAACCGGATCTCAAACTTGACGTCAAACCTGACCTCAAACTTGACGTCAAACCTGATCTCAAACTTGACGTCAAACCTGATCTCAAACTTGACGTCAAACCTGACCTCAAACTTGACGTCAAACCGGATCTCAAACTTGACGTCAAACCTGATCTCAAACTTGACGTCAAACCTGACCTCAAACTTGACGTCAAACCTGATCTCAAACTTGACGTCAAACCTGATCTCAAACTTGACGTCAAACCTGATCTCAAACTTGACGTCAAACCTGACCTCAAACTTGACGTCAAACCTGACCTCAAACTTGACGTCAAACCTGATCTCAAACTTGACGTCAAACCTGACCTCAAACTTGACGTCAAACCTGACCTCAAACTTGACGTCAAACCTGATCTCAAACTTGACGTCAAACCTGATCTCAAACTTGACGTCAAACCTGACCTCAAACTTGACGTCAAACCTGATCTCAAACTTGACGTCAAACCTGATCTCAAACTTGACGTCAAACCGGATCTCAAACTTGACGTCAAACCTGACCTCAAACTTGACGTCAAACCTGACCTCAAACTTGACGTCAAACCTGACCTCAAACTTGACGTCAAACCTGACCTCAAACTTGACGTCAAACCGGATCTCAAACTTGACGTCAAACCTGACCTCAAACTTGACGTCAAACCTGATCTCAAACTTGACGTCAAACCGATCTCAAACTTGACGTCAAACCTGACCTCAAACTTGACGTCAAACCTGACCTCAAACTTGACGTCAAACCTGATCTCAAACTTGACGTCAAACCTGATCTCAAACTTGACGTCAAACCTGATCTCAAACTTGACGTCAAACCTGACCTCAAACTTGACGTCAAACCTGATCTCAAACTTGACGTCAAACCGGATCTCAAACTTGACGTCAAACCTGATCTCAAACTTGACGTCAAACCTGATCTCAAACTTGACGTCAAACCTGACCTCAAACTTGACGTCAAACCGGATCTCAAACTTGACGTCAAACCTGATCTCAAACTTGACGTCAAACCGGATCTCAAACTTGACGTCAAACCTGATCTCAAACTTGACGTCAAACCGGATCTCAAACTTGACGTCAAACCTGACCTCAAACTTGACGTCAAACCGGATCTCAAACTTGACGTCAAACCTGATCTCAAACTTGACGTCAAACCGGATCTCAAACTTGACGTCAAACCTGACCTCAAACTTGACGTCAAACCTGATCTCAAACTTGACGTCAAACCTGATCTCAAACTTGACGTCAAACCTGACCTCAAACTTGACGTCAAACCTGATCTCAAACTTGACGTCAAACCTGACCTCAAACTTGACGTCAAACCTGACCTCAAACTTGACGTCAAACCTGACCTCAAACTTGACGTCAAACCTGATCTCAAACTTGACGTCAAACCTGACCTCAAACTTGACGTCAAACCTGATCTCAAACTTGACGTCAAACCTGATCTCAAACTTGACGTCAAACCTGATCTCAAACTTGACGTCAAACCTGATCTCAAACTTGACGTCAAACCTGATCTCAAACTTGACGTCAAACCTGACCTCAAACTTGACGTCAAACCTGATCTCAAACTTGACGTCAAACCTGATCTCAAACTTGACGTCAAACCTGATCTCAAACTTGACGTCAAACCTGACCTCAAACTTGACGTCAAACCTGATCTCAAACTTGACGTCAAACCTGACCTCAAACTTGACGTCAAACCGGATCTCAAACTTGACGTCAAACCTGACCTCAAACTTGACGTCAAACCTGATCTCAAACTTGACGTCAAACCTGATCTCAAACTTGACGTCAAACCTGATCTCAAACTTGACGTCAAACCTGATCTCAAACTTGACGTCAAACCTGACCTCAAACTTGACGTCAAACCTGATCTCAAACTTGACGTCAAACCTGATCTCAAACTTGACGTCAAACCTGATCTCAAACTTGACGTCAAACCTGACCTCAAACTTGACGTCAAACCTGATCTCAAACTTGACGTCAAACCTGATCTCAAACTTGACGTCAAACCTGACCTCAAACTTGACGTCAAACCTGATCTCAAACTTGACGTCAAACCTGACCTCAAACTTGACGTCAAACCTGACCTCAAACTTGACGTCAAACCTGATCTCAAACTTGACGTCAAACCTGATCTCAAACTTGACGTCAAACCTGACCTCAAACTTGACGTCAAACCTGATCTCAAACTTGACGTCAAACCTGATCTCAAACTTGACGTCAAACCTGACCTCAAACTTGACGTCAAACCTGATCTCAAACTTGACGTCAAACCGATCTCAAACTTGACGTCAAACCTGACCTCAAACTTGACGTCAAACCTGACCTCAAACTTGACGTCAAACCTGATCTCAAACTTGACGTCAAACCTGATCTCAAACTTGACGTCAAACCTGATCTCAAACTTGACGTCAAACCTGACCTCAAACTTGACGTCAAACCTGATCTCAAACTTGACGTCAAACCTGATCTCAAACTTGACGTCAAACCTGACCTCAAACTTGACGTCAAACCTGATCTCAAACTTGACGTCAAACCTGACCTCAAACTTGACGTCAAACCTGACCTCAAACTTGACGTCAAACCTGACCTCAAACTTGACGTCAAACCTGATCTCAAACTTGACGTCAAACCTGACCTCAAACTTGACGTCAAACCGGATCTCAAACTTGACGTCAAACCTGATCTCAAACTTGACGTCAAACCTGATCTCAAACTTGACGTCAAACCTGATCTCAAACTTGACGTCAAACCTGATCTCAAACTTGACGTCAAACCTGACCTCAAACTTGACGTCAAACCTGATCTCAAACTTGACGTCAAACCTGATCTCAAACTTGACGTCAAACCTGATCTCAAACTTGACGTCAAACCTGACCTCAAACTTGACGTCAAACCTGATCTCAAACTTGACGTCAAACCTGACCTCAAACTTGACGTCAAACCTGATCTCAAACTTGACGTCAAACCTGACCTCAAACTTGACGTCAAACCTGACCTCAAACTTGACGTCAAACCTGATCTCAAACTTGACGTCAAACCTGATCTCAAACTTGACGTCAAACCGGATCTCAAACTTGACGTCAAACCTGACCTCAAACTTGACGTCAAACCTGACCTCAAACTTGACGTCAAACCTGATCTCAAACTTGACGTCAAACCTGACCTCAAACTTGACGTCAAACCTGACCTCAAACTTGACGTCAAACCTGATCTCAAACTTGACGTCAAACCTGACCTCAAACTTGACGTCAAACCGATCTCAAACTTGACGTCAAACCTGATCTCAAACTTGACGTCAAACCTGACCTCAAACTTGACGTCAAACCTGACCTCAAACTTGACGTCAAACCTGATCTCAAACTTGACGTCAAACCTGATCTCAAACTTGACGTCAAACCTGATCTCAAACTTGACGTCAAACCTGACCTCAAACTTGACGTCAAACCTGATCTCAAACTTGACGTCAAACCTGATCTCAAACTTGACGTCAAACCTGATCTCAAACTTGACGTCAAACCGGATCTCAAACTTGACGTCAAACCTGACCTCAAACTTGACGTCAAACCGGATCTCAAACTTGACGTCAAACCTGATCTCAAACTTGACGTCAAACCGGATCTCAAACTTGACGTCAAACCTGATCTCAAACTTGACGTCAAACCGGATCTCAAACTTGACGTCAAACCTGATCTCAAACTTGACGTCAAACCGGATCTCAAACTTGACGTCAAACCTGACCTCAAACTTGACGTCAAACCTGATCTCAAACTTGACGTCAAACCTGATCTCAAACTTGACGTCAAACCTGACCTCAAACTTGACGTCAAACCGGATCTCAAACTTGACGTCAAACCTGACCTCAAACTTGACGTCAAACCTGACCTCAAACTTGACGTCAAACCTGACCTCAAACTTGACGTCAAACCTGATCTCAAACTTGACGTCAAACCTGATCTCAAACTTGACGTCAAACCTGACCTCAAACTTGACGTCAAACCTGACCTCAAACTTGACGTCAAACCTGATCTCAAACTTGACGTCAAACCTGACCTCAAACTTGACGTCAAACCTGACCTCAAACTTGACGTCAAACCTGATCTCAAACTTGACGTCAAACCTGATCTCAAACTTGACGTCAAACCTGACCTCAAACTTGACGTCAAACCTGATCTCAAACTTGACGTCAAACCTGATCTCAAACTTGACGTCAAACCGGATCTCAAACTTGACGTCAAACCTGACCTCAAACTTGACGTCAAACCGGATCTCAAACTTGACGTCAAACCTGACCTCAAACTTGACGTCAAACCGGATCTCAAACTTGACGTCAAACCTGACCTCAAACTTGACGTCAAACCGGATCTCAAACTTGACGTCAAACCTGACCTCAAACTTGACGTCAAACCTGATCTCAAACTTGACGTCAAACCTGATCTCAAACTTGACGTCAAACCTGATCTCAAACTTGACGTCAAACCTGATCTCAAACTTGACGTCAAACCTGATCTCAAACTTGACGTCAAACCTGACCTCAAACTTGACGTCAAACCTGACCTCAAACTTGACGTCAAACCTGACCTCAAACTTGACGTCAAACCTGATCTCAAACTTGACGTCAAACCTGACCTCAAACTTGACGTCAAACCTGATCTCAAACTTGACGTCAAACCTGATCTCAAACTTGACGTCAAACCTGACCTCAAACTTGACGTCAAACCTGACCTCAAACTTGACGTCAAACCTGATCTCAAACTTGACGTCAAACCTGATCTCAAACTTGACGTCAAACCTGATCTCAAACTTGACGTCAAACCTGACCTCAAACTTGACGTCAAACCTGATCTCAAACTTGACGTCAAACCTGATCTCAAACTTGACGTCAAACCTGATCTCAAACTTGACGTCAAACCTGATCTCAAACTTGACGTCAAACCTGATCTCAAACTTGACGTCAAACCTGACCTCAAACTTGACGTCAAACCTGATCTCAAACTTGACGTCAAACCTGATCTCAAACTTGACGTCAAACCTGATCTCAAACTTGACGTCAAACCTGATCTCAAACTTGACGTCAAACCTGACCTCAAACTTGACGTCAAACCTGATCTCAAACTTGACGTCAAACCGGATCTCAAACTTGACGTCAAACCTGATCTCAAACTTGACGTCAAACCTGATCTCAAACTTGACGTCAAACCTGACCTCAAACTTGACGTCAAACCGGATCTCAAACTTGACGTCAAACCTGATCTCAAACTTGACGTCAAACCGGATCTCAAACTTGACGTCAAACCTGACTCAAACTTGACGTCAAACCGGATCTCAAACTTGACGTCAAACCTGACCTCAAACTTGACGTCAAACCGGATCTCAAACTTGACGTCAAACCTGATCTCAAACTTGACGTCAAACCGGATCTCAAACTTGACGTCAAACCTGACCTCAAACTTGACGTCAAACCTGATCTCAAACTTGACGTCAAACCTGATCTCAAACTTGACGTCAAACCTGACCTCAAACTTGACGTCAAACCTGATCTCAAACTTGACGTCAAACCTGATCTCAAACTTGACGTCAAACCTGACCTCAAACTTGACGTCAAACCTGACCTCAAACTTGACGTCAAACCTGATCTCAAACTTGACGTCAAACCTGATCTCAAACTTGACGTCAAACCTGACCTCAAACTTGACGTCAAACCTGACCTCAAACTTGACGTCAAACCTGATCTCAAACTTGACGTCAAACCTGACCTCAAACTTGACGTCAAACCTGACCTCAAACTTGACGTCAAACCTGATCTCAAACTTGACGTCAAACCTGATCTCAAACTTGACGTCAAACCTGACCTCAAACTTGACGTCAAACCTGATCTCAAACTTGACGTCAAACCTGATCTCAAACTTGACGTCAAACCTGATCTCAAACTTGACGTCAAACCTGATCTCAAACTTGACGTCAAACCTGATCTCAAACTTGACGTCAAACCTGATCTCAAACTTGACGTCAAACCTGATCTCAAACTTGACGTCAAACCTGACCTCAAACTTGACGTCAAACCTGATCTCAAACTTGACGTCAAACCTGACCTCAAACTTGACGTCAAACCTGATCTCAAACTTGACGTCAAACCTGATCTCAAACTTGACGTCAAACCTGACCTCAAACTTGACGTCAAACCGGATCTCAAACTTGACGTCAAACCTGACCTCAAACTTGACGTCAAACCTGACCTCAAACTTGACGTCAAACCTGACCTCAAACTTGACGTCAAACCTGATCTCAAACTTGACGTCAAACCTGATCTCAAACTTGACGTCAAACCTGATCTCAAACTTGACGTCAAACCTGACCTCAAACTTGACGTCAAACCTGATCTCAAACTTGACGTCAAACCTGACCTCAAACTTGACGTCAAACCTGATCTCAAACTTGACGTCAAACCTGACCTCAAACTTGACGTCAAACCTGATCTCAAACTTGACGTCAAACCTGATCTCAAACTTGACGTCAAACCTGATCTCAAACTTGACGTCAAACCTGACCTCAAACTTGACGTCAAACCTGATCTCAAACTTGACGTCAAACCTGATCTCAAACTTGACGTCAAACCGGATCTCAAACTTGACGTCAAACCTGACCTCAAACTTGACGTCAAACCTGATCTCAAACTTGACGTCAAACCGGATCTCAAACTTGACGTCAAACCTGATCTCAAACTTGACGTCAAACCTGACCTCAAACTTGACGTCAAACCTGATCTCAAACTTGACGTCAAACCTGATCTCAAACTTGACGTCAAACCGGATCTCAAACTTGACGTCAAACCTGACCTCAAACTTGACGTCAAACCTGATCTCAAACTTGACGTCAAACCGGATCTCAAACTTGACGTCAAACCTGATCTCAAACTTGACGTCAAACCTGATCTCAAACTTGACGTCAAACCTGACCTCAAACTTGACGTCAAACCGGATCTCAAACTTGACGTCAAACCTGATCTCAAACTTGACGTCAAACCTGATCTCAAACTTGACGTCAAACCTGATCTCAAACTTGACGTCAAACCGGATCTCAAACTTGACGTCAAACCTGACCTCAAACTTGACGTCAAACCTGATCTCAAACTTGACGTCAAACCTGATCTCAAACTTGACGTCAAACCTGACCTCAAACTTGACGTCAAACCTGATCTCAAACTTGACGTCAAACCTGATCTCAAACTTGACGTCAAACCTGATCTCAAACTTGACGTCAAACCTGATCTCAAACTTGACGTCAAACCTGATCTCAAACTTGACGTCAAACCTGATCTCAAACTTGACGTCAAACCTGACCTCAAACTTGACGTCAAACCTGATCTCAAACTTGACGTCAAACCTGACCTCAAACTTGACGTCAAACCTGACCTCAAACTTGACGTCAAACCTGACCTCAAACTTGACGTCAAACCTGATCTCAAACTTGACGTCAAACCTGATCTCAAACTTGACGTCAAACCTGATCTCAAACTTGACGTCAAACCTGACCTCAAACTTGACGTCAAACCTGATCTCAAACTTGACGTCAAACCTGACCTCAAACTTGACGTCAAACCGGATCTCAAACTTGACGTCAAACCTGACCTCAAACTTGACGTCAAACCTGATCTCAAACTTGACGTCAAACCTGATCTCAAACTTGACGTCAAACCGATCTCAAACTTGACGTCAAACCTGACCTCAAACTTGACGTCAAACCTGATCTCAAACTTGACGTCAAACCTGACCTCAAACTTGACGTCAAACCTGATCTCAAACTTGACGTCAAACCTGACCTCAAACTTGACGTCAAACCTGATCTCAAACTTGACGTCAAACCGATCTCAAACTTGACGTCAAACCTGACCTCAAACTTGACGTCAAACCTGACCTCAAACTTGACGTCAAACCTGATCTCAAACTTGACGTCAAACCTGATCTCAAACTTGACGTCAAACCTGATCTCAAACTTGACGTCAAACCTGACCTCAAACTTGACGTCAAACCTGATCTCAAACTTGACGTCAAACCTGATCTCAAACTTGACGTCAAACCTGATCTCAAACTTGACGTCAAACCTGATCTCAAACTTGACGTCAAACCTGACCTCAAACTTGACGTCAAACCTGATCTCAAACTTGACGTCAAACCTGATCTCAAACTTGACGTCAAACCTGATCTCAAACTTGACGTCAAACCTGATCTCAAACTTGACGTCAAACCTGATCTCAAACTTGACGTCAAACCTGACCTCAAACTTGACGTCAAACCTGATCTCAAACTTGACGTCAAACCTGATCTCAAACTTGACGTCAAACCTGACCTCAAACTTGACGTCAAACCGGATCTCAAACTTGACGTCAAACCTGATCTCAAACTTGACGTCAAACCGGATCTCAAACTTGACGTCAAACCTGATCTCAAACTTGACGTCAAACCGGATCTCAAACTTGACGTCAAACCTGACCTCAAACTTGACGTCAAACCTGATCTCAAACTTGACGTCAAACCTGATCTCAAACTTGACGTCAAACCTGACCTCAAACTTGACGTCAAACCTGATCTCAAACTTGACGTCAAACCTGATCTCAAACTTGACGTCAAACCTGACCTCAAACTTGACGTCAAACCTGACCTCAAACTTGACGTCAAACCTGATCTCAAACTTGACGTCAAACCTGATCTCAAACTTGACGTCAAACCTGACCTCAAACTTGACGTCAAACCTGACCTCAAACTTGACGTCAAACCTGATCTCAAACTTGACGTCAAACCTGACCTCAAACTTGACGTCAAACCTGATCTCAAACTTGACGTCAAACCTGATCTCAAACTTGACGTCAAACCTGATCTCAAACTTGACGTCAAACCTGACCTCAAACTTGACGTCAAACCTGATCTCAAACTTGACGTCAAACCTGATCTCAAACTTGACGTCAAACCGGATCTCAAACTTGACGTCAAACCTGACCTCAAACTTGACGTCAAACCGGATCTCAAACTTGACGTCAAACCTGACCTCAAACTTGACGTCAAACCGGATCTCAAACTTGACGTCAAACCTGACCTCAAACTTGACGTCAAACCGGATCTCAAACTTGACGTCAAACCTGACCTCAAACTTGACGTCAAACCTGATCTCAAACTTGACGTCAAACCTGATCTCAAACTTGACGTCAAACCGGATCTCAAACTTGACGTCAAACCTGATCTCAAACTTGACGTCAAACCTGATCTCAAACTTGACGTCAAACCTGACCTCAAACTTGACGTCAAACCTGACCTCAAACTTGACGTCAAACCTGACCTCAAACTTGACGTCAAACCTGATCTCAAACTTGACGTCAAACCTGATCTCAAACTTGACGTCAAACCTGATCTCAAACTTGACGTCAAACCTGATCTCAAACTTGACGTCAAACCTGATCTCAAACTTGACGTCAAACCTGATCTCAAACTTGACGTCAAACCTGATCTCAAACTTGACGTCAAACCTGATCTCAAACTTGACGTCAAACCTGACCTCAAACTTGACGTCAAACCTGATCTCAAACTTGACGTCAAACCTGATCTCAAACTTGACGTCAAACCGGATCTCAAACTTGACGTCAAACCTGATCTCAAACTTGACGTCAAACCGGATCTCAAACTTGACGTCAAACCTGACCTCAAACTTGACGTCAAACCTGATCTCAAACTTGACGTCAAACCTGATCTCAAACTTGACGTCAAACCTGACCTCAAACTTGACGTCAAACCTGATCTCAAACTTGACGTCAAACCTGACCTCAAACTTGACGTCAAACCTGACCTCAAACTTGACGTCAAACCTGACCTCAAACTTGACGTCAAACCTGATCTCAAACTTGACGTCAAACCTGATCTCAAACTTGACGTCAAACCTGACCTCAAACTTGACGTCAAACCTGACCTCAAACTTGACGTCAAACCTGATCTCAAACTTGACGTCAAACCTGATCTCAAACTTGACGTCAAACCTGATCTCAAACTTGACGTCAAACCTGATCTCAAACTTGACGTCAAACCTGACCTCAAACTTGACGTCAAACCTGATCTCAAACTTGACGTCAAACCTGATCTCAAACTTGACGTCAAACCTGACCTCAAACTTGACGTCAAACCTGATCTCAAACTTGACGTCAAACCTGACCTCAAACTTGACGTCAAACCTGATCTCAAACTTGACGTCAAACCTGATCTCAAACTTGACGTCAAACCTGACCTCAAACTTGACGTCAAACCTGATCTCAAACTTGACGTCAAACCTGATCTCAAACTTGACGTCAAACCTGACCTCAAACTTGACGTCAAACCTGACCTCAAACTTGACGTCAAACCTGATCTCAAACTTGACGTCAAACCTGACCTCAAACTTGACGTCAAACCTGACCTCAAACTTGACGTCAAACCTGACCTCAAACTTGACGTCAAACCTGATCTCAAACTTGACGTCAAACCTGACCTCAAACTTGACGTCAAACCTGATCTCAAACTTGACGTCAAACCTGATCTCAAACTTGACGTCAAACCTGATCTCAAACTTGACGTCAAACCTGACCTCAAACTTGACGTCAAACCGGATCTCAAACTTGACGTCAAACCTGACCTCAAACTTGACGTCAAACCGGATCTCAAACTTGACGTCAAACCTGACCTCAAACTTGACGTCAAACCGGATCTCAAACTTGACGTCAAACCTGACCTCAAACTTGACGTCAAACCGGATCTCAAACTTGACGTCAAACCTGATCTCAAACTTGACGTCAAACCGGATCTCAAACTTGACGTCAAACCTGATCTCAAACTTGACGTCAAACCTGATCTCAAACTTGACGTCAAACCTGACCTCAAACTTGACGTCAAACCTGACCTCAAACTTGACGTCAAACCTGACCTCAAACTTGACGTCAAACCTGATCTCAAACTTGACGTCAAACCTGATCTCAAACTTGACGTCAAACCTGATCTCAAACTTGACGTCAAACCTGATCTCAAACTTGACGTCAAACCTGATCTCAAACTTGACGTCAAACCTGACCTCAAACTTGACGTCAAACCTGATCTCAAACTTGACGTCAAACCTGATCTCAAACTTGACGTCAAACCTGACCTCAAACTTGACGTCAAACCTGATCTCAAACTTGACGTCAAACCTGATCTCAAACTTGACGTCAAACCGGATCTCAAACTTGACGTCAAACCTGATCTCAAACTTGACGTCAAACCTGATCTCAAACTTGACGTCAAACCTGACCTCAAACTTGACGTCAAACCTGATCTCAAACTTGACGTCAAACCTGATCTCAAACTTGACGTCAAACCTGACCTCAAACTTGACGTCAAACCTGATCTCAAACTTGACGTCAAACCTGATCTCAAACTTGACGTCAAACCTGACCTCAAACTTGACGTCAAACCTGACCTCAAACTTGACGTCAAACCTGATCTCAAACTTGACGTCAAACCTGATCTCAAACTTGACGTCAAACCTGACCTCAAACTTGACGTCAAACCTGACCTCAAACTTGACGTCAAACCTGATCTCAAACTTGACGTCAAACCTGACCTCAAACTTGACGTCAAACCTGATCTCAAACTTGACGTCAAACCTGATCTCAAACTTGACGTCAAACCTGATCTCAAACTTGACGTCAAACCTGACCTCAAACTTGACGTCAAACCTGATCTCAAACTTGACGTCAAACCTGATCTCAAACTTGACGTCAAACCTGATCTCAAACTTGACGTCAAACCTGATCTCAAACTTGACGTCAAACCGGATCTCAAACTTGACGTCAAACCTGATCTCAAACTTGACGTCAAACCTGATCTCAAACTTGACGTCAAACCTGACCTCAAACTTGACGTCAAACCTGATCTCAAACTTGACGTCAAACCTGACCTCAAACTTGACGTCAAACCTGATCTCAAACTTGACGTCAAACCTGATCTCAAACTTGACGTCAAACCTGACCTCAAACTTGACGTCAAACCTGATCTCAAACTTGACGTCAAACCTGACCTCAAACTTGACGTCAAACCTGATCTCAAACTTGACGTCAAACCTGATCTCAAACTTGACGTCAAACCTGACCTCAAACTTGACGTCAAACCTGACTCAAACTTGACGTCAAACCTGACCTCAAACTTGACGTCAAACCTGATCTCAAACTTGACGTCAAACCTGACTCAAACTTGACGTCAAACCGGATCTCAAACTTGACGTCAAACCGATCTCAAACTTGACGTCAAACCTGACCTCAAACTTGACGTCAAACCTGATCTCAAACTTGACGTCAAACCTGATCTCAAACTTGACGTCAAACCTGATCTCAAACTTGACGTCAAACCTGATCTCAAACTTGACGTCAAACCTGACCTCAAACTTGACGTCAAACCTGATCTCAAACTTGACGTCAAACCTGATCTCAAACTTGACGTCAAACCTGATCTCAAACTTGACGTCAAACCTGATCTCAAACTTGACGTCAAACCTGACCTCAAACTTGACGTCAAACCTGATCTCAAACTTGACGTCAAACCTGATCTCAAACTTGACGTCAAACCGGATCTCAAACTTGACGTCAAACCTGATCTCAAACTTGACGTCAAACCTGATCTCAAACTTGACGTCAAACCTGATCTCAAACTTGACGTCAAACCGGATCTCAAACTTGACGTCAAACCGGATCTCAAACTTGACGTCAAACCTGACCTCAAACTTGACGTCAAACCGGATCTCAAACTTGACGTCAAACCTGATCTCAAACTTGACGTCAAACCGGATCTCAAACTTGACGTCAAACCTGATCTCAAACTTGACGTCAAACCGGATCTCAAACTTGACGTCAAACCTGACCTCAAACTTGACGTCAAACCTGATCTCAAACTTGACGTCAAACCTGATCTCAAACTTGACGTCAAACCTGACCTCAAACTTGACGTCAAACCTGATCTCAAACTTGACGTCAAACCTGACCTCAAACTTGACGTCAAACCTGACCTCAAACTTGACGTCAAACCTGACCTCAAACTTGACGTCAAACCTGATCTCAAACTTGACGTCAAACCTGATCTCAAACTTGACGTCAAACCTGACCTCAAACTTGACGTCAAACCTGACCTCAAACTTGACGTCAAACCTGATCTCAAACTTGACGTCAAACCTGACCTCAAACTTGACGTCAAACCTGACCTCAAACTTGACGTCAAACCTGACCTCAAACTTGACGTCAAACCTGATCTCAAACTTGACGTCAAACCTGACCTCAAACTTGACGTCAAACCTGATCTCAAACTTGACGTCAAACCTGATCTCAAACTTGACGTCAAACCGGATCTCAAACTTGACGTCAAACCTGACCTCAAACTTGACGTCAAACCGGATCTCAAACTTGACGTCAAACCTGACCTCAAACTTGACGTCAAACCGGATCTCAAACTTGACGTCAAACCTGACCTCAAACTTGACGTCAAACCGGATCTCAAACTTGACGTCAAACCTGACCTCAAACTTGACGTCAAACCGGATCTCAAACTTGACGTCAAACCTGATCTCAAACTTGACGTCAAACCGGATCTCAAACTTGACGTCAAACCTGATCTCAAACTTGACGTCAAACCTGATCTCAAACTTGACGTCAAACCTGACCTCAAACTTGACGTCAAACCTGATCTCAAACTTGACGTCAAACCTGACCTCAAACTTGACGTCAAACCTGATCTCAAACTTGACGTCAAACCTGATCTCAAACTTGACGTCAAACCTGACCTCAAACTTGACGTCAAACCTGACCTCAAACTTGACGTCAAACCTGATCTCAAACTTGACGTCAAACCTGATCTCAAACTTGACGTCAAACCTGATCTCAAACTTGACGTCAAACCTGATCTCAAACTTGACGTCAAACCTGATCTCAAACTTGACGTCAAACCTGACCTCAAACTTGACGTCAAACCGGATCTCAAACTTGACGTCAAACCTGACCTCAAACTTGACGTCAAACCGGATCTCAAACTTGACGTCAAACCTGATCTCAAACTTGACGTCAAACCTGATCTCAAACTTGACGTCAAACCTGATCTCAAACTTGACGTCAAACCGGATCTCAAACTTGACGTCAAACCTGATCTCAAACTTGACGTCAAACCTGACCTCAAACTTGACGTCAAACCTGATCTCAAACTTGACGTCAAACCTGATCTCAAACTTGACGTCAAACCGGATCTCAAACTTGACGTCAAACCTGATCTCAAACTTGACGTCAAACCTGACCTCAAACTTGACGTCAAACCGGATCTCAAACTTGACGTCAAACCTGATCTCAAACTTGACGTCAAACCGGATCTCAAACTTGACGTCAAACCTGATCTCAAACTTGACGTCAAACCTGATCTCAAACTTGACGTCAAACCTGATCTCAAACTTGACGTCAAACCTGATCTCAAACTTGACGTCAAACCTGATCTCAAACTTGACGTCAAACCTGATCTCAAACTTGACGTCAAACCTGATCTCAAACTTGACGTCAAACCTGACCTCAAACTTGACGTCAAACCGGATCTCAAACTTGACGTCAAACCTGACCTCAAACTTGACGTCAAACCGGATCTCAAACTTGACGTCAAACCTGATCTCAAACTTGACGTCAAACCTGACCTCAAACTTGACGTCAAACCTGACCTCAAACTTGACGTCAAACCTGATCTCAAACTTGACGTCAAACCTGATCTCAAACTTGACGTCAAACCTGACCTCAAACTTGACGTCAAACCTGATCTCAAACTTGACGTCAAACCTGATCTCAAACTTGACGTCAAACCTGACCTCAAACTTGACGTCAAACCTGACCTCAAACTTGACGTCAAACCTGATCTCAAACTTGACGTCAAACCTGATCTCAAACTTGACGTCAAACCTGACCTCAAACTTGACGTCAAACCTGATCTCAAACTTGACGTCAAACCTGATCTCAAACTTGACGTCAAACCTGATCTCAAACTTGACGTCAAACCTGACCTCAAACTTGACGTCAAACCTGATCTCAAACTTGACGTCAAACCTGACCTCAAACTTGACGTCAAACCTGATCTCAAACTTGACGTCAAACCTGACCTCAAACTTGACGTCAAACCTGATCTCAAACTTGACGTCAAACCTGACCTCAAACTTGACGTCAAACCTGATCTCAAACTTGACGTCAAACCTGATCTCAAACTTGACGTCAAACCGGATCTCAAACTTGACGTCAAACCTGATCTCAAACTTGACGTCAAACCTGATCTCAAACTTGACGTCAAACCTGACCTCAAACTTGACGTCAAACCTGATCTCAAACTTGACGTCAAACCTGACCTCAAACTTGACGTCAAACCTGATCTCAAACTTGACGTCAAACCTGACCTCAAACTTGACGTCAAACCTGATCTCAAACTTGACGTCAAACCTGATCTCAAACTTGACGTCAAACCTGATCTCAAACTTGACGTCAAACCTGATCTCAAACTTGACGTCAAACCTGATCTCAAACTTGACGTCAAACCTGACCTCAAACTTGACGTCAAACCTGACTCAAACTTGACGTCAAACCTGACCTCAAACTTGACGTCAAACCTGATCTCAAACTTGACGTCAAACCTGATCTCAAACTTGACGTCAAACCTGATCTCAAACTTGACGTCAAACCTGATCTCAAACTTGACGTCAAACCTGACCTCAAACTTGACGTCAAACCTGATCTCAAACTTGACGTCAAACCTGATCTCAAACTTGACGTCAAACCTGATCTCAAACTTGACGTCAAACCTGATCTCAAACTTGACGTCAAACCTGATCTCAAACTTGACGTCAAACCTGATCTCAAACTTGACGTCAAACCTGATCTCAAACTTGACGTCAAACCTGATCTCAAACTTGACGTCAAACCTGATCTCAAACTTGACGTCAAACCTGATCTCAAACTTGACGTCAAACCTGACCTCAAACTTGACGTCAAACCTGATCTCAAACTTGACGTCAAACCTGATCTCAAACTTGACGTCAAACCTGATCTCAAACTTGACGTCAAACCTGATCTCAAACTTGACGTCAAACCTGATCTCAAACTTGACGTCAAACCTGATCTCAAACTTGACGTCAAACCTGATCTCAAACTTGACGTCAAACCTGATCTCAAACTTGACGTCAAACCTGATCTCAAACTTGACGTCAAACCTGATCTCAAACTTGACGTCAAACCTGATCTCAAACTTGACGTCAAACCTGATCTCAAACTTGACGTCAAACCTGATCTCAAACTTGACGTCAAACCTGATCTCAAACTTGACGTCAAACCTGATCTCAAACTTGACGTCAAACCGGATCTCAAACTTGACGTCAAACCTGACCTCAAACTTGACGTCAAACCGGATCTCAAACTTGACGTCAAACCTGATCTCAAACTTGACGTCAAACCTGACCTCAAACTTGACGTCAAACCTGACCTCAAACTTGACGTCAAACCTGATCTCAAACTTGACGTCAAACCTGATCTCAAACTTGACGTCAAACCTGACCTCAAACTTGACGTCAAACCTGACCTCAAACTTGACGTCAAACCTGATCTCAAACTTGACGTCAAACCTGACCTCAAACTTGACGTCAAACCTGACCTCAAACTTGACGTCAAACCTGATCTCAAACTTGACGTCAAACCTGATCTCAAACTTGACGTCAAACCTGATCTCAAACTTGACGTCAAACCTGATCTCAAACTTGACGTCAAACCTGATCTCAAACTTGACGTCAAACCTGATCTCAAACTTGACGTCAAACCTGATCTCAAACTTGACGTCAAACCGGATCTCAAACTTGACGTCAAACCTGACCTCAAACTTGACGTCAAACCGGATCTCAAACTTGACGTCAAACCTGACCTCAAACTTGACGTCAAACCGGATCTCAAACTTGACGTCAAACCTGATCTCAAACTTGACGTCAAACCGGATCTCAAACTTGACGTCAAACCTGATCTCAAACTTGACGTCAAACCGGATCTCAAACTTGACGTCAAACCTGACCTCAAACTTGACGTCAAACCTGATCTCAAACTTGACGTCAAACCTGACCTCAAACTTGACGTCAAACCTGACCTCAAACTTGACGTCAAACCTGACCTCAAACTTGACGTCAAACCTGATCTCAAACTTGACGTCAAACCTGATCTCAAACTTGACGTCAAACCTGATCTCAAACTTGACGTCAAACCTGACCTCAAACTTGACGTCAAACCTGACCTCAAACTTGACGTCAAACCTGATCTCAAACTTGACGTCAAACCTGATCTCAAACTTGACGTCAAACCTGACCTCAAACTTGACGTCAAACCTGATCTCAAACTTGACGTCAAACCTGACCTCAAACTTGACGTCAAACCTGATCTCAAACTTGACGTCAAACCGGATCTCAAACTTGACGTCAAACCTGATCTCAAACTTGACGTCAAACCGGATCTCAAACTTGACGTCAAACCTGACCTCAAACTTGACGTCAAACCGGATCTCAAACTTGACGTCAAACCTGATCTCAAACTTGACGTCAAACCGGATCTCAAACTTGACGTCAAACCTGATCTCAAACTTGACGTCAAACCGGATCTCAAACTTGACGTCAAACCTGACCTCAAACTTGACGTCAAACCTGATCTCAAACTTGACGTCAAACCGGATCTCAAACTTGACGTCAAACCTGACCTCAAACTTGACGTCAAACCTGATCTCAAACTTGACGTCAAACCTGACCTCAAACTTGACGTCAAACCTGATCTCAAACTTGACGTCAAACCTGATCTCAAACTTGACGTCAAACCTGACCTCAAACTTGACGTCAAACCTGATCTCAAACTTGACGTCAAACCTGATCTCAAACTTGACGTCAAACCTGACCTCAAACTTGACGTCAAACCTGATCTCAAACTTGACGTCAAACCTGATCTCAAACTTGACGTCAAACCTGACCTCAAACTTGACGTCAAACCTGACCTCAAACTTGACGTCAAACCTGATCTCAAACTTGACGTCAAACCTGATCTCAAACTTGACGTCAAACCTGATCTCAAACTTGACGTCAAACCTGACCTCAAACTTGACGTCAAACCGGATCTCAAACTTGACGTCAAACCTGACCTCAAACTTGACGTCAAACCGGATCTCAAACTTGACGTCAAACCTGATCTCAAACTTGACGTCAAACCTGATCTCAAACTTGACGTCAAACCTGACCTCAAACTTGACGTCAAACCTGATCTCAAACTTGACGTCAAACCTGATCTCAAACTTGACGTCAAACCTGACCTCAAACTTGACGTCAAACCTGATCTCAAACTTGACGTCAAACCGATCTCAAACTTGACGTCAAACCTGACCTCAAACTTGACGTCAAACCTGACCTCAAACTTGACGTCAAACCTGATCTCAAACTTGACGTCAAACCTGATCTCAAACTTGACGTCAAACCTGATCTCAAACTTGACGTCAAACCTGACCTCAAACTTGACGTCAAACCTGATCTCAAACTTGACGTCAAACCTGATCTCAAACTTGACGTCAAACCTGATCTCAAACTTGACGTCAAACCTGATCTCAAACTTGACGTCAAACCTGACCTCAAACTTGACGTCAAACCTGATCTCAAACTTGACGTCAAACCTGATCTCAAACTTGACGTCAAACCTGATCTCAAACTTGACGTCAAACCTGATCTCAAACTTGACGTCAAACCTGATCTCAAACTTGACGTCAAACCTGACCTCAAACTTGACGTCAAACCTGATCTCAAACTTGACGTCAAACCTGATCTCAAACTTGACGTCAAACCTGACCTCAAACTTGACGTCAAACCTGATCTCAAACTTGACGTCAAACCTGACCTCAAACTTGACGTCAAACCTGACCTCAAACTTGACGTCAAACCTGACCTCAAACTTGACGTCAAACCTGATCTCAAACTTGACGTCAAACCTGATCTCAAACTTGACGTCAAACCTGACCTCAAACTTGACGTCAAACCTGACCTCAAACTTGACGTCAAACCTGATCTCAAACTTGACGTCAAACCTGACCTCAAACTTGACGTCAAACCTGACCTCAAACTTGACGTCAAACCTGATCTCAAACTTGACGTCAAACCTGATCTCAAACTTGACGTCAAACCTGATCTCAAACTTGACGTCAAACCTGATCTCAAACTTGACGTCAAACCTGATCTCAAACTTGACGTCAAACCGGATCTCAAACTTGACGTCAAACCTGACCTCAAACTTGACGTCAAACCTGATCTCAAACTTGACGTCAAACCTGACCTCAAACTTGACGTCAAACCGGATCTCAAACTTGACGTCAAACCTGACCTCAAACTTGACGTCAAACCGGATCTCAAACTTGACGTCAAACCTGACCTCAAACTTGACGTCAAACCGGATCTCAAACTTGACGTCAAACCTGATCTCAAACTTGACGTCAAACCTGATCTCAAACTTGACGTCAAACCTGATCTCAAACTTGACGTCAAACCTGATCTCAAACTTGACGTCAAACCTGACCTCAAACTTGACGTCAAACCTGACCTCAAACTTGACGTCAAACCTGACCTCAAACTTGACGTCAAACCTGATCTCAAACTTGACGTCAAACCTGATCTCAAACTTGACGTCAAACCTGATCTCAAACTTGACGTCAAACCTGATCTCAAACTTGACGTCAAACCTGATCTCAAACTTGACGTCAAACCTGACTCAAACTTGACGTCAAACCTGATCTCAAACTTGACGTCAAACCTGATCTCAAACTTGACGTCAAACCTGATCTCAAACTTGACGTCAAACCTGACCTCAAACTTGACGTCAAACCTGATCTCAAACTTGACGTCAAACCTGATCTCAAACTTGACGTCAAACCTGATCTCAAACTTGACGTCAAACCTGACCTCAAACTTGACGTCAAACCTGATCTCAAACTTGACGTCAAACCTGACCTCAAACTTGACGTCAAACCTGACCTCAAACTTGACGTCAAACCTGATCTCAAACTTGACGTCAAACCTGATCTCAAACTTGACGTCAAACCTGACCTCAAACTTGACGTCAAACCTGATCTCAAACTTGACGTCAAACCTGATCTCAAACTTGACGTCAAACCTGATCTCAAACTTGACGTCAAACCTGATCTCAAACTTGACGTCAAACCTGATCTCAAACTTGACGTCAAACCTGATCTCAAACTTGACGTCAAACCTGATCTCAAACTTGACGTCAAACCTGATCTCAAACTTGACGTCAAACCTGATCTCAAACTTGACGTCAAACCGGATCTCAAACTTGACGTCAAACCTGATCTCAAACTTGACGTCAAACCTGACCTCAAACTTGACGTCAAACCTGATCTCAAACTTGACGTCAAACCTGACCTCAAACTTGACGTCAAACCTGATCTCAAACTTGACGTCAAACCTGACCTCAAACTTGACGTCAAACCTGATCTCAAACTTGACGTCAAACCTGACCTCAAACTTGACGTCAAACCTGATCTCAAACTTGACGTCAAACCTGATCTCAAACTTGACGTCAAACCTGACCTCAAACTTGACGTCAAACCTGATCTCAAACTTGACGTCAAACCTGATCTCAAACTTGACGTCAAACCTGATCTCAAACTTGACGTCAAACCTGACCTCAAACTTGACGTCAAACCTGACCTCAAACTTGACGTCAAACCTGATCTCAAACTTGACGTCAAACCTGATCTCAAACTTGACGTCAAACCTGATCTCAAACTTGACGTCAAACCTGACCTCAAACTTGACGTCAAACCTGACCTCAAACTTGACGTCAAACCTGACCTCAAACTTGACGTCAAACCTGATCTCAAACTTGACGTCAAACCTGATCTCAAACTTGACGTCAAACCTGATCTCAAACTTGACGTCAAACCTGATCTCAAACTTGACGTCAAACCTGACCTCAAACTTGACGTCAAACCTGATCTCAAACTTGACGTCAAACCTGATCTCAAACTTGACGTCAAACCTGATCTCAAACTTGACGTCAAACCTGATCTCAAACTTGACGTCAAACCTGACCTCAAACTTGACGTCAAACCTGATCTCAAACTTGACGTCAAACCTGATCTCAAACTTGACGTCAAACCTGATCTCAAACTTGACGTCAAACCTGATCTCAAACTTGACGTCAAACCTGACCTCAAACTTGACGTCAAACCTGATCTCAAACTTGACGTCAAACCTGATCTCAAACTTGACGTCAAACCTGACCTCAAACTTGACGTCAAACCTGACCTCAAACTTGACGTCAAACCTGACCTCAAACTTGACGTCAAACCTGATCTCAAACTTGACGTCAAACCTGACCTCAAACTTGACGTCAAACCTGATCTCAAACTTGACGTCAAACCTGATCTCAAACTTGACGTCAAACCTGACCTCAAACTTGACGTCAAACCTGACCTCAAACTTGACGTCAAACCTGATCTCAAACTTGACGTCAAACCTGATCTCAAACTTGACGTCAAACCTGATCTCAAACTTGACGTCAAACCTGACCTCAAACTTGACGTCAAACCTGATCTCAAACTTGACGTCAAACCTGATCTCAAACTTGACGTCAAACCTGATCTCAAACTTGACGTCAAACCTGATCTCAAACTTGACGTCAAACCTGACCTCAAACTTGACGTCAAACCTGATCTCAAACTTGACGTCAAACCTGATCTCAAACTTGACGTCAAACCTGATCTCAAACTTGACGTCAAACCTGATCTCAAACTTGACGTCAAACCTGATCTCAAACTTGACGTCAAACCTGACCTCAAACTTGACGTCAAACCTGATCTCAAACTTGACGTCAAACCTGATCTCAAACTTGACGTCAAACCTGATCTCAAACTTGACGTCAAACCTGATCTCAAACTTGACGTCAAACCTGACCTCAAACTTGACGTCAAACCGGATCTCAAACTTGACGTCAAACCTGATCTCAAACTTGACGTCAAACCTGATCTCAAACTTGACGTCAAACCTGATCTCAAACTTGACGTCAAACCTGATCTCAAACTTGACGTCAAACCTGACCTCAAACTTGACGTCAAACCTGATCTCAAACTTGACGTCAAACCTGACCTCAAACTTGACGTCAAACCTGATCTCAAACTTGACGTCAAACCTGACCTCAAACTTGACGTCAAACCTGATCTCAAACTTGACGTCAAACCTGATCTCAAACTTGACGTCAAACCTGATCTCAAACTTGACGTCAAACCTGATCTCAAACTTGACGTCAAACCTGATCTCAAACTTGACGTCAAACCTGACCTCAAACTTGACGTCAAACCTGACCTCAAACTTGACGTCAAACCTGACCTCAAACTTGACGTCAAACCTGATCTCAAACTTGACGTCAAACCTGATCTCAAACTTGACGTCAAACCTGACCTCAAACTTGACGTCAAACCTGATCTCAAACTTGACGTCAAACCTGATCTCAAACTTGACGTCAAACCTGATCTCAAACTTGACGTCAAACCTGATCTCAAACTTGACGTCAAACCTGATCTCAAACTTGACGTCAAACCTGATCTCAAACTTGACGTCAAACCTGATCTCAAACTTGACGTCAAACCTGATCTCAAACTTGACGTCAAACCTGATCTCAAACTTGACGTCAAACCTGACCTCAAACTTGACGTCAAACCTGATCTCAAACTTGACGTCAAACCGGATCTCAAACTTGACGTCAAACCTGACCTCAAACTTGACGTCAAACCGGATCTCAAACTTGACGTCAAACCTGACCTCAAACTTGACGTCAAACCTGACCTCAAACTTGACGTCAAACCTGACCTCAAACTTGACGTCAAACCTGATCTCAAACTTGACGTCAAACCTGATCTCAAACTTGACGTCAAACCTGATCTCAAACTTGACGTCAAACCTGACCTCAAACTTGACGTCAAACCTGATCTCAAACTTGACGTCAAACCTGACCTCAAACTTGACGTCAAACCTGATCTCAAACTTGACGTCAAACCTGATCTCAAACTTGACGTCAAACCTGATCTCAAACTTGACGTCAAACCTGACCTCAAACTTGACGTCAAACCTGATCTCAAACTTGACGTCAAACCTGATCTCAAACTTGACGTCAAACCGGATCTCAAACTTGACGTCAAACCTGACCTCAAACTTGACGTCAAACCTGATCTCAAACTTGACGTCAAACCTGACCTCAAACTTGACGTCAAACCGGATCTCAAACTTGACGTCAAACCTGACCTCAAACTTGACGTCAAACCGGATCTCAAACTTGACGTCAAACCTGATCTCAAACTTGACGTCAAACCGGATCTCAAACTTGACGTCAAACCTGATCTCAAACTTGACGTCAAACCTGATCTCAAACTTGACGTCAAACCTGATCTCAAACTTGACGTCAAACCTGATCTCAAACTTGACGTCAAACCTGATCTCAAACTTGACGTCAAACCTGATCTCAAACTTGACGTCAAACCTGATCTCAAACTTGACGTCAAACCTGATCTCAAACTTGACGTCAAACCTGATCTCAAACTTGACGTCAAACCTGACCTCAAACTTGACGTCAAACCTGATCTCAAACTTGACGTCAAACCTGATCTCAAACTTGACGTCAAACCTGATCTCAAACTTGACGTCAAACCTGACCTCAAACTTGACGTCAAACCTGATCTCAAACTTGACGTCAAACCTGACCTCAAACTTGACGTCAAACCTGATCTCAAACTTGACGTCAAACCTGATCTCAAACTTGACGTCAAACCTGACCTCAAACTTGACGTCAAACCTGACCTCAAACTTGACGTCAAACCTGATCTCAAACTTGACGTCAAACCTGATCTCAAACTTGACGTCAAACCTGACCTCAAACTTGACGTCAAACCTGACCTCAAACTTGACGTCAAACCTGATCTCAAACTTGACGTCAAACCTGATCTCAAACTTGACGTCAAACCTGATCTCAAACTTGACGTCAAACCTGATCTCAAACTTGACGTCAAACCTGACCTCAAACTTGACGTCAAACCTGATCTCAAACTTGACGTCAAACCTGATCTCAAACTTGACGTCAAACCTGATCTCAAACTTGACGTCAAACCTGACCTCAAACTTGACGTCAAACCTGATCTCAAACTTGACGTCAAACCTGATCTCAAACTTGACGTCAAACCTGACCTCAAACTTGACGTCAAACCTGATCTCAAACTTGACGTCAAACCTGATCTCAAACTTGACGTCAAACCTGATCTCAAACTTGACGTCAAACCTGATCTCAAACTTGACGTCAAACCTGACCTCAAACTTGACGTCAAACCTGATCTCAAACTTGACGTCAAACCTGATCTCAAACTTGACGTCAAACCTGATCTCAAACTTGACGTCAAACCTGACCTCAAACTTGACGTCAAACCTGATCTCAAACTTGACGTCAAACCTGATCTCAAACTTGACGTCAAACCTGATCTCAAACTTGACGTCAAACCTGATCTCAAACTTGACGTCAAACCTGATCTCAAACTTGACGTCAAACCTGATCTCAAACTTGACGTCAAACCTGATCTCAAACTTGACGTCAAACCTGATCTCAAACTTGACGTCAAACCGGATCTCAAACTTGACGTCAAACCTGACCTCAAACTTGACGTCAAACCGGATCTCAAACTTGACGTCAAACCTGATCTCAAACTTGACGTCAAACCTGACCTCAAACTTGACGTCAAACCTGATCTCAAACTTGACGTCAAACCTGACCTCAAACTTGACGTCAAACCTGACCTCAAACTTGACGTCAAACCTGACCTCAAACTTGACGTCAAACCTGATCTCAAACTTGACGTCAAACCTGATCTCAAACTTGACGTCAAACCTGATCTCAAACTTGACGTCAAACCTGACCTCAAACTTGACGTCAAACCTGATCTCAAACTTGACGTCAAACCTGACCTCAAACTTGACGTCAAACCTGATCTCAAACTTGACGTCAAACCTGATCTCAAACTTGACGTCAAACCTGATCTCAAACTTGACGTCAAACCTGACCTCAAACTTGACGTCAAACCTGATCTCAAACTTGACGTCAAACCTGATCTCAAACTTGACGTCAAACCGGATCTCAAACTTGACGTCAAACCTGACCTCAAACTTGACGTCAAACCGGATCTCAAACTTGACGTCAAACCTGACCTCAAACTTGACGTCAAACCGGATCTCAAACTTGACGTCAAACCTGACCTCAAACTTGACGTCAAACCTGATCTCAAACTTGACGTCAAACCTGACCTCAAACTTGACGTCAAACCTGATCTCAAACTTGACGTCAAACCTGATCTCAAACTTGACGTCAAACCTGATCTCAAACTTGACGTCAAACCTGATCTCAAACTTGACGTCAAACCTGATCTCAAACTTGACGTCAAACCTGACCTCAAACTTGACGTCAAACCTGACCTCAAACTTGACGTCAAACCTGACCTCAAACTTGACGTCAAACCTGATCTCAAACTTGACGTCAAACCTGATCTCAAACTTGACGTCAAACCTGACCTCAAACTTGACGTCAAACCTGACCTCAAACTTGACGTCAAACCTGATCTCAAACTTGACGTCAAACCTGATCTCAAACTTGACGTCAAACCTGATCTCAAACTTGACGTCAAACCTGATCTCAAACTTGACGTCAAACCTGATCTCAAACTTGACGTCAAACCTGATCTCAAACTTGACGTCAAACCTGATCTCAAACTTGACGTCAAACCTGATCTCAAACTTGACGTCAAACCTGACTCAAACTTGACGTCAAACCTGATCTCAAACTTGACGTCAAACCTGATCTCAAACTTGACGTCAAACCTGACCTCAAACTTGACGTCAAACCTGATCTCAAACTTGACGTCAAACCTGATCTCAAACTTGACGTCAAACCTGATCTCAAACTTGACGTCAAACCTGACCTCAAACTTGACGTCAAACCTGATCTCAAACTTGACGTCAAACCTGATCTCAAACTTGACGTCAAACCTGATCTCAAACTTGACGTCAAACCTGATCTCAAACTTGACGTCAAACCTGATCTCAAACTTGACGTCAAACCTGATCTCAAACTTGACGTCAAACCTGACCTCAAACTTGACGTCAAACCTGATCTCAAACTTGACGTCAAACCTGATCTCAAACTTGACGTCAAACCTGATCTCAAACTTGACGTCAAACCTGATCTCAAACTTGACGTCAAACCTGACCTCAAACTTGACGTCAAACCTGATCTCAAACTTGACGTCAAACCTGATCTCAAACTTGACGTCAAACCTGATCTCAAACTTGACGTCAAACCTGATCTCAAACTTGACGTCAAACCGGATCTCAAACTTGACGTCAAACCTGACCTCAAACTTGACGTCAAACCTGATCTCAAACTTGACGTCAAACCTGATCTCAAACTTGACGTCAAACCTGACCTCAAACTTGACGTCAAACCTGATCTCAAACTTGACGTCAAACCTGACCTCAAACTTGACGTCAAACCTGATCTCAAACTTGACGTCAAACCTGACCTCAAACTTGACGTCAAACCTGATCTCAAACTTGACGTCAAACCTGATCTCAAACTTGACGTCAAACCTGACCTCAAACTTGACGTCAAACCTGACCTCAAACTTGACGTCAAACCTGATCTCAAACTTGACGTCAAACCTGATCTCAAACTTGACGTCAAACCTGACCTCAAACTTGACGTCAAACCTGATCTCAAACTTGACGTCAAACCTGATCTCAAACTTGACGTCAAACCTGACCTCAAACTTGACGTCAAACCGATCTCAAACTTGACGTCAAACCTGACCTCAAACTTGACGTCAAACCGGATCTCAAACTTGACGTCAAACCTGACCTCAAACTTGACGTCAAACCGGATCTCAAACTTGACGTCAAACCTGACCTCAAACTTGACGTCAAACCGGATCTCAAACTTGACGTCAAACCTGATCTCAAACTTGACGTCAAACCTGATCTCAAACTTGACGTCAAACCTGACCTCAAACTTGACGTCAAACCTGATCTCAAACTTGACGTCAAACCTGATCTCAAACTTGACGTCAAACCTGACCTCAAACTTGACGTCAAACCTGATCTCAAACTTGACGTCAAACCTGACCTCAAACTTGACGTCAAACCTGACCTCAAACTTGACGTCAAACCTGACCTCAAACTTGACGTCAAACCTGATCTCAAACTTGACGTCAAACCTGATCTCAAACTTGACGTCAAACCTGACCTCAAACTTGACGTCAAACCTGACCTCAAACTTGACGTCAAACCTGATCTCAAACTTGACGTCAAACCTGACCTCAAACTTGACGTCAAACCTGACCTCAAACTTGACGTCAAACCTGATCTCAAACTTGACGTCAAACCTGATCTCAAACTTGACGTCAAACCTGACCTCAAACTTGACGTCAAACCGGATCTCAAACTTGACGTCAAACCTGACCTCAAACTTGACGTCAAACCGGATCTCAAACTTGACGTCAAACCTGATCTCAAACTTGACGTCAAACCTGATCTCAAACTTGACGTCAAACCTGATCTCAAACTTGACGTCAAACCTGATCTCAAACTTGACGTCAAACCTGATCTCAAACTTGACGTCAAACCTGATCTCAAACTTGACGTCAAACCTGATCTCAAACTTGACGTCAAACCTGATCTCAAACTTGACGTCAAACCTGATCTCAAACTTGACGTCAAACCTGATCTCAAACTTGACGTCAAACCTGACCTCAAACTTGACGTCAAACCTGATCTCAAACTTGACGTCAAACCTGATCTCAAACTTGACGTCAAACCTGATCTCAAACTTGACGTCAAACCTGATCTCAAACTTGACGTCAAACCTGATCTCAAACTTGACGTCAAACCTGACCTCAAACTTGACGTCAAACCTGATCTCAAACTTGACGTCAAACCTGATCTCAAACTTGACGTCAAACCTGACCTCAAACTTGACGTCAAACCTGATCTCAAACTTGACGTCAAACCTGACCTCAAACTTGACGTCAAACCTGACCTCAAACTTGACGTCAAACCTGACCTCAAACTTGACGTCAAACCTGATCTCAAACTTGACGTCAAACCTGATCTCAAACTTGACGTCAAACCTGACCTCAAACTTGACGTCAAACCTGACCTCAAACTTGACGTCAAACCTGATCTCAAACTTGACGTCAAACCTGATCTCAAACTTGACGTCAAACCTGACCTCAAACTTGACGTCAAACCTGATCTCAAACTTGACGTCAAACCTGATCTCAAACTTGACGTCAAACCTGACCTCAAACTTGACGTCAAACCTGATCTCAAACTTGACGTCAAACCTGATCTCAAACTTGACGTCAAACCTGATCTCAAACTTGACGTCAAACCTGACCTCAAACTTGACGTCAAACCGGATCTCAAACTTGACGTCAAACCTGACCTCAAACTTGACGTCAAACCTGATCTCAAACTTGACGTCAAACCTGACCTCAAACTTGACGTCAAACCTGATCTCAAACTTGACGTCAAACCTGACCTCAAACTTGACGTCAAACCTGATCTCAAACTTGACGTCAAACCTGATCTCAAACTTGACGTCAAACCTGATCTCAAACTTGACGTCAAACCTGATCTCAAACTTGACGTCAAACCTGATCTCAAACTTGACGTCAAACCTGACCTCAAACTTGACGTCAAACCTGATCTCAAACTTGACGTCAAACCTGATCTCAAACTTGACGTCAAACCTGATCTCAAACTTGACGTCAAACCTGATCTCAAACTTGACGTCAAACCTGACCTCAAACTTGACGTCAAACCTGACCTCAAACTTGACGTCAAACCTGATCTCAAACTTGACGTCAAACCTGATCTCAAACTTGACGTCAAACCTGACCTCAAACTTGACGTCAAACCTGATCTCAAACTTGACGTCAAACCTGATCTCAAACTTGACGTCAAACCTGATCTCAAACTTGACGTCAAACCTGATCTCAAACTTGACGTCAAACCGGATCTCAAACTTGACGTCAAACCTGACCTCAAACTTGACGTCAAACCTGATCTCAAACTTGACGTCAAACCTGATCTCAAACTTGACGTCAAACCGGATCTCAAACTTGACGTCAAACCTGACCTCAAACTTGACGTCAAACCTGATCTCAAACTTGACGTCAAACCTGATCTCAAACTTGACGTCAAACCGGATCTCAAACTTGACGTCAAACCGGATCTCAAACTTGACGTCAAACCTGACCTCAAACTTGACGTCAAACCGGATCTCAAACTTGACGTCAAACCTGATCTCAAACTTGACGTCAAACCGGATCTCAAACTTGACGTCAAACCTGATCTCAAACTTGACGTCAAACCGGATCTCAAACTTGACGTCAAACCTGACCTCAAACTTGACGTCAAACCTGATCTCAAACTTGACGTCAAACCGGATCTCAAACTTGACGTCAAACCTGACCTCAAACTTGACGTCAAACCGGATCTCAAACTTGACGTCAAACCTGACCTCAAACTTGACGTCAAACCTGACCTCAAACTTGACGTCAAACCTGACCTCAAACTTGACGTCAAACCTGATCTCAAACTTGACGTCAAACCTGATCTCAAACTTGACGTCAAACCTGACCTCAAACTTGACGTCAAACCTGACCTCAAACTTGACGTCAAACCTGATCTCAAACTTGACGTCAAACCTGACCTCAAACTTGACGTCAAACCTGACCTCAAACTTGACGTCAAACCTGATCTCAAACTTGACGTCAAACCTGATCTCAAACTTGACGTCAAACCTGACCTCAAACTTGACGTCAAACCTGATCTCAAACTTGACGTCAAACCTGATCTCAAACTTGACGTCAAACCGGATCTCAAACTTGACGTCAAACCTGACCTCAAACTTGACGTCAAACCGGATCTCAAACTTGACGTCAAACCTGACCTCAAACTTGACGTCAAACCGGATCTCAAACTTGACGTCAAACCTGACCTCAAACTTGACGTCAAACCGGATCTCAAACTTGACGTCAAACCTGACCTCAAACTTGACGTCAAACCGGATCTCAAACTTGACGTCAAACCTGATCTCAAACTTGACGTCAAACCGGATCTCAAACTTGACGTCAAACCTGATCTCAAACTTGACGTCAAACCTGATCTCAAACTTGACGTCAAACCTGACCTCAAACTTGACGTCAAACCTGACCTCAAACTTGACGTCAAACCTGACCTCAAACTTGACGTCAAACCTGATCTCAAACTTGACGTCAAACCTGATCTCAAACTTGACGTCAAACCTGACCTCAAACTTGACGTCAAACCTGACCTCAAACTTGACGTCAAACCTGATCTCAAACTTGACGTCAAACCTGATCTCAAACTTGACGTCAAACCTGATCTCAAACTTGACGTCAAACCTGATCTCAAACTTGACGTCAAACCTGATCTCAAACTTGACGTCAAACCTGATCTCAAACTTGACGTCAAACCTGATCTCAAACTTGACGTCAAACCTGATCTCAAACTTGACGTCAAACCTGACCTCAAACTTGACGTCAAACCTGATCTCAAACTTGACGTCAAACCTGATCTCAAACTTGACGTCAAACCTGATCTCAAACTTGACGTCAAACCTGATCTCAAACTTGACGTCAAACCTGATCTCAAACTTGACGTCAAACCTGACCTCAAACTTGACGTCAAACCTGACCTCAAACTTGACGTCAAACCTGACCTCAAACTTGACGTCAAACCTGATCTCAAACTTGACGTCAAACCTGATCTCAAACTTGACGTCAAACCTGATCTCAAACTTGACGTCAAACCTGATCTCAAACTTGACGTCAAACCTGATCTCAAACTTGACGTCAAACCTGATCTCAAACTTGACGTCAAACCTGATCTCAAACTTGACGTCAAACCTGATCTCAAACTTGACGTCAAACCTGATCTCAAACTTGACGTCAAACCGGATCTCAAACTTGACGTCAAACCTGACCTCAAACTTGACGTCAAACCGGATCTCAAACTTGACGTCAAACCTGACCTCAAACTTGACGTCAAACCGGATCTCAAACTTGACGTCAAACCTGATCTCAAACTTGACGTCAAACCGGATCTCAAACTTGACGTCAAACCTGACCTCAAACTTGACGTCAAACCGGATCTCAAACTTGACGTCAAACCTGATCTCAAACTTGACGTCAAACCTGATCTCAAACTTGACGTCAAACCTGATCTCAAACTTGACGTCAAACCTGATCTCAAACTTGACGTCAAACCTGATCTCAAACTTGACGTCAAACCTGACCTCAAACTTGACGTCAAACCTGATCTCAAACTTGACGTCAAACCTGATCTCAAACTTGACGTCAAACCTGATCTCAAACTTGACGTCAAACCTGATCTCAAACTTGACGTCAAACCTGACCTCAAACTTGACGTCAAACCTGATCTCAAACTTGACGTCAAACCTGATCTCAAACTTGACGTCAAACCTGATCTCAAACTTGACGTCAAACCTGATCTCAAACTTGACGTCAAACCTGATCTCAAACTTGACGTCAAACCTGACCTCAAACTTGACGTCAAACCTGATCTCAAACTTGACGTCAAACCTGACCTCAAACTTGACGTCAAACCGGATCTCAAACTTGACGTCAAACCTGACCTCAAACTTGACGTCAAACCTGATCTCAAACTTGACGTCAAACCTGATCTCAAACTTGACGTCAAACCGGATCTCAAACTTGACGTCAAACCTGATCTCAAACTTGACGTCAAACCTGATCTCAAACTTGACGTCAAACCTGACCTCAAACTTGACGTCAAACCTGACCTCAAACTTGACGTCAAACCTGACCTCAAACTTGACGTCAAACCTGATCTCAAACTTGACGTCAAACCTGATCTCAAACTTGACGTCAAACCTGATCTCAAACTTGACGTCAAACCTGATCTCAAACTTGACGTCAAACCTGATCTCAAACTTGACGTCAAACCTGACCTCAAACTTGACGTCAAACCTGATCTCAAACTTGACGTCAAACCTGATCTCAAACTTGACGTCAAACCTGACCTCAAACTTGACGTCAAACCTGATCTCAAACTTGACGTCAAACCTGATCTCAAACTTGACGTCAAACCTGATCTCAAACTTGACGTCAAACCTGATCTCAAACTTGACGTCAAACCTGACCTCAAACTTGACGTCAAACCTGACCTCAAACTTGACGTCAAACCTGATCTCAAACTTGACGTCAAACCTGATCTCAAACTTGACGTCAAACCTGATCTCAAACTTGACGTCAAACCTGATCTCAAACTTGACGTCAAACCTGATCTCAAACTTGACGTCAAACCTGATCTCAAACTTGACGTCAAACCTGATCTCAAACTTGACGTCAAACCTGATCTCAAACTTGACGTCAAACCTGATCTCAAACTTGACGTCAAACCTGATCTCAAACTTGACGTCAAACCTGATCTCAAACTTGACGTCAAACCTGATCTCAAACTTGACGTCAAACCTGATCTCAAACTTGACGTCAAACCTGATCTCAAACTTGACGTCAAACCTGATCTCAAACTTGACGTCAAACCTGATCTCAAACTTGACGTCAAACCGGATCTCAAACTTGACGTCAAACCTGATCTCAAACTTGACGTCAAACCGGATCTCAAACTTGACGTCAAACCTGATCTCAAACTTGACGTCAAACCTGATCTCAAACTTGACGTCAAACCTGACCTCAAACTTGACGTCAAACCTGATCTCAAACTTGACGTCAAACCTGATCTCAAACTTGACGTCAAACCTGACCTCAAACTTGACGTCAAACCTGATCTCAAACTTGACGTCAAACCTGATCTCAAACTTGACGTCAAACCTGATCTCAAACTTGACGTCAAACCTGACCTCAAACTTGACGTCAAACCTGATCTCAAACTTGACGTCAAACCTGATCTCAAACTTGACGTCAAACCTGACCTCAAACTTGACGTCAAACCTGACCTCAAACTTGACGTCAAACCTGATCTCAAACTTGACGTCAAACCTGACCTCAAACTTGACGTCAAACCTGACCTCAAACTTGACGTCAAACCTGATCTCAAACTTGACGTCAAACCTGATCTCAAACTTGACGTCAAACCTGACCTCAAACTTGACGTCAAACCTGATCTCAAACTTGACGTCAAACCTGATCTCAAACTTGACGTCAAACCGGATCTCAAACTTGACGTCAAACCTGACCTCAAACTTGACGTCAAACCGGATCTCAAACTTGACGTCAAACCTGACCTCAAACTTGACGTCAAACCGGATCTCAAACTTGACGTCAAACCTGACCTCAAACTTGACGTCAAACCGGATCTCAAACTTGACGTCAAACCTGACCTCAAACTTGACGTCAAACCGGATCTCAAACTTGACGTCAAACCTGATCTCAAACTTGACGTCAAACCGGATCTCAAACTTGACGTCAAACCTGATCTCAAACTTGACGTCAAACCTGATCTCAAACTTGACGTCAAACCTGACCTCAAACTTGACGTCAAACCTGACCTCAAACTTGACGTCAAACCTGACCTCAAACTTGACGTCAAACCTGATCTCAAACTTGACGTCAAACCTGATCTCAAACTTGACGTCAAACCTGACCTCAAACTTGACGTCAAACCTGATCTCAAACTTGACGTCAAACCTGATCTCAAACTTGACGTCAAACCTGACCTCAAACTTGACGTCAAACCTGATCTCAAACTTGACGTCAAACCTGATCTCAAACTTGACGTCAAACCGGATCTCAAACTTGACGTCAAACCTGACCTCAAACTTGACGTCAAACCGGATCTCAAACTTGACGTCAAACCTGACCTCAAACTTGACGTCAAACCTGATCTCAAACTTGACGTCAAACCTGACCTCAAACTTGACGTCAAACCGGATCTCAAACTTGACGTCAAACCTGACCTCAAACTTGACGTCAAACCTGATCTCAAACTTGACGTCAAACCTGATCTCAAACTTGACGTCAAACCGGATCTCAAACTTGACGTCAAACCTGATCTCAAACTTGACGTCAAACCTGATCTCAAACTTGACGTCAAACCTGATCTCAAACTTGACGTCAAACCTGATCTCAAACTTGACGTCAAACCTGACCTCAAACTTGACGTCAAACCTGATCTCAAACTTGACGTCAAACCTGATCTCAAACTTGACGTCAAACCTGACCTCAAACTTGACGTCAAACCTGACCTCAAACTTGACGTCAAACCTGATCTCAAACTTGACGTCAAACCTGACCTCAAACTTGACGTCAAACCTGATCTCAAACTTGACGTCAAACCTGATCTCAAACTTGACGTCAAACCTGACCTCAAACTTGACGTCAAACCTGATCTCAAACTTGACGTCAAACCTGATCTCAAACTTGACGTCAAACCTGATCTCAAACTTGACGTCAAACCTGACCTCAAACTTGACGTCAAACCTGACCTCAAACTTGACGTCAAACCTGACCTCAAACTTGACGTCAAACCTGATCTCAAACTTGACGTCAAACCTGATCTCAAACTTGACGTCAAACCTGATCTCAAACTTGACGTCAAACCTGATCTCAAACTTGACGTCAAACCTGATCTCAAACTTGACGTCAAACCTGATCTCAAACTTGACGTCAAACCTGATCTCAAACTTGACGTCAAACCTGATCTCAAACTTGACGTCAAACCTGATCTCAAACTTGACGTCAAACCTGACCTCAAACTTGACGTCAAACCTGATCTCAAACTTGACGTCAAACCTGACCTCAAACTTGACGTCAAACCTGATCTCAAACTTGACGTCAAACCTGATCTCAAACTTGACGTCAAACCTGATCTCAAACTTGACGTCAAACCTGATCTCAAACTTGACGTCAAACCTGATCTCAAACTTGACGTCAAACCTGACCTCAAACTTGACGTCAAACCTGATCTCAAACTTGACGTCAAACCTGATCTCAAACTTGACGTCAAACCTGATCTCAAACTTGACGTCAAACCTGATCTCAAACTTGACGTCAAACCTGACCTCAAACTTGACGTCAAACCTGATCTCAAACTTGACGTCAAACCTGATCTCAAACTTGACGTCAAACCTGACCTCAAACTTGACGTCAAACCTGATCTCAAACTTGACGTCAAACCGATCTCAAACTTGACGTCAAACCTGACCTCAAACTTGACGTCAAACCGGATCTCAAACTTGACGTCAAACCTGACCTCAAACTTGACGTCAAACCGGATCTCAAACTTGACGTCAAACCTGACCTCAAACTTGACGTCAAACCGGATCTCAAACTTGACGTCAAACCTGACCTCAAACTTGACGTCAAACCGGATCTCAAACTTGACGTCAAACCTGATCTCAAACTTGACGTCAAACCGGATCTCAAACTTGACGTCAAACCTGATCTCAAACTTGACGTCAAACCTGACCTCAAACTTGACGTCAAACCTGATCTCAAACTTGACGTCAAACCTGATCTCAAACTTGACGTCAAACCTGATCTCAAACTTGACGTCAAACCTGATCTCAAACTTGACGTCAAACCTGACCTCAAACTTGACGTCAAACCTGATCTCAAACTTGACGTCAAACCTGATCTCAAACTTGACGTCAAACCTGACCTCAAACTTGACGTCAAACCTGATCTCAAACTTGACGTCAAACCTGATCTCAAACTTGACGTCAAACCTGACCTCAAACTTGACGTCAAACCTGATCTCAAACTTGACGTCAAACCTGATCTCAAACTTGACGTCAAACCGGATCTCAAACTTGACGTCAAACCTGACCTCAAACTTGACGTCAAACCTGATCAAACTTGACGTCAAACCTGACCTCAAACTTGACGTCAAACCGGATCTCAAACTTGACGTCAAACCTGACCTCAAACTTGACGTCAAACCTGATCTCAAACTTGACGTCAAACCTGATCTCAAACTTGACGTCAAACCTGATCTCAAACTTGACGTCAAACCTGATCTCAAACTTGACGTCAAACCTGATCTCAAACTTGACGTCAAACCTGATCTCAAACTTGACGTCAAACCTGACCTCAAACTTGACGTCAAACCTGATCTCAAACTTGACGTCAAACCTGACCTCAAACTTGACGTCAAACCTGATCTCAAACTTGACGTCAAACCTGATCTCAAACTTGACGTCAAACCTGATCTCAAACTTGACGTCAAACCTGATCTCAAACTTGACGTCAAACCTGATCTCAAACTTGACGTCAAACCTGATCTCAAACTTGACGTCAAACCTGATCTCAAACTTGACGTCAAACCTGACCTCAAACTTGACGTCAAACCTGATCTCAAACTTGACGTCAAACCTGATCTCAAACTTGACGTCAAACCTGACCTCAAACTTGACGTCAAACCTGATCTCAAACTTGACGTCAAACCTGATCTCAAACTTGACGTCAAACCTGACCTCAAACTTGACGTCAAACCTGATCTCAAACTTGACGTCAAACCTGATCTCAAACTTGACGTCAAACCTGACCTCAAACTTGACGTCAAACCTGATCTCAAACTTGACGTCAAACCTGATCTCAAACTTGACGTCAAACCGGATCTCAAACTTGACGTCAAACCTGACCTCAAACTTGACGTCAAACCGGATCTCAAACTTGACGTCAAACCTGACCTCAAACTTGACGTCAAACCTGATCTCAAACTTGACGTCAAACCTGATCTCAAACTTGACGTCAAACCTGATCTCAAACTTGACGTCAAACCTGATCTCAAACTTGACGTCAAACCTGACCTCAAACTTGACGTCAAACCTGATCTCAAACTTGACGTCAAACCTGATCTCAAACTTGACGTCAAACCTGATCTCAAACTTGACGTCAAACCTGATCTCAAACTTGACGTCAAACCTGACCTCAAACTTGACGTCAAACCTGATCTCAAACTTGACGTCAAACCTGATCTCAAACTTGACGTCAAACCTGACCTCAAACTTGACGTCAAACCTGATCTCAAACTTGACGTCAAACCTGATCTCAAACTTGACGTCAAACCTGACCTCAAACTTGACGTCAAACCGATCTCAAACTTGACGTCAAACCTGATCTCAAACTTGACGTCAAACCTGATCTCAAACTTGACGTCAAACCTGATCTCAAACTTGACGTCAAACCTGATCTCAAACTTGACGTCAAACCTGATCTCAAACTTGACGTCAAACCTGATCTCAAACTTGACGTCAAACCTGACCTCAAACTTGACGTCAAACCTGATCTCAAACTTGACGTCAAACCTGATCTCAAACTTGACGTCAAACCTGATCTCAAACTTGACGTCAAACCTGATCTCAAACTTGACGTCAAACCTGATCTCAAACTTGACGTCAAACCGGATCTCAAACTTGACGTCAAACCTGATCTCAAACTTGACGTCAAACCTGATCTCAAACTTGACGTCAAACCTGACCTCAAACTTGACGTCAAACCTGATCTCAAACTTGACGTCAAACCTGATCTCAAACTTGACGTCAAACCTGACCTCAAACTTGACGTCAAACCTGATCTCAAACTTGACGTCAAACCTGACCTCAAACTTGACGTCAAACCTGACCTCAAACTTGACGTCAAACCTGACCTCAAACTTGACGTCAAACCTGATCTCAAACTTGACGTCAAACCTGATCTCAAACTTGACGTCAAACCTGACCTCAAACTTGACGTCAAACCTGACCTCAAACTTGACGTCAAACCTGATCTCAAACTTGACGTCAAACCTGACCTCAAACTTGACGTCAAACCTGACCTCAAACTTGACGTCAAACCTGATCTCAAACTTGACGTCAAACCTGATCTCAAACTTGACGTCAAACCTGACCTCAAACTTGACGTCAAACCTGATCTCAAACTTGACGTCAAACCTGATCTCAAACTTGACGTCAAACCGGATCTCAAACTTGACGTCAAACCTGACCTCAAACTTGACGTCAAACCGGATCTCAAACTTGACGTCAAACCTGACCTCAAACTTGACGTCAAACCGGATCTCAAACTTGACGTCAAACCTGACCTCAAACTTGACGTCAAACCGGATCTCAAACTTGACGTCAAACCTGACCTCAAACTTGACGTCAAACCGGATCTCAAACTTGACGTCAAACCTGATCTCAAACTTGACGTCAAACCGGATCTCAAACTTGACGTCAAACCTGATCTCAAACTTGACGTCAAACCTGATCTCAAACTTGACGTCAAACCTGACCTCAAACTTGACGTCAAACCTGATCTCAAACTTGACGTCAAACCTGACCTCAAACTTGACGTCAAACCTGATCTCAAACTTGACGTCAAACCTGACCTCAAACTTGACGTCAAACCTGATCTCAAACTTGACGTCAAACCTGATCTCAAACTTGACGTCAAACCTGATCTCAAACTTGACGTCAAACCTGACCTCAAACTTGACGTCAAACCTGATCTCAAACTTGACGTCAAACCTGATCTCAAACTTGACGTCAAACCGGATCTCAAACTTGACGTCAAACCTGACCTCAAACTTGACGTCAAACCGGATCTCAAACTTGACGTCAAACCTGACCTCAAACTTGACGTCAAACCGGATCTCAAACTTGACGTCAAACCTGACCTCAAACTTGACGTCAAACCGGATCTCAAACTTGACGTCAAACCTGACCTCAAACTTGACGTCAAACCGGATCTCAAACTTGACGTCAAACCTGATCTCAAACTTGACGTCAAACCTGATCTCAAACTTGACGTCAAACCTGATCTCAAACTTGACGTCAAACCTGATCTCAAACTTGACGTCAAACCTGACCTCAAACTTGACGTCAAACCTGACCTCAAACTTGACGTCAAACCTGACCTCAAACTTGACGTCAAACCTGATCTCAAACTTGACGTCAAACCTGATCTCAAACTTGACGTCAAACCTGACCTCAAACTTGACGTCAAACCTGACCTCAAACTTGACGTCAAACCTGATCTCAAACTTGACGTCAAACCTGACCTCAAACTTGACGTCAAACCTGATCTCAAACTTGACGTCAAACCTGATCTCAAACTTGACGTCAAACCTGACCTCAAACTTGACGTCAAACCTGATCTCAAACTTGACGTCAAACCTGATCTCAAACTTGACGTCAAACCTGATCTCAAACTTGACGTCAAACCTGACCTCAAACTTGACGTCAAACCTGACCTCAAACTTGACGTCAAACCTGATCTCAAACTTGACGTCAAACCTGATCTCAAACTTGACGTCAAACCTGATCTCAAACTTGACGTCAAACCTGACCTCAAACTTGACGTCAAACCTGATCTCAAACTTGACGTCAAACCTGATCTCAAACTTGACGTCAAACCTGATCTCAAACTTGACGTCAAACCTGACCTCAAACTTGACGTCAAACCTGATCTCAAACTTGACGTCAAACCTGATCTCAAACTTGACGTCAAACCTGACCTCAAACTTGACGTCAAACCTGATCTCAAACTTGACGTCAAACCTGACCTCAAACTTGACGTCAAACCTGATCTCAAACTTGACGTCAAACCTGATCTCAAACTTGACGTCAAACCTGATCTCAAACTTGACGTCAAACCTGATCTCAAACTTGACGTCAAACCTGATCTCAAACTTGACGTCAAACCTGACCTCAAACTTGACGTCAAACCTGACCTCAAACTTGACGTCAAACCTGACCTCAAACTTGACGTCAAACCTGATCTCAAACTTGACGTCAAACCTGATCTCAAACTTGACGTCAAACCTGACCTCAAACTTGACGTCAAACCTGACCTCAAACTTGACGTCAAACCTGATCTCAAACTTGACGTCAAACCTGACCTCAAACTTGACGTCAAACCTGATCTCAAACTTGACGTCAAACCGATCTCAAACTTGACGTCAAACCTGACCTCAAACTTGACGTCAAACCTGATCTCAAACTTGACGTCAAACCTGACCTCAAACTTGACGTCAAACCGGATCTCAAACTTGACGTCAAACCTGACCTCAAACTTGACGTCAAACCGGATCTCAAACTTGACGTCAAACCTGACCTCAAACTTGACGTCAAACCGGATCTCAAACTTGACGTCAAACCTGATCTCAAACTTGACGTCAAACCTGATCTCAAACTTGACGTCAAACCTGATCTCAAACTTGACGTCAAACCTGATCTCAAACTTGACGTCAAACCTGACCTCAAACTTGACGTCAAACCTGATCTCAAACTTGACGTCAAACCTGATCTCAAACTTGACGTCAAACCTGATCTCAAACTTGACGTCAAACCTGATCTCAAACTTGACGTCAAACCTGACCTCAAACTTGACGTCAAACCTGACCTCAAACTTGACGTCAAACCTGATCTCAAACTTGACGTCAAACCTGACCTCAAACTTGACGTCAAACCTGATCTCAAACTTGACGTCAAACCGATCTCAAACTTGACGTCAAACCTGACCTCAAACTTGACGTCAAACCGATCTCAAACTTGACGTCAAACCTGATCTCAAACTTGACGTCAAACCTGATCTCAAACTTGACGTCAAACCTGACCTCAAACTTGACGTCAAACCTGATCTCAAACTTGACGTCAAACCTGACCTCAAACTTGACGTCAAACCTGATCTCAAACTTGACGTCAAACCTGATCTCAAACTTGACGTCAAACCTGATCTCAAACTTGACGTCAAACCTGACCTCAAACTTGACGTCAAACCTGATCTCAAACTTGACGTCAAACCTGATCTCAAACTTGACGTCAAACCTGATCTCAAACTTGACGTCAAACCTGATCTCAAACTTGACGTCAAACCGGATCTCAAACTTGACGTCAAACCTGACCTCAAACTTGACGTCAAACCGGATCTCAAACTTGACGTCAAACCTGACCTCAAACTTGACGTCAAACCGGATCTCAAACTTGACGTCAAACCTGATCTCAAACTTGACGTCAAACCTGATCTCAAACTTGACGTCAAACCTGATCTCAAACTTGACGTCAAACCTGATCTCAAACTTGACGTCAAACCTGACCTCAAACTTGACGTCAAACCTGACCTCAAACTTGACGTCAAACCTGACCTCAAACTTGACGTCAAACCTGATCTCAAACTTGACGTCAAACCTGATCTCAAACTTGACGTCAAACCTGACCTCAAACTTGACGTCAAACCTGATCTCAAACTTGACGTCAAACCTGATCTCAAACTTGACGTCAAACCTGACCTCAAACTTGACGTCAAACCTGATCTCAAACTTGACGTCAAACCGGATCTCAAACTTGACGTCAAACCTGACCTCAAACTTGACGTCAAACCGATCTCAAACTTGACGTCAAACCTGATCTCAAACTTGACGTCAAACCGGATCTCAAACTTGACGTCAAACCTGACCTCAAACTTGACGTCAAACCTGATCTCAAACTTGACGTCAAACCTGACCTCAAACTTGACGTCAAACCTGATCTCAAACTTGACGTCAAACCTGACCTCAAACTTGACGTCAAACCTGATCTCAAACTTGACGTCAAACCTGACCTCAAACTTGACGTCAAACCTGATCTCAAACTTGACGTCAAACCTGATCTCAAACTTGACGTCAAACCTGACCTCAAACTTGACGTCAAACCTGACCTCAAACTTGACGTCAAACCTGATCTCAAACTTGACGTCAAACCTGATCTCAAACTTGACGTCAAACCTGATCTCAAACTTGACGTCAAACCTGACCTCAAACTTGACGTCAAACCGGATCTCAAACTTGACGTCAAACCTGACCTCAAACTTGACGTCAAACCGGATCTCAAACTTGACGTCAAACCTGACCTCAAACTTGACGTCAAACCGGATCTCAAACTTGACGTCAAACCTGACCTCAAACTTGACGTCAAACCTGATCTCAAACTTGACGTCAAACCTGATCTCAAACTTGACGTCAAACCTGATCTCAAACTTGACGTCAAACCTGATCTCAAACTTGACGTCAAACCTGATCTCAAACTTGACGTCAAACCTGACCTCAAACTTGACGTCAAACCTGACCTCAAACTTGACGTCAAACCTGACCTCAAACTTGACGTCAAACCTGATCTCAAACTTGACGTCAAACCTGATCTCAAACTTGACGTCAAACCTGATCTCAAACTTGACGTCAAACCTGATCTCAAACTTGACGTCAAACCTGATCTCAAACTTGACGTCAAACCTGATCTCAAACTTGACGTCAAACCTGACCTCAAACTTGACGTCAAACCTGATCTCAAACTTGACGTCAAACCTGATCTCAAACTTGACGTCAAACCTGATCTCAAACTTGACGTCAAACCTGACCTCAAACTTGACGTCAAACCGGATCTCAAACTTGACGTCAAACCTGACCTCAAACTTGACGTCAAACCGGATCTCAAACTTGACGTCAAACCTGACCTCAAACTTGACGTCAAACCGGATCTCAAACTTGACGTCAAACCTGACCTCAAACTTGACGTCAAACCGGATCTCAAACTTGACGTCAAACCTGATCTCAAACTTGACGTCAAACCTGATCTCAAACTTGACGTCAAACCTGATCTCAAACTTGACGTCAAACCTGATCTCAAACTTGACGTCAAACCTGATCTCAAACTTGACGTCAAACCTGACCTCAAACTTGACGTCAAACCTGATCTCAAACTTGACGTCAAACCTGATCTCAAACTTGACGTCAAACCTGATCTCAAACTTGACGTCAAACCTGATCTCAAACTTGACGTCAAACCTGATCTCAAACTTGACGTCAAACCTGACCTCAAACTTGACGTCAAACCTGATCTCAAACTTGACGTCAAACCGATCTCAAACTTGACGTCAAACCTGACCTCAAACTTGACGTCAAACCTGATCTCAAACTTGACGTCAAACCTGACCTCAAACTTGACGTCAAACCGGATCTCAAACTTGACGTCAAACCTGACCTCAAACTTGACGTCAAACCGGATCTCAAACTTGACGTCAAACCTGACCTCAAACTTGACGTCAAACCTGATCTCAAACTTGACGTCAAACCTGATCTCAAACTTGACGTCAAACCTGATCTCAAACTTGACGTCAAACCTGATCTCAAACTTGACGTCAAACCTGATCTCAAACTTGACGTCAAACCTGACCTCAAACTTGACGTCAAACCTGACCTCAAACTTGACGTCAAACCTGACCTCAAACTTGACGTCAAACCTGATCTCAAACTTGACGTCAAACCTGATCTCAAACTTGACGTCAAACCTGACCTCAAACTTGACGTCAAACCTGACCTCAAACTTGACGTCAAACCTGATCTCAAACTTGACGTCAAACCTGATCTCAAACTTGACGTCAAACCTGACCTCAAACTTGACGTCAAACCTGATCTCAAACTTGACGTCAAACCTGACCTCAAACTTGACGTCAAACCTGATCTCAAACTTGACGTCAAACCTGATCTCAAACTTGACGTCAAACCGGATCTCAAACTTGACGTCAAACCTGACCTCAAACTTGACGTCAAACCTGATCTCAAACTTGACGTCAAACCTGACCTCAAACTTGACGTCAAACCGGATCTCAAACTTGACGTCAAACCTGACCTCAAACTTGACGTCAAACCTGATCTCAAACTTGACGTCAAACCTGATCTCAAACTTGACGTCAAACCTGATCTCAAACTTGACGTCAAACCTGATCTCAAACTTGACGTCAAACCTGACCTCAAACTTGACGTCAAACCTGACCTCAAACTTGACGTCAAACCTGACCTCAAACTTGACGTCAAACCTGATCTCAAACTTGACGTCAAACCTGATCTCAAACTTGACGTCAAACCTGACCTCAAACTTGACGTCAAACCTGACCTCAAACTTGACGTCAAACCTGATCTCAAACTTGACGTCAAACCTGACCTCAAACTTGACGTCAAACCTGATCTCAAACTTGACGTCAAACCGATCTCAAACTTGACGTCAAACCTGACCTCAAACTTGACGTCAAACCGATCTCAAACTTGACGTCAAACCTGACCTCAAACTTGACGTCAAACCGGATCTCAAACTTGACGTCAAACCTGACCTCAAACTTGACGTCAAACCTGATCTCAAACTTGACGTCAAACCTGACCTCAAACTTGACGTCAAACCGGATCTCAAACTTGACGTCAAACCTGACCTCAAACTTGACGTCAAACCTGATCTCAAACTTGACGTCAAACCTGATCTCAAACTTGACGTCAAACCTGATCTCAAACTTGACGTCAAACCTGATCTCAAACTTGACGTCAAACCTGATCTCAAACTTGACGTCAAACCTGATCTCAAACTTGACGTCAAACCTGATCTCAAACTTGACGTCAAACCTGACCTCAAACTTGACGTCAAACCGGATCTCAAACTTGACGTCAAACCTGACCTCAAACTTGACGTCAAACCTGATCTCAAACTTGACGTCAAACCTGATCTCAAACTTGACGTCAAACCTGATCTCAAACTTGACGTCAAACCTGATCTCAAACTTGACGTCAAACCTGACCTCAAACTTGACGTCAAACCTGATCTCAAACTTGACGTCAAACCTGATCTCAAACTTGACGTCAAACCGGATCTCAAACTTGACGTCAAACCTGACCTCAAACTTGACGTCAAACCTGATCTCAAACTTGACGTCAAACCTGATCTCAAACTTGACGTCAAACCTGATCTCAAACTTGACGTCAAACCGGATCTCAAACTTGACGTCAAACCTGACCTCAAACTTGACGTCAAACCTGATCTCAAACTTGACGTCAAACCTGATCTCAAACTTGACGTCAAACCGGATCTCAAACTTGACGTCAAACCTGATCTCAAACTTGACGTCAAACCGGATCTCAAACTTGACGTCAAACCTGACCTCAAACTTGACGTCAAACCGGATCTCAAACTTGACGTCAAACCTGACCTCAAACTTGACGTCAAACCTGATCTCAAACTTGACGTCAAACCTGACCTCAAACTTGACGTCAAACCTGATCTCAAACTTGACGTCAAACCTGATCTCAAACTTGACGTCAAACCTGACCTCAAACTTGACGTCAAACCTGATCTCAAACTTGACGTCAAACCTGATCTCAAACTTGACGTCAAACCTGATCTCAAACTTGACGTCAAACCTGACCTCAAACTTGACGTCAAACCTGATCTCAAACTTGACGTCAAACCTGATCTCAAACTTGACGTCAAACCTGACCTCAAACTTGACGTCAAACCTGACCTCAAACTTGACGTCAAACCTGACCTCAAACTTGACGTCAAACCTGATCTCAAACTTGACGTCAAACCTGATCTCAAACTTGACGTCAAACCTGACCTCAAACTTGACGTCAAACCTGATCTCAAACTTGACGTCAAACCTGATCTCAAACTTGACGTCAAACCTGACCTCAAACTTGACGTCAAACCTGATCTCAAACTTGACGTCAAACCTGACCTCAAACTTGACGTCAAACCGGATCTCAAACTTGACGTCAAACCTGACCTCAAACTTGACGTCAAACCGGATCTCAAACTTGACGTCAAACCTGACCTCAAACTTGACGTCAAACCTGATCTCAAACTTGACGTCAAACCTGATCTCAAACTTGACGTCAAACCTGATCTCAAACTTGACGTCAAACCTGATCTCAAACTTGACGTCAAACCTGATCTCAAACTTGACGTCAAACCTGATCTCAAACTTGACGTCAAACCTGATCTCAAACTTGACGTCAAACCTGACCTCAAACTTGACGTCAAACCTGATCTCAAACTTGACGTCAAACCTGACCTCAAACTTGACGTCAAACCTGATCTCAAACTTGACGTCAAACCTGATCTCAAACTTGACGTCAAACCTGATCTCAAACTTGACGTCAAACCTGACCTCAAACTTGACGTCAAACCTGATCTCAAACTTGACGTCAAACCTGATCTCAAACTTGACGTCAAACCTGATCTCAAACTTGACGTCAAACCTGACCTCAAACTTGACGTCAAACCTGATCTCAAACTTGACGTCAAACCTGACCTCAAACTTGACGTCAAACCTGATCTCAAACTTGACGTCAAACCTGATCTCAAACTTGACGTCAAACCTGACCTCAAACTTGACGTCAAACCGATCTCAAACTTGACGTCAAACCTGATCTCAAACTTGACGTCAAACCTGATCTCAAACTTGACGTCAAACCTGATCTCAAACTTGACGTCAAACCTGACCTCAAACTTGACGTCAAACCTGACCTCAAACTTGACGTCAAACCTGATCTCAAACTTGACGTCAAACCTGATCTCAAACTTGACGTCAAACCTGATCTCAAACTTGACGTCAAACCTGATCTCAAACTTGACGTCAAACCTGATCTCAAACTTGACGTCAAACCTGATCTCAAACTTGACGTCAAACCTGACCTCAAACTTGACGTCAAACCTGATCTCAAACTTGACGTCAAACCTGATCTCAAACTTGACGTCAAACCTGATCTCAAACTTGACGTCAAACCTGACCTCAAACTTGACGTCAAACCTGATCTCAAACTTGACGTCAAACCTGATCTCAAACTTGACGTCAAACCTGATCTCAAACTTGACGTCAAACCTGATCTCAAACTTGACGTCAAACCTGATCTCAAACTTGACGTCAAACCTGACCTCAAACTTGACGTCAAACCTGATCTCAAACTTGACGTCAAACCTGATCTCAAACTTGACGTCAAACCTGATCTCAAACTTGACGTCAAACCTGATCTCAAACTTGACGTCAAACCTGATCTCAAACTTGACGTCAAACCTGACCTCAAACTTGACGTCAAACCTGACCTCAAACTTGACGTCAAACCTGATCTCAAACTTGACGTCAAACCTGATCTCAAACTTGACGTCAAACCTGACCTCAAACTTGACGTCAAACCTGACCTCAAACTTGACGTCAAACCTGACCTCAAACTTGACGTCAAACCTGATCTCAAACTTGACGTCAAACCTGATCTCAAACTTGACGTCAAACCTGATCTCAAACTTGACGTCAAACCTGATCTCAAACTTGACGTCAAACCTGACCTCAAACTTGACGTCAAACCTGATCTCAAACTTGACGTCAAACCTGATCTCAAACTTGACGTCAAACCGGATCTCAAACTTGACGTCAAACCTGATCTCAAACTTGACGTCAAACCTGATCTCAAACTTGACGTCAAACCTGATCTCAAACTTGACGTCAAACCTGATCTCAAACTTGACGTCAAACCTGATCTCAAACTTGACGTCAAACCTGACCTCAAACTTGACGTCAAACCGGATCTCAAACTTGACGTCAAACCTGATCTCAAACTTGACGTCAAACCTGATCTCAAACTTGACGTCAAACCTGATCTCAAACTTGACGTCAAACCGGATCTCAAACTTGACGTCAAACCTGACCTCAAACTTGACGTCAAACCTGATCTCAAACTTGACGTCAAACCTGACCTCAAACTTGACGTCAAACCTGATCTCAAACTTGACGTCAAACCTGACCTCAAACTTGACGTCAAACCTGATCTCAAACTTGACGTCAAACCTGATCTCAAACTTGACGTCAAACCTGATCTCAAACTTGACGTCAAACCTGATCTCAAACTTGACGTCAAACCTGATCTCAAACTTGACGTCAAACCTGATCTCAAACTTGACGTCAAACCTGATCTCAAACTTGACGTCAAACCTGATCTCAAACTTGACGTCAAACCTGATCTCAAACTTGACGTCAAACCTGATCTCAAACTTGACGTCAAACCTGACCTCAAACTTGACGTCAAACCTGATCTCAAACTTGACGTCAAACCTGATCTCAAACTTGACGTCAAACCTGATCTCAAACTTGACGTCAAACCTGACCTCAAACTTGACGTCAAACCTGATCTCAAACTTGACGTCAAACCTGATCTCAAACTTGACGTCAAACCTGATCTCAAACTTGACGTCAAACCTGATCTCAAACTTGACGTCAAACCTGACCTCAAACTTGACGTCAAACCTGATCTCAAACTTGACGTCAAACCTGACCTCAAACTTGACGTCAAACCGGATCTCAAACTTGACGTCAAACCTGACCTCAAACTTGACGTCAAACCTGATCTCAAACTTGACGTCAAACCTGATCTCAAACTTGACGTCAAACCGGATCTCAAACTTGACGTCAAACCTGATCTCAAACTTGACGTCAAACCTGATCTCAAACTTGACGTCAAACCTGATCTCAAACTTGACGTCAAACCGGATCTCAAACTTGACGTCAAACCTGACCTCAAACTTGACGTCAAACCTGATCTCAAACTTGACGTCAAACCTGACCTCAAACTTGACGTCAAACCGGATCTCAAACTTGACGTCAAACCTGACCTCAAACTTGACGTCAAACCGGATCTCAAACTTGACGTCAAACCTGATCTCAAACTTGACGTCAAACCTGATCTCAAACTTGACGTCAAACCTGATCTCAAACTTGACGTCAAACCTGATCTCAAACTTGACGTCAAACCTGATCTCAAACTTGACGTCAAACCTGATCTCAAACTTGACGTCAAACCTGATCTCAAACTTGACGTCAAACCTGATCTCAAACTTGACGTCAAACCTGATCTCAAACTTGACGTCAAACCTGATCTCAAACTTGACGTCAAACCTGATCTCAAACTTGACGTCAAACCTGATCTCAAACTTGACGTCAAACCTGATCTCAAACTTGACGTCAAACCTCAAACTTGACGTCAAACCTTCAAACTTGACGTCAAACCTGATCTCAAACTTGACGTCAAACCTGATCTCAAACTTGACGTCAAACCTGATCTCAAACTTGACGTCAAACCTGACCTCAAACTTGACGTCAAACCTGATCTCAAACTTGACGTCAAACCTGATCTCAAACTTGACGTCAAACCGGATCTCAAACTTGACGTCAAACCTGATCTCAAACTTGACGTCAAACCTGATCTCAAACTTGACGTCAAACCTGATCTCAAACTTGACGTCAAACCTGATCTCAAACTTGACGTCAAACCTGATCTCAAACTTGACGTCAAACCTGATCTCAAACTTGACGTCAAACCTGATCTCAAACTTGACGTCAAACCTGATCTCAAACTTGACGTCAAACCTGATCTCAAACTTGACGTCAAACCTGATCTCAAACTTGACGTCAAACCGGATCTCAAACTTGACGTCAAACCTGACCTCAAACTTGACGTCAAACCTGATCTCAAACTTGACGTCAAACCTGATCTCAAACTTGACGTCAAACCGGATCTCAAACTTGACGTCAAACCTGATCTCAAACTTGACGTCAAACCTGATCTCAAACTTGACGTCAAACCTGACCTCAAACTTGACGTCAAACCGGATCTCAAACTTGACGTCAAACCTGACCTCAAACTTGACGTCAAACCTGATCTCAAACTTGACGTCAAACCTGACCTCAAACTTGACGTCAAACCTGATCTCAAACTTGACGTCAAACCTGATCTCAAACTTGACGTCAAACCTGATCTCAAACTTGACGTCAAACCTGATCTCAAACTTGACGTCAAACCTGATCTCAAACTTGACGTCAAACCTGATCTCAAACTTGACGTCAAACCTGATCTCAAACTTGACGTCAAACCTGATCTCAAACTTGACGTCAAACCTGACCTCAAACTTGACGTCAAACCTGATCTCAAACTTGACGTCAAACCTGATCTCAAACTTGACGTCAAACCTGATCTCAAACTTGACGTCAAACCTGATCTCAAACTTGACGTCAAACCTGACCTCAAACTTGACGTCAAACCTGATCTCAAACTTGACGTCAAACCTGATCTCAAACTTGACGTCAAACCGGATCTCAAACTTGACGTCAAACCTGACCTCAAACTTGACGTCAAACCTGATCTCAAACTTGACGTCAAACCTGATCTCAAACTTGACGTCAAACCTGATCTCAAACTTGACGTCAAACCTGATCTCAAACTTGACGTCAAACCTGATCTCAAACTTGACGTCAAACCTGACCTCAAACTTGACGTCAAACCTGATCTCAAACTTGACGTCAAACCTGATCTCAAACTTGACGTCAAACCTGATCTCAAACTTGACGTCAAACCTGATCTCAAACTTGACGTCAAACCTGACCTCAAACTTGACGTCAAACCTGATCTCAAACTTGACGTCAAACCTGATCTCAAACTTGACGTCAAACCTGATCTCAAACTTGACGTCAAACCTGACCTCAAACTTGACGTCAAACCTGATCTCAAACTTGACGTCAAACCTGATCTCAAACTTGACGTCAAACCTGATCTCAAACTTGACGTCAAACCTGATCTCAAACTTGACGTCAAACCTGATCTCAAACTTGACGTCAAACCTGACCTCAAACTTGACGTCAAACCTGATCTCAAACTTGACGTCAAACCTGACCTCAAACTTGACGTCAAACCGGATCTCAAACTTGACGTCAAACCTGACCTCAAACTTGACGTCAAACCGGATCTCAAACTTGACGTCAAACCTGATCTCAAACTTGACGTCAAACCTGATCTCAAACTTGACGTCAAACCTGACCTCAAACTTGACGTCAAACCTGATCTCAAACTTGACGTCAAACCTGACCTCAAACTTGACGTCAAACCTGATCTCAAACTTGACGTCAAACCTGATCTCAAACTTGACGTCAAACCTGACCTCAAACTTGACGTCAAACCGATCTCAAACTTGACGTCAAACCTGATCTCAAACTTGACGTCAAACCTGATCTCAAACTTGACGTCAAACCTGACCTCAAACTTGACGTCAAACCTGACCTCAAACTTGACGTCAAACCTGACCTCAAACTTGACGTCAAACCTGATCTCAAACTTGACGTCAAACCTGATCTCAAACTTGACGTCAAACCGGATCTCAAACTTGACGTCAAACCTGACCTCAAACTTGACGTCAAACCTGATCTCAAACTTGACGTCAAACCTGATCTCAAACTTGACGTCAAACCTGATCTCAAACTTGACGTCAAACCTGATCTCAAACTTGACGTCAAACCTGACCTCAAACTTGACGT